CGTGTCCAAAATAAGATATTATTAATAATATATAGGGGTGTACATATTATTTGAATATTCATTATTTATTTGAAACGAATTTGAGAAACGAAATCTTTTATTGAATAGTTTTAAAATTTTAAATGTTGTTTAACAAAAAGTTGAATGTTTATCAAAAATGTTGTTTAACAAAAGCATTTTGAAAAAGTTGCAAAAGTTGAGATGCGTAGTTGTTACTTATCTTTATTTCATTTTATTTCTCAATTACTTTTTTAACTGTACGAGTATCATAGTAGGGTTTCCGTAACACGGGTCACAATTTATGGGTCACGAATAATGAAAAATTTATATATTATATATGAATCTGAAATATACACTTATACTACATGTACGCTGCCAAACTATCGGACTGGGAACTAAACCCGAAAATAACTAATTTAGTTTCAAGTTAACAAATTACATAAATCTTAATTATATGCTTGTTTATGCATAACATTATGGTGGTAAATCAATAATTAAAGCAGTTGAATCACTCATTTCAGTAAACTGCAAACAAATATGTATGTACATTTGTATGTATTTAAAAAAAACTTAATTATATAAGAATCTTAGAATTTCTCATTAAATAAAATAATAAATTCAATTCAAGCCTTAAAATATTTAACAATTTTTTATTTGTTTTCATTCAACACCAAGTCCAGTATAGCAAATATAAATTTATGATGCATTAATTTTTCTCCATAGGTTTTAAATTTTAAAAACCAAAATTAGAAAATTTTTGCACATTAGAATCAAATGCAATATCATTTTGCTGAAATATCACACATTAGTACATAATAGTCATTATAGTTTGAAAAGTATAGCATGAAAGAAAGATGAAAAGATACAATCATAAAGAAGCTACTACATAAATGACTGTGAGAATCTTTTAAAAAAAATCTTGCACTTCTTAATGTACTCAAATTTTACCGCCACTTTTTCCAATTTATTTCTTGTTTATTATTTGTTGCATTCGTACATATGTTCAGAACGGAAGTTCATTTAAATAAAATATTTTCCTCAATTCAATTAAAATGAATAAACTACAATATATTTTTATATTTTGTTTATGCAAAAATTAAATTATTTTTAACAACAGAATAAATGCGCGTACTAAAATACGCGTGTACTAAACATTTTTATTACAAGAAATAAAAAAAAAAAAATGAGCTATAAAAAAAAAATTGTTGTCACACAATTTATTGTGTTTGTAACTATGGCAAAGTATGCATGTGAAAATTCCATAATTATGTGCTATTGTACGTAGTTATTCTAATACACAATATACCAAGCAGTAGATGTGTTTATTGTTATATTGAATAAGAAAAATGTACGTAGAAATTTTGTTAACAAAATTACAACCTCATACATTCAGAGAATAATATATTTTCATTGAATGAAATGTTCTGGTAACATTTTCTTCCTTAATTTCTGTTAGTCTCTTAAAATTGAAAAAAAAATTAATTTATTCAAATTTCTTAGAAAATGTGAAATTGACAATAATTAGCGATATTATGGAAATTGTTTCTGAAAGAGGTACCCACAGTCCACACCCAAGTGGACAATAAAAAACAGAAAATTTTCTCTTTCGTTGTCCAATTTTTGTATAATGCATTTATTTGAGTTTAAAACTTGGGTATTTCTTGAGAAATGCTGCTTTCATTTCAGGGAAAAGTAAGAATCTTTTAACATATAGTTCTGGGTTTTTAAAAAAATAATCTATTTAAAATAGAAATTGTCTAAAAAAATTGCTAAACTCGGGCCGCCATTCGACCTGATCGCACGAAAACGCAAAAATTAATAAAATGACCACCAAAATTTTTTTCTAGTAAAAATTCTGCAAAAGAAAACACTTTTTACAACACTTGTTGGATAAAAATTTAATTTTCATTCTTCTAGACAGATCTTGTATTAAATGTATGTATATTTCTTAAATTAATTTTACTAATAGTTTTTCATATAAGATACGGCTGTAAGTAGAACATTTTAACTCATTAATTTTTATAAAATATAACAATAATAAACTCCTATACACTCTCTTATTATTGCGTTGTAGTAAAATACTGAGAAAAATAAATGTTTTGTTTTAACTATGAGAAATGAGAATAATGACGCTCATTCATTTATTAACACTCATTACTCGTATGTCCATTAGCTGGAAATGGCAATTTATCTTGATTAATATAATATACGTACATTATATACATCATTTCTTCCTATATGAATATCTCGATTATATAATAATAATATGTAGTTCATTAGATGATAGCAAAGATATTCTTTATCTTTATACCATATGTATTTACTAATGTTTTATAATTCGCATGCTTATTTAATTTTGAAAGCACTTCTAATAAAGGAACTCAATAAAGTTGAATAATTTGGATAAATTAAGTTCCTTAAACATTTTAAAATGCATATTCTAAATTTTATTGAAAATTATTATAAAATATTTAAATAATACTTAGAATTCAATTGTTTACCGAAAATGATTTCAAAAAAAGCATTTGTATACTTTACGTGATTTCCTTTTTCATAATAATTACAAAAAGAGAATAATTGTCGTCACAACTAGCACAGCACGTATGCGTATTGTAACCCTTAAAATGTATTCATAATGAATAAAATTTTACTATAGTTAAGAAAGTGTGTGATTAAAAATTCATTATACTTATAACAAAGTAATAAAAAGTATTTATGATAGTCTTTTTCTTTAATTTTATTTATTGGAGTTTTAAGTTAATATATTGGGAATTAATTTACAATTAAACGTTACGCGTGTTTTCGATTACATACATTATATTGTTTAAACTCAACAGATACATATGTATAAATAAGTGCATATTTCTAAAAGTGTTAATTAAGAATTAAAATTAAGTTTAAAGGAATTATTTTACGTTGAAAACTGCTATTATATTATATTTTTCCACATTTATGCTACTTAAATGGAAGCTATTATAATAGAAATTCTAATTATTCCAATAAACTCAAATTCATTCCGAGTCTTCTTAATTGATTTCCGATTTCTCGATAAATTAATTTTAAAACTATTTTAGTGTATGAAATCTGACAGTATAAAACCCACATCTAATTCATGTACTTTTCCTTTTCATTTTGTATGACATACTTAACATAACCTATACCTTATTTCCTGATATTTTATTTTCGTATGATATGGCAAACTTATAATTGAATGTGCATACAAAAATTTTATATATGTACGTACGTCGCACACAAATTCATACATAAGTATAAATTTTTTTCTTATTTCATTTTTCTAATTGAAATTCTAAACAATAATTAGGCACACAAAATTTAGGTTTTCATGTCCCTTTTAGAATATTTTATTTAGGATATTTATGTATGTTTGTATTGTACATATATTAGATTATTTGCTCAAATTTAAAAGAGAGGGAAAAAATGTGTCATTTAAAAAGATTTGTTGCCCGATTGTATAATAAATTTTTAAATAAAATTATGCACTGCTATACTTGAAATATTCCTTGTTAAAGTTTAAAGAATTTAGAAAATGAAATACACATATCAAGTATAACAGTTATAATAATATTATGAATCAAACGTCAATTTAAAGCAGGACTTTGTAATAATGTGACGTAATAAAACCTCAATTTTTTACTTTGTATATTTTGAATTTAAAATTCCAAAATTTAGAATTCCACAATTCAGGCGTTTCCCTACATCAGAATATTATAATATTTTGGAAGATTTTAACTGTACTATTACCATACTCTTATTCAATTTAAACACGTTTTCTTTTTTTTGGGTCATCTTGAAAAATAAATTTAAACTTTGCAATTTAAACTTTTAAAATAAATTAGAGCCGTGTACAAATAAAAAGTAAAGTTTATAGAAAACACAGTAATGAATTTTAAAATTTTTTTATTACAATTTCGTTTATTACTTAAGTACATTATGAAAATTAATCTAAACAAACCGAAACTTGTTATATTAACAAAAGTTCTTGTTTACGTAACAAAATGATGTGCGGCAAATAAACAATAAAAAAAAATTATGCAAAATTTTTTTTATCCGCTGTTTCTGCAAAAAAATCTATACATAGTCTTACAATATAAATAAATTGAGTTCATTTTACTGACTTGTACAAGGTGGTTAATCTTATGTATAAGAATTGTAAATTGTAATTTTTATGTATTATAATGAAATTTAATATTTGGAAGTTTACTATATTTTAAAGATTCTTTACGTCATTTAAAACTGTCAGGAAGTAATTTAAAAGACAATTACACACTACCTTGCTTTATTATTTTGACAATACTTTAAAATTTTTACAGATATTTTATCATTTGAACTGACATTTTCCACAAGTTTTCAAAGGAAATTTTCCAAGAGAATGAATGACATGTCTGAAATTCTCATAAAATTTTTAAAACTCTCTGTTATTAAAATTTGTCTTGAAAAAAACAGTGAAATCAATATTATAAATTGATTTATTTCATATACACCCCGTAATAAGTACAAAAAATAAATATTTTAATTTTTATTAAAACAAATTTCATTTTAATATTATAGAAATTGTTAAACAACTAAATGAACAAGACGTGTCATTGAATTCACAACCATATAATAAATTACAATCGGACCAAATATAGAGAGGCTTTTACCATTATTTTAACATATTCTCTTATATTTCGTTTTTAATAAATTTCAAAAGTGTCTCCAACAATTATTTAACAAAATGAATGGTAAAAAGAATATTATGTAAATTTTTTTTGTTTCTTAGAAATTTTCTAACAAAACCATATTTGGTTTTGCATTCTGTTCTACTATTATACTACTACTGCTCCTACTTTACTACCGACAATACCATAATTGAAAGGTGTTTCATGTTAATTGTATTTTCTTTTAATATTACAAATAAGACAAAAATATAATTAAAATTCAATTCCATTTTAATTTATAACAAATTTCTATTTTATATTTTATGTTTTTTTGATTTTCAGGAGTACGTATTCAAATATCATGGCCAAAAATTAGGTATGTTAGAGCCACATGTTTTTGCTATGGCTGAAGCAGCATATAGAAGTATAAAAGATACAAATTCCAATCAGGTAATTTATATAAAAATTAATATGTTTTACATTACATTACATATAAACATACACATATACATATATTATACATTAATATAGTGTGTACATGGTGCATGCACTTTCCGTTTGATTTTTAGTTCTTGCTTTTTTTTAAATAGAAATTTGTAATTTCCTGTATGACAACAAATATATTTTTTTTCCGTTTTATAAAACATTTGTCTTATTCTTTATGATATGAAAACATTTTCCGATTCCAAAATTTTGAACTCGAAATATTGTAAGCATATTGGATTCGAGAATAAATGAAAATGAAAACTCATCATAATTTTAATTTAAATTTCTATCTATTTACTATTAATTTAAATATAATGATTAATGACGTTTAATATTTGTATCAATTTGATGAAAATTCAGAATTACTTAATAATTTAATTGACTTAAGTAATCATGTATGAAATCATGCTTAAATTTAGAAAATAATAATTAGAGTGTTAAGTATTGCTCATATACAACGGAGAAAAAAAAATTATTCCAATAAATATTGAAAAAGTGTTGCCAACATCAATAGAATTGTTAAAATTTTTTTTTTTTGATTTTCATTAATTTTTTTAAATTTCTGATAATATTTCATAATTTGACATGTTTATAGTATTTTACAATGAAAACAATGTAGAAAAATAAATTCTTCATTCTAAAGTGTTTGTTTTCAATCTAAAATAATTAAGGGATCATACAGAAATGCAATTTTTAGTATTGCAATAACTGCTTAATTGTAAAATTGTTGTTCGAACGTCTAGATTAACTAATAAACAACAAAACTTTTGTGTCAATCGATTGTGTTAACTAAAAATTCCATAAGTTTTTATTACTCTATTTCATAGAGTTAATAAAAAAATTACAAATTGTTTGATTGCTTAATTGTTTGTAATCATACAGTTGCATGAGTTCGCGCTTGAATATTGAACTGTTAAGATTCAATTAAAGAGTTGCATAGTTAAAAATTGCATGTCTATGCCTAAGCGCCAAACAAATTTCGTTTATCAATCCTTTGATTGCAAAATTAAGCAATTTTTTACAACTTTTTTATAACTATTTCAAACTTGAAAGAAACACTGTCAACTGGTGAATATCATAAATTTGATATTTCATTTTGAAAATTGTTTGATGTTTCAATGAAAAATTTACAATTTTCGAAGAAACATCAAATTAATAAAATCTATTAGACTATAATTATGTTTGGAAAATAATAGAAAGTCCAATGAAATTGAAAATGATGAGAACTTAGAACTCATACAAAATTTTAAGAAAATTGCATAAATTATTAATTTTCCTATAACACAGATTTTTTCAAAACTTTGGTATTATTCCAAATATTTTCTTAAATCACTTTAATTGATGGGTAATAAATACAGCAATTATGACAATTTAATTGAGTAAAAAAATGAGGTTGTTAACTTAAAAATCTTACAATGCCCCGCAAGATTTAATTGAATTTTAAATTATTGAAAGTTATTCAAATTAAGATTAATGAGGCTAATACGATTCCGACTGTAGTTTATGTTAGTTATAAACCTTAGCTGTATACACTTAATTTTATGATCCAACCAATTTTTTATTCATACATTATGTATGTACATACTTATTTATACAAAATGTTGGAAAAACAAATTTTTACTTTTAAATCTTTAATTTCTTTTTAACTATATATTGCATAATTTGAAATTTAATTTTTATATTTTCATAAAATCTTAATTGAATTCAATTTTTTTTTTTTTTTTTTCATTATTTGCAGTCATGTGTGATATCTGGTGAATCAGGTGCTGGCAAAACAGAAACAACAAAATTCATATTACAGTATTTATGTTCAGTGACATGCGATGTATCAACGTGGGTACAACAACAAATTTTAGAAGCTAATACAATTTTAGAAGCATTTGGTAATATAAAAGAAAATTTATTCAAATATTATAGAAAAATACAATCATTAACAAATCATTAAACATTGAAAAAAAGTTCATAAAATTGAAATGCAATTGAAACCATAAAATATTTTAGCACTTTTGCTATCTATTTTTCAAGTCATGAATAGTTTTTGTTTTAAGATTTGACCCTGAAGGAGCGTGTTACATGTTATCAAAATTTGAACACGATATTTTAGATAAATTTTAAACTAAAACTGAGTACAGAGAACTTTGGTCATTTAAATGAAATTTTTTTGTGAAACATGCACTCATTAATAAGAAATTGAAAGCAAAAGAAATGATAAAATAAAAATGAAAGTACAAAATTATTTTGCAATAAAATAAATCATCAATTAAATTTTAATAAATTTTCTCTTTCTTAACTTTTTCATACTGAAAAATAAAAAGGTATTTAAATTACTTGACGAATTTTTTAAACCTAGCTTTAGGCTTAACAAATCCACCGTAATTCAAGTCTAAAATACTCCTTTTTAATTAAAATTTTGAGTTCGGCTGAAAAACGACCAAGACAATACGAATGTAAATTAAAAATTCAATTTGTAAAAATAATTAATTTAGATCCTCTAATTAATTTAACACATTCATAAATTTATTAATATTTTTTGTTTTTGTTTTAGGTAATGCAAAAACAGTAAGAAATGATAACAGTTCAAGATTTGGTAAATTTATGCAAGTTTGTTTCGATTCAAAATTCTGTATCAAAGGCTGTATAATACAGGATTATTTATTAGAACAATCACGAATAACATTTCAAAGTCCTGGTGAAAGAAATTATCATGTACTTTATCAATTAGTTGCCGAAGGTAAAGTAAATACAGAAATGGCAACAATGTATCATCTTAAAGAGCCATCATTTTATCGTTATTTAAATGCATCTGGTAACGTTAATATTGATATACCAGTTGAAGCAAAAAAATTTGAAAGTTTAAGATTAGCATTTACAATATTACAAATACCACAACCAATGATTGATGGTATATTTAAGGTACTTAGTGCTATATTATGGTTAGGAAATTTAGATTTCAATGATATTGATGGTGAACGTTGTGAATTAACAGATGATGATAAAAAAATTGTTGAAACTGTAGCAAAATTATTAGGTCTTAAAGATATGGATGTACAACAAGTATGTTTATTAAGGCAAATAAATGTTCGTGGTAATATAACAGAAATTCCATTAAAATTTCAAGAGGCTCGTGAAAATAGACATGCAATGGCAAAAGCATTATATTCAAGAACATTTGCATGGTTAATACAACAAATAAATACATGTATAAATCCAGGACAAAATTCAACAAGATTTTTAGGTGTTTTAGATATATTTGGTTTTGAAAATTTTAGTGTTAATTCATTTGAACAATTATGCATTAATTATACAAATGAGAAATTACATAAATTTTTTAATCATTATGTTTTTGCATTGGAACAAGAGATTTATCGTCAAGAAGAAATTCAATTTTCACATATTGAATTTACAGATAATACATTATGTTTAGAATTAATTGAAAAACCGCCACGTTGTATATTAAAATTATTAACAGAACAGTGTCATATGCCAAAGGGATCAGATTTAGCATATTTAACAAATTTACATGCTGAATTTGAATCAAATTCAAATTATGTTAAAGGTACCGATAGAAGGCATTGGGAAACTGAATTTGGAATAAAACATTATGCTGGTAGTGTTTTATATCAAGTACAAGGGTATTTTAAAATTTCCTTTTCCAATAATATGAATTATTAATGATTTATAAATTTTTTTGAATTTTAATAGATTCGTTGATAAAAATCGTGATGTTCAACAAGATGTTCTATTCGATTTTATGAGTCGAAGTGAAAATTGTTTTGTACAAGAATTATCTTCGTATCAAGATTTATTATCAATACAGAGTCAAAATCAAATTGTTAATTCAGCAAATACAATACAAAGAGGTACATCAAAAGGTAAACTAACGGTTAGTGATACATTCAGAATGCAATTACAAGCTTTAGTAGATGTTCTACAAAGTACAAATCCATGGTATGTTAAAGAAAAATAGTAACAGATTTTGGAAATTATCAAAAATTAATTCCAATATTATAATTCTAACATATATAATTTTCAATTTCAAGGTATGTTCGTTGTATAAAACCAAATTCAGAAAAATTACCAAATGATTATAATGATCAACTAGTCTTAGATCAACTTAGATATTTAGGAATGTTAGATATAATACGTATAAGACGTGAAGGTTTTCCAATTCATTTAACATTTGATGATTTCGTTACAAAATATCAATGTTTAACAAAACGTAAAGGTATTAAATCAACACGTGAACAAGTATTATCTGTGATAAAAGAATTAAATGTACCGACAACTGAATGGCAATTAGGTAAAAGTAAAGTATTTTTACGTAGCCGGGTACATGAACCATTAGAAGATGCTAGAAAACAAATAATTAATACACAAGCATTGATAATACAAAGAACATGGAAACGTTATATTGCTCAAAAGAAATTCAAAAATATTCAAATATCAGCATTAAAAATACAACATGCATATAGAGGCTGGAAATTACGTATTGAATTTTTAAGAAAACGTCGTGCTGCAATTGTAATACAAAGTCATTTAAGAGGTGTATTTGCACGCGAGGTAAAAATATTCATTTAAAAAAAAAACTCCATCGTGTAAAGCCCCCCCCCCCCCACACAGAACTCTATATATATAATTCTCATTTAAAATTTTCATTTTGAAAAAAATTTTGATAATTATTTTAGGTTGCTGCTGCTTTACGTGAAATGCGACGAGTTGATGAAGAAATGCGTAAACGTGAACGTTTAGAAGCTGAAAAGAAGAAACGTGAACAAGAATTGTTATCAGCTGAGAAAACTGCTCAAGAGAAGAAAGCTATCGAAGAGTGTGAAAGGTATGGAGTGTTTATAAATTTCCAAAATTTCACATTTTCCTTTGAATTTATTTAAAAATTACAAATTATTCTAATTTATAGTCATAATTATTTAGAAATATGATTTCATATTTTTTTAGAAATTTTTCATGTGAGCTTTTATGGGTCATTTTTTTATTTTTCCCCTTGGATTGGCTTTCTAAAGCTTTTATTTTTTGTTATTTTTTTTTATTATTATTGATTTTGATTTGTAATTATTTCTTTTGCGAATATTTTTCTGATCATAATAATTACAATTAAATAATTAAATAATATTGTATAATTTTAATTTGAGAAATGAATTACTCAGAAATTTAAAATGTTAGAAAATTTTGTTCGCAAAAGAATTAATTAAAATTTTGAAAATATTAAGTTTTTATTAATATGTGTTAGATTTGAATTAGAGTAACAATTTTAATTTTATAAAAACAATTTTTATCCAAAAAAAAAAAAAGAAATTCTCATTCGCTTAAATGCACATCTTTTGATTTTTGAATTCAGAAAAAATATTTTTTTTTGTTTTAATTTTATAAAAGCATAAAATAAGAAATTACAGCTTAAGAAAATCGGAAAATTTAATAGAAAAATTCGTTACTAAGTTCCAATTTGCATTTATCGCTAATAACAAAAACAGGAAACGTCGAAATATTAGAGATTCTTAAAAATTCTGGCAATCGTTTAATTTTCTGCTAAAATTATTCAATTTTCTACTATAAATATTTTAAAGGCACGTTAGTTTTTGTAAGTAACCCGAGGCAATAATCGCAACAAGTGCGCAATATGATATTATAGCGTTGTACCTTGCACCTTGCACCCCGTTTAATTTTTGACCATAATTTTAAAATATTTAAATTAAATTTTTTCGAATTAAATGAAAATTTATGCATACTCATTGAAAAGATTAAAATATTAAAAATATAATTTGTTATTTAAGTGTTAGGTTATGAGTTCTTAAAACTCAATTCATTTTTACAATTTCAATTGGAATTAATTCCAATATATTTTTTAACAATTATTATTAGAGTAATTGTTCTTAATTAGAAATGCAAAAATATTTCAATTTAAAATTAAATCATTTAAAGTCAATCTCAAATTTAAAATTAATTTCTTATTCGACATGATTTTAATGTTAAAGTTGTACAAGTTATAAGTGGCTAAAACACTTATGTATAAGCTGCTTTTAATAAATACGCAATATACTTATCTATACAATGTACATAAAAATATATACATATATAAAATTTGATACTCCTAATATGACTTGGAGAAAATATTACTAAATAAAATTAAATTAAATATTTAATTGGTATTCATATTGAATTATACAAAAAAAAAAAATTAAAAAAAAAAAAACAAGCGCTATAATAATTGATATTACGATTTCAAAATTATTTAAGCATGCCCAGTAAAGGAAATGCTGTCAAAAAAGGAGGGTAAGTTCTTAAAAAATTAGGAATTGTGTTCCCTCTTAATTATTATTATTTTTTTTTTTTATAATATTTTGTTTTATTTTCTTATACACAGCACAATCAATTCCATTAATATTTTATTAATTATATAAAATAAAAAAATATTAATATTAATATTTTATTTTATAAATTATTAATTGTATATCGTATATACCTACCTAATATATACTACTATTTATTTAAATTAAATAATGTTGTTAAATTATTAAATATGAAAAATATTATTACATAATTTTAGTAAGTAAGTGCATGTTGGATAAGTTTTTAAATTATTTTAATATCATAATATTTTTTTACCTATACCCTAAATAATTCTAGATCCTTTATAATCTCCTAAATGTAATTTTAATGAAAGTTTCCATTATAAATCTAAAATGGCTTTAGATTAACATTTAATTTAAATTATGGAGCAACTACTGTTGATCAAATATTTGCAAAATTATTTACGACTATTTACAAAATTTTTACCTTGAATTTGAAGAACAGTTTTATAAAAAATAGAGAATAAATAATTTTCTCTTATACGTTGTCATTGTTATAGGTAACGAGAGAAAAAAATGATTGCCTTGTATAATGAAAAATTTTTCTTTTATAAATTTTAATTTTTCTGTTTGTAAGATCTATAAAACTTAGGCAAATAGTTAATTGTACTTAAATGACGTTATCCCAAATTACGATTTATTATTTCCCACAATAGAAAATTTGTTCGAATTGTATAACAGTTTAGAAACCCACGTTACCAGGTCTCGTTGTTAATGGGCATATTTACATATTGTATTTTGATTATCGTAAATATGTACATATAAGTATGTGAATATTTTAACCAGCTACAGTTTAAAATGGAAAACTATTTCTAAATTAATTTTCAAGTTTGAAGTATGTATTAAAATGTTTTTATCATCTCAAACATCCCAAAATTTTTTATAGCTATTTTCCTCAACACATTTGAACATTTAAACTAAAGATTTGTATAAAAAATTATTTTTTATATTTTTAACTTTGTATGGTAATGTTACGATCATAAGTGTATTTATATTAGTAGTAAAGTAAATTTGATTTCTTTTTTTTGATTCTTTACCCTTAAGCATGATGTAACAAGTAAATTTCTTAGTTAATGTAATATACGAAAGTAAAATTGAGTAGTTTTCCTGCTACTTTCCCGCATAAGTCTCTTTCTCTATACTTTTCTAATTCTTAAAGCGCACAATTTTTTTTTATTTTGTAAATAAATTTTTCTATAAATATTCGAGAAAACATTTTATAAAATAATGTAAATTAAAGAAAAAAATTAAATAAAATTAAAGAAATGTGTTTTGGCTTTAGATATTGTAATTATAATAATTTAAATAAATATTTTAGAATGGTTCAAGAAGAAATTATTGCACTATCACAAATGGCTGAACAAATTAACACCAAATTAAATCAACAACCACCGCCAATACCACCTCCATTAGCAGAAATGACAAATAATATTAAAAACAATAATATTAAAGCTCAAATGAATGGACATGCTCCGTTAGTAGGAACGACACATCAGCAAAGTAATGATTCTGTTGATTTAGACAATTTATTCGCTTTCTTAAGTGAAGTAACACCAAATTCAAATAATCCAGTTTTAGATGAAATCGGCGAAAAAATGGATACTCTTGTACAAGATTTAGATGTGGAGGTAAAATAATTATAACCTTTTTTTACTAGAAAATTTTTTTTTTAATTTTTATTAATTTTTAGTTAGAGAATGTTATTCAACAAGAAATTGAAGGTTTGGCAATGGAACGTCCAACGAAAACACCACCAGCCAAAGGTGTTCCAACACTACCAGAACCAACGACAAGACCACCGCCACCGCCCACTACTATTAATGGAACTTTACATCCAATTCAAAATTCAATGCAACCATCATCCCAAATGAAACCAAATCAAGTTATTCCTATGAATGTTAACAATAATAATAATAATATTTCTGCACCTATACCCATAAATCGACCACAACGAAAAGAAGAACCAATTTACGAAGCAGTTTTACCGAAAGAACTACCACCACCACCACCTCATATTAATGAAACATTATCAAATTCAATTCATCACAACCATAATATAGAAAATGGTGTACAACAATCACAAGGTCTTCCAATACATAAACTTAGGCCAAAGAGTCCAGCTGTCACAAATGTAGCAAGGTCGGCTAGTCCAATTCAAAGAACTCCAACTGGTGCACCAATAAGTCCATCATCACCGAAACATAGTAGACCTAATTCGAGAGCTTCCTCAACTGGAACAAATCAACATCAACAACATACAGAAAGGGAGCAACGACGTAAACATCGTGTCGAAAAGAAACTGCAAGAGATGCAACAAGTTGATGTTACCGAAAAAGAAAAGGAATCAATGCGTGATGATGTTTATTTCGATATATTGGAATTTGCTGAAAACTTTTTCAATGTTCACGAAAGATCACCTGAAGGTACTCTAATGCAAACCCTTACTAGAAAAGGGAAGAAGTGTTCAGATTTAGTTCCAAAATATGAAATGATTACATTTTACCGAGGCAATACAATACCTTCATCTCATATACATATGTATGATCCAGAAAATGTTGTTGCTGCTTGCAATATATTTAGGGTAATTTAGTAAAAAAAATGATTTGTTAAGAAAATGATTCACATTAATTTTACGTAGGATCTCTGTAAATACATTCGAGGCGAATTGAATCCGGAACGCGAATTACAGGTAATTCAGTATATAATCGGGCAAGGAATTGAAAGAGAAGAATTGCGGGACGAAATTTTTGTTCAATGCATTCGGCAGGCAACTAACAATCCTCACTCAGATTGGGTTGATCGAGTTTGGCTTTTACTTTGTTTAACAATTGTTGCATTTCAACCTAGTAAAGTTCTGTTTAGGTAATTTGAAAGCTTAATTTCTTGTTTCACTTTCTAATCATATTTGTATGTTTAGATATTTTGTGAGCTTTCTTAAAAAGAATCTGGAGTCATTAGATGGTAAATTAAGGCAATATGCCCAATGGTGCCTTGATAATTGCAAAGGTGCAAAAGTTTCTGCAAGGCAGTATCCGCCATCCAGTGTGGAAGTTGCTGTAAGAAATGTTTTCTTGAAATTATAATTTAAAAGTTAAATCTTTTATTAATTTTTGTTTATAATTAAGGCGATGCGAAGACTTGGAACAATTGTGTGCAGATTCTTCTTTTTAGATGGACGCACTAAGGCCATTGATGTACATCCAACGGATACAGCAAGCGATGCTGTTGCTAAATTAGCAGATAAACTTAATTTAATGAACACTGATGGTTGGGCCATCTACCAGTCTAGACCAGATGGAGAAGAGCATGTTAAATCGCATGATTATTTGTATGATATTATTGCTGCTTGGGAAATGTAAGAAACAATTATTAAATTAATTTCTTAGAAAATATAATAACATTTTTATATACTGCAGAAAACAAACAAAAATTCAAGCAAATGCTACATTAAGAAAAAATTCTGCCGCCTTAGGATCTGGCGAAAATCGATTTGTATTTAAGAAACGTCTTTTTAAAACAACAAGAGAATTATCCCAAGATCCAGTAGAAGTTAACATGCTCTATGCACAAGCTGTTTACAGTGTCGTGAAGGTACTGAAATAAACATATGAACATTTTCAATTTTTTTAATTTATGAAATGTTTTAGTGTGACGACTTTCCAGTTAGTGAAAAAGTGGCTTTGCAATTGTCAGGTTTACAGGCTCAGGTTGCTTTAGGTGATCCATCAAATCAACCTAAACCAGAATATTATACTGACGTAAATAACTATTTGCCCGAAAGAATTTCAAAAACGCGAGAAGAACAATTCTGGGTTCCAATATTAGCTCAAGCTCATCGTCAGTATGGAGCTGGTCGATCTGAACTAACAGCTAAAGTTCTATATCTTAGCTGTGTTATGCAATATCCTTTGTATGGAACAACAATGTTTCCTGTTATTTACCGAGGTTATTGGAGCTATGGAAATAATTTAATTTTAGGTGTTAATTGTGAAGGAATAATGTTAATCAAAACTGAAGATAAATTTGTTTTATATGAATTTCGTTATTTTGATATTGAATCAATAATGTTAGATCCAAGTGATAGTTTCATTACCATTACATTAAATCGTCAAACGAGCACAAATCAAACAACAGTTGATCAACAAAGATGTTTTGTTTTTGAAACACCACAAAAGAATGAAATTGGCTCATTAATTGTATCTTATTATCCACCACTATCAAATTGGATAACAGAAAGTGAAGTTCCTCCCAAAAAATCTAAAGGAATTACGAATGAAGACCGTGTCAGATTACACCATAATGTTGTTGTTTGCAGACGTCATTTAGTTGATGCAGAAATCCTTCGCAAACCTCAGGATGCAACTGGTGGATTCTTGCGAAATACCCTGCGAAGACTTTCAAAACATCGCCTTGAAAAATTAAGAGCTGAACATGGTACCGCAGTTCAGGATCATGGTGAAACTTATAAAGGCTTTATGCATGCATATTGGGCTTTTAGTCGTCAACCTTTACCACAGAGCTTAAGTAAATTGCCAGATCAAGAAGAGCAAGCAATGTTACAAGTATTCCAAGCAATATTAACATATGCAGGTCTTGGACAAAGTGGTGAAGCTGTTCAACGTGCTGAGGATGAACATATTACCCTTATTCAATCTATAATGGACAGATGCATGCGGAAAGAATCCCTTCTCAATGAACTATATTTACAACTAATTAAACAAACTACTGATCATCCTGATCCTAATTCTCGTGTTAATTTAAGACATTGGGCACTATTATCACTTGCTTGCAGTGTTATATTGCCACCACTTAAGGTTGTTCGAAAATATTTAATAGGGCATTTAAAAAGATGTGCAAGCGATTACATAACCGAAGAAGGAAAATATGCAAGATTCGCTGAAAGGGTAAAATTTTTTAAATATTAAATATAGGTTTTTAAATATATTTATTGATATGTCTATTTCTTATATTTTAGTGCTTTTTTAAAACGCAAGGTACTCGACGAAGACAATGGCCGCCCAGTCGCGAAGAAATTGTTTGCACTATTAATCGTCGGCCAATATATGCTCGCTTTCATTTTATGGATGGACAATATCATTCAGTTGAGTTCCATCCGAGCTCCACAGCTCGAGAAGTCATGGAACTGGTTAAAAAGAAAATTGGTTTGCAAGAAAATGCTCAAGGTTATGCCATTTATGAAGTTTTAGGAACATCAGAAAGAAGTTTAATGCCAGACGAAAAAGTTGCAGATGTAATGTCAAAATGGGAAAAATATAGAAATGCTGCAGCACAAGCACAACAAAATCAAGTAAACATTTTGACAAAATACATGGTTTTTTCTTAAAACTTTACAATAATATCTTCTCTGTATTTAGCAATCACCGGCTATGCAAGCATGTCGAAGGCAACATCACAATTTCTTATTTAAGAAGCACTTATTCTTTGATCACTATATGAATTTAGAGGATCCAGTTGAAAAAGAATTACTTTATCATCAAGTATTACACGGTTTACGTAGTGAACGGTTCCCAATTACTGAAATGGAAGCTATAATGTTAACAGCTTTACAAGGACAATTAGAAATAGGCGATTGTTCAGAAGTTTTAATAGATTACAGAACGATTGCAAGTCATTGTTTGCCACCAAGATTTGTACCAAATATACCTCATGAGGCAGTTGCCATGCATCATCAAAGTTTAAGAGGAATGACACCAGCCGAAGCCAAAAAGTCTTTCTTAAATCTAATACAAAGTTGGCCCTTACATAAAGCCACAATATTTGATGTAATGGTAAGAAAATCTACCATCAATAGCAATTTTTTTTTTTTTTGAAAAACAATGAAAAATTAAAATTAATTAAACTTTTTTTGTTTGATTCAGCAATCGTTTACATCAAACTGGCCTCGAGTTTTATGGCTTGCTGTAGATCAAAATGGTATTCATCTTTTAGAACATCGATCAAGAAATACACTTTGTACATATGAATATTCATCGATATTATCTTATTCACCAAATATGAATTGTTTAATGATTATAACTGGAACAGATAAAAAACAATCAAAAGTCATATTAACAACTTCACAAGTAAGTGAAACCTTTGAATTTATTTTTTTATATTTGATAATCTTTATAATTAATTGAATTTTTCTTTTTGATATTGTAGGCCTTCCAAATAGCGAATTTAATACGAGAATATTCACAAGTTATTTCAGCTGCAGCAGAAGAGGCTAACAAAGATAGAAGTCCTCAGCCACCACCGGTTCCTGAACATGCTAATATAATTAATAATCAAACAAAACTCCAATTGATACAACAACATCAATTGCATCAACAACAATTTCAACAACAACAAATAGCAATACTTCAACAACAGCAAGTACCACACAATAATATGGTTGATATACGAAAAGGCCCTAGACCAACATCAGTTATTAGGACATCAGGAGTGACTTTAGTTGCTCCACAACCTAGCTAATATTCCATTTTTGGTAAATGGAGCCGTCAAAAACTATAAATATGTCATTCAATCTCCATTTGCTAACAATGTTAAAACAATATTTAAATAATTAAATTAAATTTACATAATAAATATGTATATGCATATAGTATATGTAAATGTATGTATGTAATATGTATGTATAGATATATGTTTTATATGATGTGAAAAGAATACACATAAATAATGTTATATAAATAATATGTGCATATATGTGTACATACATTTATACTTGCATGTCATACATTATATTTAATGTTTTTGTTTTAAAACAAATAGATAAATAAATTTTTTTTTTTTTTGACTGATTAAAAATACAAAATGATTAAATAAATATTATTAAAAAGAGAAATAATAATAATTGAAATATTTAATAGAATTAACCAAAAATGTTGTATGCAATCAAAATGCTCTCAAAATAAAATAAATTAAAATTTAAAATTTATTAATAATGAAAATTTCCTTAAAAAGTGAAGAAGAAGGTCTCAATATTATTACAAAACCAAAAAAAAAAAAAAAACGGATAAGATTTTCCATTAAGTTATTGAATTTTTAAAAACTAGAAATATTTTTGATATTATTTTGTGAAAAGTTTAACTATAAAAATATAAAACACAATGGAATTTGTATAACTTATAAGAAAAAATTAAAAAACATTAAAATAAAATTATTCCATAATTAAGAAGTTAAATTTCTTGATAGTTCAATAATGTTGTTAGACAAAATTGGTAAATAATATCTAAAAGTAACATATATAAAACAAAATATCATAATCAAAATTGTATATTATGTGTATGCATACAACTTAAAAATTCAAAATAATATTATATATTTCTATACTTGTACATATTAAAACATAATATTTTTGTTTTAATTTATAAAAAATGTTCATTTTGCTTATATTCTAACTACATAATCGTGTTTTTAAATGCAATTTAGTAAATATTAAATTCATTCAATAAAAACACAATGCAGATACTATATTATTCAGGATGTTTCCCAGTATGTCAAAGATTTGATGATTATGTCAATCACGTCATTTGCTTGATTTTGCAAATGAAAATCATCTGCAATTAAGCAATTTTCGTAATTAACTTTTTAAAATTTATAAAGCGTCAGTTCTATACCCTTGATATTACTGGGAAATGGCCTCGATTTAGTACCGAACCTCTATGTCGTATATAACTAAATATATATATACGCATTTTTTAATTTGAAAATCTATATCATTTTACAATTTTTATAATATATTTATTTGAAAATTATCAATTAAGAATTTATTTTCTTTGTTTCCTTATTATTCCTGCCATTATATATTTTCTTAAATTCTAGTGTTTATATTGTGTTTTACTTACTTAGTTTAATATTTGTTTATCTACTATGTCTTAACAATTTAATATAATCAATTATATTCTCTTAGACGCATCATATAAAATGATATGGGATATTATTCATAAGTATTACGATTTTGAATTATATTTTATTACATTAAAGGCATAATCGATTATGCCACACAACAGCATCTTATAGTCACCAATTAGTAATTAAAAGTACTCGTATATGCTAAAAAATCTTTTACAGACCAACTTTCGTATACAAATTTTGCATACAACCAGTCGACAACAACCGCATTAGCAACATATTATTTTTAAAATTTGAATATTTCTAGAACTAAATTTTTCAACAAATAAAATTATTCATCAGTCTCAAAATTTTCCATTCTGCACAAAAGAACAAAATCAACAGATAAAACCTTTTTATTACAAAAATACTAAAAAAATTTTAGCAACATGAACGGCAATTGACATTATTAATAGTGTGACATTTGTTATTTTTGAATTATCGATTACACCACAAAATATATAGACATTTGTTGACAATATTAAAAATTACAATGCTTTTGTTAACTGCAATATCGATTTAGAAGCAAAATAATTCAACATGCATTTTGCATTATCGATTACAGCTTAAGTAATGTGTCTTGGAGATAATATGGATGAATATTTACATTATCAAATTATTTTATAATAGTTATACAATTTAAATATATTTAAAATAAAAAATTAAAATTAATTCTTATATTTAATAAAATTTTTTTTTTTAAAACAAAAAATGGACGCAATAACAGAAAAAATCTAATTTGTAAAGAAAGCTATTAATGCGAATACAATAATATAAAATAATTTAATGCCACATAAAATAACATACTAGAACAAAAATTTTGTTTTTCAAATTTATTAAAATTTAGCTGAAAAATATTAAATAGGAAATTTTTGATATAAATAAATTTGTAATAATATTTGAACTTCAATTTGTAAATTTTATTATATAAAAAAATTAAAATAAAAATAAACTGATGATAATGGCACAATATATTCAACCTATTAATTAATAATAATTAATTATTATAAATTAATTAATTAACAAAAAATAAAAAATCAGTTTCAAGGCGCTACTTATATTTATACTAAGTTATTAAATTTTAATATAAAACAATAGAAATAAAAAATTATAATTTATTGTATAAAAAAAAATTTTATTTATATGGGATATTTTATGTACTAAAAAACAAACGTATATTTATAATTATATAATTAAGAAATGAAATTTTTTTTACTTTAAATAAAATCTTTTTTTTTGTAAATGACTTGTGAATATTTTTTTAAAACTTACCTACATATTTTAAGTGTGCAATTTGAAAAATAAGAAATAACAATATTTTGTATTTTCAATTTTTGTAACTTAAAGAGACTTTTTGTTTGTTTGTTTGTTTATTTTTTTTTTGTGTTTATAATAATAAGTGTTTATATAATATTATACAAACTTTAAGATTTTGTTTTTATAATTGAAATACATATACATATGTACATAATATGTACAATTATTTAAAAAAAAAAATGATATTTGAATGTACCATAAATAAAATTGAGACAGATTAAATTTAAATATTTTATTGCTTAAAACAAAAGTGTTATATTTCTTATAAATTCCGAGTGGAAGAAATTCACAAAATATAATAGAATTAAATATTTACAAAATTGGAGCTTTCTTTCTAAAATTAAATAAGTTTACCATTAACAAAATACATAAACAAAGCTCAGGTTCTTCTGAAAACGCAAAATTTTTTTCATTGTAATTGACAATACTGCAAAAAGTTATCGTTTTTTTTTTGCAGTAGTAAAAAATGTTTGCAGATGTTTAGCTGACTTATTGTCGAAAATGCAGTTCTAATACTAATTTCAAATTGTCATCATTGAATTAAGTATTTGAAGAAATAAAAATTTAAAAATTTTTAATAATAAAAATTGTCATTCTCCATCTTGTTTGATAATTAAACTGTCGCATAGTTAGAGAATTAAAAATGTTGCTTAAAATTTCTGAAATGTCTTACTTGCAATTGTAGTTTTCCAAGAAGTTGCTATTGCAATTCCACATTTTTAAAAGCACTGCTTTACAGTTTGAGTAGTTTTTATTAAACATATACACACTGCAATCTAGTACTAAGTGAGAACTGCATTTTAAGATAGAATCGATAGTTTATTGTTCATATATTTCAAGGCGATATTTCATTGTTCATAGTTTAAAAGATAAATTTTGAAAGCAATTAAAGGAATTTTCCAAGAGATTGGATTTCAATTTGTGTTCATATTCACTTGTTACTGGGCTGCAACTTTATATTATCTCATTAAATTCATACTCAAATTCAATTAAATAAATTTCATTTTTATTAACTTTCAAAAATTAAATATTATTAACAAAATCATTTTATGGTTTAATGACTTCATTCGATGGTTTTTTATTTTTTTCATACCAATTAAAAATCATATGTACCAAAATATGAATTGCCAATGCAGAAGCTGATGTTATACCAAAAATCAAAAATGCATAATGTCCTCCAAAGATATTAAAGAGAGTTCCAGCGGCAAAGTTACCTAATGAAATTCCAACTCCTTCAAAAAGTGCTCCAACAAATCCCTTATAATAAATTGTTATAATTGATTTTTTAGCACATAGACGCAAGACATAATCTATATTTAATATATACTTATATAAATACCTGTAAGGTTGCCTCTGTTCCAGGTGGTGCTATAATATTTACATATGTTGTCATGGTTGCATATAATAAACCATAAGTTAAACCATTAAGTGCCTCTATTGGTAATACCCACCAGGGATTTAAAAGTGCAGAATAATAAAAAAATCGAATTGTAAATGCTGCAAATGTTATGTGCATACAATTAATTGATCCAATCTTTTTTATAATATAACCAGCAAAAAAGAAAAATGGAATTTCTCCAATAAGACACTGGAAAAGCAAATCAATTCCTTCCAAAGTTTTAATATAATTGCTACCACAATCATTTTGTCCTATTTGATCTGATAATTCTTCCAAATGCCAAAATACAAAATTCCAAATAACAGCTGAAAAAAAACCAGCAAGACAACACCAACAGAAAAATGTAAAAATTTTAGCTGATTTAAAAAGTTTTCCAACATCCTTTAAAATACTTTTTGATTTTACTGGTTGAGTGTACTAAAAAATATTTACAAAACTATAATGAAAAACTAATATTTCTTAAATACTAATATTACCTCCAATTTCAGAGAACACAGCATATTCATCAATATTATAACCAAACAGAAAAAATATACAATTGTATAATCTTTAAATACTGAATTACCAGAAATACCATCAATTATTGTTCCAATTAAAACTGCGGCAACACCCCATCCCACAGCATCCCACATTCTTTGCCTTCCATACAAATGACTATCCTCACCTAGTAAATCAAAACAAATTGTATCAGCCATACTAATTACAACTGAATTTGACGAGTAACCAATTAAAAGTAATCCACAAAATAACCAAAATTGATATTGTTTTAAAATTTCATCATCTGACATTGTACCCTTATTTGCTAATGTACCCTTTAAGAAATCATCTTCACATGTTGCTTCACAATTTATTTCATAAAATTTTGCAAACAGAGCAGCATCAGAATAAAATGTCGTCATACTATTATTTAAAACTAATGTATTCTTGAATTCTTTCATAATTATGCAACTAGAATCTTTTTCTATTGTTTCCATATCTAAATAAATTTCATGTTTAAATGGTTTAAATTTTGAATGGCAATTAATATCATCATCACTATATTGACATATTTTATCTTTCATCCAAATTTCTGGTTTACAATATAAATTACATTTAAATATTTTTATTTTGTATTGTTCAATTCTTTCCTTTAAACAATTATCCCAAATTGGTTCCTTTGGACAAAAATATAATTCTGTACTATTTTCATTACTATTTACTGTTACTTGATTTGTAAAGGACGGAATGAAATATACACAAAAGAATGTTAACGCTGTTATTCCTTGCATCAAAATAAAAATGAATTTATGAATTTTAAAGTGATCAGATAACCAGCCAAAAACTGGCTTTGCTATGGTTGCAACTAAATAAAGAGCAGTTAAAAGTACACCAACGATAGTAGATGAAAATCCTTTTTGTCTTGCAATTATTGATAAATTTGCAATTATAGGCCCAGTTGCTTGAAATAAAGAGAAAAAAGAAATGGTGTTTAAATTAAATTTGTGATTCATACTAGAAATAGTATAAAGTGAATGATTTACGGTATTGTGTTATACCGTAAAATGCTCTTTGTAATATTTTTAATTCATTAAATTATATTGAGCCTTATTTAAGTGCTTACCCTATTGATCAATTAATAATTTAGAGCTTGACTAGAACAAATCTTAGTATGCGTTTTTAAATTTATTGAATTATGTGTAACTTTTAATTGATTTTACTTAGAAAATTTCAATGAATTTTGAATTTACGTTATATGAGACTTGTTTCTGTTATAAAGTTAAAAATAATAAGCAGAGTCGCCCTCCAAATAATGAAAAATTATATTAATTTCTTTCGTAAGAATGAGTTATTGAAAATGGGATTACTTCTTAAACTAAATGAGGAATAAATTTTCTTGAAGGCAATTAATTATATTTTATTCTTGAATATTATAGGCCTTTTCATAAACGCTGTATATTGCGATATATAGTGAAAACTGCGTTATATTTCTATTCATAAACAAATGTTTCTACTCAAGTTTATTCACAAACATTGCTAACCTATCATAAAAATATTTATAATATCATGGCTAACGCAGTTAAATCAACTGCACGACCTTTGTTTTAATAGTTTGGTTTTATATTTTTAAAATGCCTGAGTCTGATCCAATTGAAAGTCAATTAAGATAAGAAAATATAACTTCAATAAAATTTTCTTAATTTTTATTTTTCTAGATGAAATTGAAATTTCCACTATTTGACGCAAAATAATTAATTTTTTTTGTTAAAGACATTTTTTGTTCATGAACACAACGCTGCAAATTCTAAGTAGCAAAAAAAGTTTTTTTTCTACAACTGTCAACAATAAATTGCGTATGTATCACATTATTGTTTTACAGTATTGCGTTTTTGAAAATGCCTTATTTAATTATAAATTTAACTGAATATAATTTCAAAATAAATACAAAAAAATTAAACATCTTATATCCTCAAAACTTAAAGTAACATATGTATGTATGTATGTGTGTATAAAAATGTATACATTAATTTATTTATAATTAATCCTTTGACAATTAAAATCCACAAACTGTCCCTCAAAATTAAAATATGAAAAAATTTTTTTACCTAAATTATACAAGAAATAGTGGGCCTTCATAGGCAATAATTTTGTATTAATTTTTGCAAAAATATCAAATTTCAACATTTTATTTGATTTTCTTTCACTTATTTTTTTTTCTTGAATCTAATTCCTACCGTCGTTTTTTAACTACTGATGATATGCGTTAAAATCTTTTTTAAAATCCCTTAAAAATTTTTTTATCTATTTTCTTAGTTAAGTGCGATAAATAGAAAAATCTTAATATAATGTTAATTGTTGTTTATTTTAAAAATTATGTATAGGAATTCAGTACGAGGGGAAGTTAAATAAAAAAAGAAAGAAATGAAAATAAAAAAAATAAATAGTAAAAAGTACTTATAAATATTTATTAAAGTGTACTTTAATAAATATTTTCATTGAATAGTAAACAATGATATATTGTACTACAGAAGCTACGCACTAGATTTCCAAAATATTTACAATGTTTCAATGAAAATTTCGATCTGACATTATATTATTAAGCTTTATTGTTTCAAAAAGTAATATACAAACATGTATCGAAAGCCTATATAATTTTTTTTTACATAGTAGGCCACCAGTTCACATTGCCAAATTAACGTCAGTTTAATAAAAGATATTTTAAATATTAATTATGCAAAAAACATCCATGCATTTATTCGAACTGGTGCAATTGTACTTAGTTTTGAGCACTCGTGAGTCGTGAGTACTTGGAACAAATGGAACGCGAATAATATTAAATACTGTTACCCAATACCTTTCAGTTAATTCTCGTACTTTTCTTACAACTTTGTCAAATATTAAATGTACATAAGTATTGTATGTATAAGCATATACAAATATATGTAGAGTAATGAAATAAAATAATAACAGAAAGTAAATGATTATATGCAAATTTAAATTTAGTTTATGAAATTTATCTTAATATAAGTGTGTAGCTTAAAACTTTAAAATAAAAAAATATTGAAGTTTAAATAAACAATAATAAAATCAAATCACAATTATAAATCTAATTAAAAGATAAACATGTAAAATATATTTCAATAAGTATGTAAGCATAAAAAATTATACATACATACATACATACATAAAATAATATTGGAAATTTCATTAAGCAATCGTCTATACCAATACAATAAGACCTAATCTATAGGAATAGAAATTTGAAATTTTACTCTCATTACGTGAAATTTTTTGAACATACTTACATATATATTTTCATTTTATTTACTCCATAATAATTACGCTTACCATATTAGATCAGTGGTAGAGAACCAAATTGTAAGCGGGCAAATCAGTTTAAGTTGAGTCGACACAACGCCATGAATGATATATTTAGACCACCTCTCCAGCCTGAGTGCTTCAAATACTGACTAAGACCTTGAATTATTAAAACAACGTGTATTTGTTTAATTAATAAGTATTGTGCCTATTATACGTATACACTTATAATATTAAGATTCCTTATATGTATTTATATTCGTTAAGTCCGTAGCACATCGAAAAAACTGAAATTTAGGAAATCTCTGCCTAGATTTCGCAAGCTGTCGAACAGGAGCATAGGTGGGGGGGGGGGTGTCACTCCATTTCCTACTCCTTTTCATTGAAACAGCTTCGTCAGAAATGTTTTAATAAGAAACTAGAATAAATACATAAACTTACAGGGAAATTTATTTATGCGGTGATATTCTGAAAAAATACTGTTACTTCTCTTAAATTATGTAAATTAATCCATTTTCTGAATCCATTATTATATCAGATTCCTAGAGAGTATAAATGTGTATACATGAGCACATACATACATGTGTACAATAATAATGTTGAAATTGTGATGTTAAATGTATATATGTATATGGTGATATTTTGGGCATATTTTAAACGGTGATTTAACGTAGATGTAGATTACAACATCCTCCTCCGTATTAAGTTACGTTGTTTTACAAAGGGAACCCAAAATCTTATAATAATTCGAAAATTTAATTGTGAATAAGCGGAAAGGATTATGAAATGAATATATTTTCACAATTACATACAATAAAATGCCACGCCATTTGAATTTCGAAATTCCAACTTTCTAAATTTAATTCCTCCTACAATTAGACCTTTTCAAATGTTGAAATAATTAATTGTTTATATTAAATAAATAATTTAATTTAAATAATTTTATTTGATCAATGAGGTACATAATGATTGTTTTAATTCGTGCTGTAATCCTAAAACTAGGCAATATTTATTATAATATTATGTAAATGACGCACTTGAATATCTTTTACTTTTTCTAAAGTTTAAACTATAAGAAATAATTTCCAATTAAAAAATATAACATGAAAACAAAATTGAAATTTTATTAATTTTTATCCAACTGGTATTTCATCTGACACTTTATTTTTATCTTTGTTAAATGTCCTTAAAAGTATATGTATGATTACGTGACTTAATAAAGCAATGACTGCTACAATTCCGAAAACAATAAAGGTATTTTTTCCACCAATAACACTTAAAAGCGTTCCAGCTCCAAAATTTCCTAACGACAGTCCAACTCCTTCATAAAGAATGCCAACTAAACCCTACAATATATTGGAACTTTTATTATAATTCATCTAAACACATATTTAACATTTTAAACCTGTAATGTAGCTTCTGTTCCAGGTAGAGCAATTATATTAGCATAGGAAGACATTGTAGCAGAAAACAAACCATAAGTTATTCCATTAAGCACTTCTACCGGTAATACCCACCACGGATTTGTCATCAAAGAATAATAAAACATTCGAATAGCAAAAGCTGCTAATACTAGATGCATACAATTAATATGACCAATTTTTTTAAAAATATATCCAGAAAAAAAGAAGAATAGAATTTCACCAATACAGGTTTGAACAAAGATATCTAGTCCCTCTAATGTTTTAACATAATTTTCAACACATTCCTTTTGTCCAATTTCATCTGTCAACTCCTCTAAATACCAAAATAAAAAGTTTAGAATAATTGCTTCAAAAAACCCGCTAAAACAACACCAACAGAAAAATGTCGAAATACTTGGAGATTTAAATAGTTTTCCAACATCTGACAAAATATTTTTTGATTTCTCATTCTGTGAACTCTAACAAAAATAAAAAGCAAAATCATATTATTATAAAACCTATTCAAAATTTTGCTAAACCTTACTTGTAGTTTTATGCAACAAACCATATCAAGACTGATTGTTACTAAACATAGAAAATAAAGAACTGTATAGCTTTTGAAAACTGATGTTCCAGAAGTTTTATCAATTATTACTCCAACTAAAAGTGAGACCACACCTGAACCAATTGCATCCCACATTCTTTGCTTTCCAAACTGTTCAACATCGTCGCCCAACAATTCGAAACATATTGTGTCACCCATACTATTGACCACAGAAATTGCTGAAAATCCAAATAAAAGTAATACACAAAATAACCAAAATTCCATTTTCTGAACAACTTCCTTATCGGCTATAGCACCTCTGTTTGCTAAAGTACTTTTTATAAATTCGTCTTCACATACTATTTCACAATTAATCTCAATTGGTTTATCATATATTTGAAAATTTTTTGCTATTTCTAATGAGTCATTAATTTTGTAATACTTGGGATGCTCTTTAATATGTAAACAACTGGAATCAATACTTAAAGTTGCCAAATCTAATTGCATATCATATTCAAAAGAATCAGAATTGGAAGCACACTTTATTTTCTCATTATTTTCTGTACAAAAAACGGTTTTCATCCAAGTTTCGATTTTACAATTTAGATGACATGTGATAATTTTTGAACTATATTCCTCAATCCGTTTACTCAAACAATTGTCCCAAATTGGCTCGTTTGGGCAAAAATATATTTCGGTGGTATTGTTATAATTTTGTATGAGTAAAACTTCAGTCGAAATTGGTGGGATGAAAAAGATGCCGAAAAGTGCTATTGCTGTTACACCTTGCATAAGTATAAAAATAAGTTTATGTATTTTATAACGATCACCTAACCAACCAAAAATTGGTTTGGAGATTGTTGCCAGTAAAAGTAATACTGTTAAAATAATTCCAACAACAGTCGATGAGAATCCTTTCTGCCGAGCAATAATTGGTATATTATTCGTGATAGGGCCAATTCCTTAAAAAATAAAAAATTTTATAAAAATTGATTTCATATTTTTGTAAAGTACTTTTGTAATTTATGCTTGAAAGTGCTATAAAACTAAGCTTACATTACAGTTATATTTTCAATTACTAATAATGGAACTTCATAATTTAGTATAAAAAGTGCTCATGGACTGGAGCCCAACTTCGAGCCTATTTCTTTGAAATTTTTAAATGAGAACTAGAAGGTAAACTCTGCGGAAGAAAAATATGAAAAACTGTTAAGTCTTTCATGTAAAACTTCTTTGTTACTATCATGCCAAGAAGTAACAAAGTCATGAAAACAAGATATAATAGGTTGAAAATAGCATCCCAAGCACTCGTAAATATCACGGAAAAAATTAAGAACAAAGATGAAGTATTGGTAGTTTACAATATGTAAAAACTATTACGTTTGATACGCTTGATCTTACAAATGATGCAATTGTTGTTGCACAGGTCATTTAACCGAGGGGCCTAAGGTTCAAACCCTGATCACCTCACTGTCATAATTTTACTTAATATTGTATAATATGTAATATTATAGAAATCAAATGTTAATATAAAATTAATTGCTCATATACCCATAATATTCGATATTGCATACCAACAAAAATAAACAATAAATGTTGATAACTTTCAATGGTGAATATAAAAAAAAAACTAAGGCAATTATTTTGTACAGGGTTTCCCAAGCCTTCGGGAACTGCTGTCCAACTCCCTTGGAAATATCTCCAGCTTTATACTTTGGGAGGGGACATTATAGGTAGAAGCGTGAGGAGGCTACAATAAGTCAGAAATGACTGCGGTGGCTCGGCTAAGTCCTCCTGCCCCACTAGGTTTCTTTATAAATTTACAATCTGCAGGGTAGGTTGGTCTCCGTCTAGTTAATTTAGTGATTTGTGAAACTGATGCTTGTGTCTAAAGTCAAGTGGAAGGGCCTAATATGCTCCCAAGATGAGAAAATAACAAAAAACGGTCTTCGGAAGGCATTTTTTTTAATAAAAACAATAAATGACACTCTTTAGCTTTTGTTATTTTTCTAGTACCGTTTTCACAATTCAGAAAACATTAAATTTTTCTGTATAATTTTAAGATAAAAAAGTTGAACCATTTACGTTTTTCTATCAAAAATATGCGCTTGTCTATTAATGATAAATATCAATGACATCACGCTCTGCTTTCATTCAAAGTCAAGACCCTTAAGAAAACATTTTTGAAGATCATGCATTGGAAATTTTATGCACTTAGTGGACGCTTATAGATAAATAATCTTAATTGAAGGTAAATTATGTAACCAAAAAGCTATTTTCGGAATTACACATTTCTTTATAAATATAATTCGGCTTTTTGTCGAATCCAACTTGGTTAAAAAATATTTTGCGTATCTAATAAGCTTATTTACCGTAGCGTAATACAAAGTTGTGTAATTTTTATTATTAAATAGGTTTATTGAAGGTTCAACAATTCCAAAAATGCAAAAAACATTAATTTTGAGCTAGAAAATTTGCATATGGGTGTTATCACTTGTCACTTATTGCGTTGAAACCTACAAGGAAACATTTGTTATATTGGAAAATAAGGCACATTTTTATTTATCAATAAATATTAAAAAAAATATAATAAAAAAAATTTCGAAGTTCTTATGATCCTGATATTTCACTTTTCCTGATGGATGTTTCCTTCTGTTATTTCGTCTTGATCACATTTCTTATTTTTTTTCTCAAAAGCGTTTAAAAGTTTATGTATTATTAAGTGGCATATTAAAGCAGTAACTGCTACAGTTCCAAAAACAATGAAAGTATGTTTTCCACCAATAACATTTAAAAGTATTCCAGATAAAGAATTTCCTAACGCAAATCCAACTCCTTCAAAAAGAACTCCAACTAAACCCTGGGATATATCAAACATTTTATTAAAATAATATGCAGCTATATGTAAATTTAATATTTGGAACCTGTAATGTAGCTTCTGTTCCGGGTAGAGCAATTATATTAGCATATGAAGACATTGTAGTCCAACACAAACCAAATGTTACTCCATTAAGTACTTCTACCGGTAATACCCACCACGGATTTGTCATCAAAGAATAATAAAACATTCGAATAGCAAAAGCTGCTAATACTAGATGCATACAATTAATATGACCAATTTTTTTTAAAATATATCCAGAGAAAAAGAAGAATGGAATTTCACCAATGCAAGTTTGAACAAAAATATCTAATCCTTCCAATATTTTTATATAACTTTCAACACATTCCTGTTGCCCAATTTCATCTGCTAATTCCTCTAAATACCAAAATAAAAAATAAAATATTATTGTCATAAGAAACCCGCAAACACAGCACCAACAGAAAAATGCTAAAATTTTTATTGACTTAAATAACTTCCCAACATCTGACAAAATATTTTTCGATTTTTTATTATGGGAACACTAAAACAAAAACATTTTGTAATTTCTTACTATAAAATTTAATTTTTTCATATTTTTTTTTAAATCTTACTTGTAGTTTTATACAACAAAGCATATCAAGACTGATTGTTACTAAACATAGAAAATAAAGAACTGTATAGCTTTTGAAAACTGATGTTCCAGAAGTTTTATCAATTATTACTCCAACTAAAAGTGAGACCACACCTGAACCAATTGCATCCCACATTCTTTGCTTTCCAAACTGTTCAACATCGTCGCCCAACAATTCGAAACATATTGTGTCACCCATACTATTGACCACAGAAATTGCTGAAAATCCAAATAAAAGTAATACACAAAATAACCAAAATTCCATTTTCTGAACAACTTCCTTATCGGCTATAGCACCTCTGTTTGCTAAAGTACTTTTTATAAATTCGTCTTCACATACTATTTCACAATTAATCTCAATTGGTTTATCATATATTTGAAAATTTTTTGCTATTTCTAATGAGTCATTAATTTTGTAATACTTGGGATGCTCTTTAATATGTAAACAACTGGAATCAATACTTAAAGTTGCCAAATCTAATTGCATATCATATTCAAAAGAATCAGAATTGGAAGCACACTTTATTTTCTCATTATTTTCTGTACAAAAAACGGTTTTCATCCAAGTTTCGATTTTACAATTTAGATGACATGTGATAATTTTTGAATTATATTCCTCAATCCGTTTACTCAAACAATTGTCCCAAATTGGCTCGTTTGGGCAAAAATATATTTCGGTGGTATTGTTATAATTATGTATGAGTAAAACTTCAGTCGAAATTGGTGGGATGAAAAAGATGCCGAAAAGTGCTATTGCTGTTACACCTTGCATAAGTATAAAAATAAGTTTATGTATTTTATAACGATCACCTAACCAACCAAAAATTGGTTTGGAGATTGTTGCCAGTAAAAGTAATACTGTTAAAATAATTCCAACAACAGTCGATGAGAACCCTTTCTGCCGAGCAATAATTGGCAAGTTCGTCGTTAGTGGGCCCATACCTTTGAAAAAAAAGAAACAAAAATTTCATAAATTTTTTTTTTATATTTTTCTACAGCAAAAAGTGAAACATATCCGAAATAATATAAACTAATTAATATTTTCGTTTCAATATCATAGACATTTTCCAATAATAAAATATAATTTGAAAAAAAAAAGTGATTTTGTTTTAAAACAGCTAATCAGAATTTGTCTACACAAATATTTTAACCTCAAAGTAAAATTTTCTTAACTTGTCAAAAAATTAAAAAAATCGCACTTACCATGGCAACGGACTATTTGACAGTGACACTATAAAATTTGAGCTTTAAGGCCAGAAAAACACACCACATTAATTTGCACTTTCAAATTCCATCTGTTTAGGGTAGATTTACCAACTGAATTATACTTTCACTGAATCGCGAGTATATAATCGCAAATTAAAAAATTTTAGTAAAATGTGCGATAGATGAAAAAACCAAAAAACAAAAAAGATAGGTAAATTGAAAAACGAGAACAGAGAAACTTAGAGCATAAATTTTTTTTTGTCAATTCTTTGGGTTAGGTTTGAATTTCTGTGTGATTTTTAGCACTTTTCCAAAAATTTTTTGAAAAAAAGTGCTTATTAGTTTCACTCTATCCGTCCGTCCGTCCGTGGACACTTTTTTTGTTTACAAAACTTCTAAACCCTTAAAGATAGAAAGCTGAAATTTAATACGTACATACATCTTTATTAGAAACTTATTTTCGTAGAACAAAACTTTTACCTATCTCCACCTCCCTAGAAGTTGCACCCCCCAAAACCCTAAAACTGGCCGTTTTTAAATAGTGGTCGCAATGAAACCATAAGCATTTTTGAAATTTTGCAAATGCAGAAAGGCAGCCGCTTGCTTCCCCTAGCGCAGTATATTATAGTTAAACTTTAGAAAAACAATATGGCTGTTCAAATTTACTGTTATCTAAAGTGCTTTTTTTCCAAATTTTTGATGTCGTTTTTCTTCTAGACCCCAGCCTGTAAAAGCTTGAAATTTTAAGAGCTTTTAGACATTTACAAATAGTTCATTTCGTTAGAAGAAGTTTTTTTTCCATCACCATCCTCTCTCAAGTTATCGCCTCTTGAAATTTGTAAAATTTGAATTTTTGAAACGGTAACGGTAAATTCCATGACATTAAAAAATATAATTATTTTTCTTAACTCACACAATTAAACCTTAAAATCGAGCATTATGTTAACACCACTTTATATTAATTTTTGCTTTATTTCGAAGACTGCATATATGCATCATCCTAAATATATGCAATCCTAGAAATAGTTTTGTATATGAATGAAAATAATTTTAATAGTGTGATACGAATACATAGACTGCGCATTTAAAAGCAGAATTTTCACTTGTCGAAGGGAAAAGTACTACAATACAAACTATTGGTTTGACCCATCTTTAAACTTAAAGCAACAGAAAACTTAAAGCAAAAGTCATTTAACAGTTTCAGAACTAAAATTATAGAATAATAAAACGAATAAAAAATTTTTTCCGGCCTGTGAGGCTCTTCTTTAAGCAATTTAATATGAATACATTTCCGTATGTTCAACAAACATTTATGCGTATGGATCCACATATAGTTATAAGTTACAAGTGCCCGCACGAAAGTATGTTAGAAGTGCATTAATAATTTGCATCCCGTTTATACTGCTGAGAAACAGTCGAAAATAGGCATGCGCATATATTTTTTCTCAGCATCGAATTTGGAGTTGATTTATTTTGAGCCATGTCTGTCCTAGCGACTGCTTAAAAATTAATTGAGCTAAATAAAACTGATTTTCACAAATGATATATGATGGTAAATAACAGATCCCATTTTTATTGAATTAAATTGGAGGCAGTGCTTTGGGTACCTGCTATAAGGCTTCAAAAGTTATTTTATAATTTTTTAAAAATTGTCAAAGTTGTATTTTATTTAAAACTGTTATGTATAATACTCGTAATTAAAGCCGTTGAAAATACTTGACTCTTTGTACTAACTGCTATACAACTTCAAAAATTATTTGATCATATATCAGAAAATATGTACTAACTATTACAGTTATACAGTACTAAGATTTGCACAAATGAATATGGTAATATGATCATTATTTTCGGTAAAAGTCATTGCCATTGTATAAGTTTTATACAAAAAAACAACAACCAAAATATTGTATAAAGCACTGTGCTAATCTTTCATTCGTACAACTATCACAGAGTTGAACGGTTTCAATTCTATTTCCACTCTCTTTTTGCTACTAAAATAAATAGTATACTTTTAAGTATACTATTATTTGTTAACATATGAAATCGAATACACTAATTGATCTTATTTATGCGTATTTATTTGTTCTTACAAACACATTTTATAACTAAGTATACGAATTTGAATTAAATATTGTTTGTATAACAATATTAGATATTACGAAATGTTAGCAATTTAAAATTTTTTCAACTAATTATTAATTTTAAGTTTGTTATATAATAATTTTAGAAATTGTTAGTAGTTAAGTAAACACAATATTAATGATAATTATTAAAACGGAATAAGATTAAAGAAACAATATTAATCGATTCTATGTTGTAATAGATGACTTATCAGCGCTAAAATTAAAATAAAACAAAAATCATATTATTTTTAAATTTAAAACTTACCTATATTAAATAAAAAATAATGCAATTTTATAGGTAATAATTTTGTATTAATTGATGGAAATAATTTTTTAATCATCTTTTAAATTTTTATTTAATAATACCGTATAACAATTATGTTAATAAAATCTTAAACAATTAAAACCTACTGCTTACTGTCAAATGTAAACTACGAATAACAATAAAAATAGATTAAAAGATTTATCAAAGATCTCTTATCATATTTTCTCTGAGAAAAAATTGAATTCTCAAATTATTGTCTCAAAATTTGACTACAAAAATGAGTGTAGTACAATTTTTTTTTAGTAAAAATGTTTATTCTTCTTCATTTTACACTTATGTACATAATTAATCAAATAAAAACATTTTCTATAATTTTTTGTTTTTAGATCAAATAAGATACCAGTATAATGTACGTTGTGTATAAATTATTTTAATTAATCAGTATTCTAAAGAATTGTTTTCCTAAATAAACACCGAATAAATAATAATATGAAAATTTTTTAACAGACTGTACGGCAATTGGTCAACATAATTCAAATGTTTTTATCACCAATATTCTGTTAGACTCGTCACCTGAGGCGATATTAGTCAGGATATTAAGAAAATTTTTAAATTTCAAATTTTATTTTTCATTTATCTAACAGTCAATCAAATGATGCGTCTAAAAGAAACTGGTAGTACATTCAATGCATGTTTCCTAATAGACCTGATATCTAAGTTTATTGAAATTTTCAATTATGTATAAAACAAGAAGCTTCAGCATGTATGAATTGTTGACGCACATGCAAAACCATTAAAATTTTTTATAGTCATTCAAATACTTAAGAAGGTTAGTGTACCAAAAAGTTTTTAGTAAATATTGTTTATTTTTTTAATTGATTTCAATTGAATTGTTCTCATCATGAATTCAATATCAAAAATTTAATTGCTTAATAGTGTCTATTAATAATTTGGTAACGATAATTGGCGCGAAATATTTAATATTAGTCATTTAGTGCAATACTTTTTAGTTCAAAGCTTGTTTTTTTGGTAAAATGACTGTATAATTGTGTGCTGGATTTGAATTTTATCTTATTTTAGAATTTACTATTGTTAAGTTTTTTAATTATATAAGAAAATAATAATAATATTAGTGCAATAATTTTTATATTGGATACCGGATTAATTCAGAGAAAAATATTAAGTGCTATTCTTCATTTTTTCAATGGAATTATTCCATTAAAAAACACTAAATTGAATGTTGCCAATGAATAAATTTTAAAAGATTTGTATATCATTTATTGAACATACACATAAATATAAATATTATATTGTTATATAAATTTGAATGTTATTGCTTTAAAATTAAATAATTACTTAACAATAACAATTCAAAAAAAAAAACAAGTGACAAATATATAACCATAAAATTTAAATTAATTTAATAAAATTTACTTTTAAAGATTACGTGAACTAAAACATGAATTATTAATGTACTTAAACCTAAAATTCCAAAAATCATAAAGGCAATGTTTCCAGTAAAAAATTCAAATAAATATCCTGCTACAAAAGTACCAGTTGAGACTCCAACCCCTTGGAAAAGTGCACCAACTAATCCCTATAAAAATTATATTTAATTGTTTTTCAAATTAATCAATTCATTTTTTTTTATTTAAAATTTGTTTACTTGTATTGTAGCTTCCATACCAGGTAAAGCTATATAATTAGCATAGGATGCCATCGTTGCCAATAATAAACCATAAGTTATTCCATTTAATAATTCAATTGGTAACACCCACCATGGATTTAATAAAAGTGAATAATAGAAAAATCTAGCTATAAATGCTCCAAAAATTATATGCATACAATTAACATGTCCAAATTTTTTTAGAAGATATCCAGACCAAAAGAATACTGGTATTTCACCAATACAAGTTTGCGTGAACATAGACAAACCTTCTATTGTTTTAATATAATTTCCGCCACATTCATTTTGTGTGATTTCGTCTGATAATTCCTCTAAATGCCAAAACAGAAAATTTCCAATGGCTGCTGAAAAAATTCCAGCAAAACAACACCAACAAAAATATGTAACTACTTTTATTGATTCGAACAGCTTTCCAACATCTTTTATAATATTTTTTACTTTTTTAGATTGAGTAAACTAGAAAATTAAAAATTGAATTAAAATATATGGGGCGTTATTACTTAAAATCAAAAAAATCAAAAAGAGACAATCCTTTTTTTTAAAACCTTTGAAGCAAAAAAACGCGTAACTATTATAAAATAGAGAATGATCATTATGGGAAAGATATGTCCCAAAATTTTTAAATGTTATTTTGCAAGAAATTAGAAAAAAGCGGTCTTTGTATTGTAAGATAGAAAGCTTCATTAAATTATATCCACGAGAAAAACAATGACGCACTCCCCACTCCACGCACCACACAACGAAAATAATTGTTTTATGAACTTACATTTAGTCTGATTGATGATATCATGTTCAGAGAAATCGATACTAAACACAAAAAATACACAATTGTGTAATTTTTAAACAGAGATTGCCCGGAAACTACATCAATTATAATACCAGTGACAACTGAAGAAATTCCTGATCCAACTGAGTCAAACATCTTTTGTCTTCCATATAAATGACTATCCTCTCCTAGCAAATCGAAACAAATCGTGTCAGCCATACTAACTACTACAGAAGCAGCAGAATAACCAAGTAAATATAATCCGGAAAAGATCCAGAATTCATACTTCAGAGTGATTTCATCATCTGGTAGAGTTCCTCTATTTACCAAAGAACTTTTCAAAAAATTATCTTCACAATTTATTTCACAGTTCACATCGTAAGTTTTAGCATACAATGGTGCTTCTTCAAAATACCCAAAAGCATTTAAGTTTGAAATATTTTTAAATTCTCTCATAACTAAACAAGTTGCATTCTTTTCAATTGTTCTCATATCAATAAAAATTCCATATTGAAAAGTTTTCATATTCAAAATGCACTCATCATTCTTATAATCACAAAAATTTTTTTCCATCCATGTTTCAGGCTTACAACTCAATTGACATTTGAAAATTGTCGACTCATAATTTTGAATTCTTTCATCAAAACAATTATCCCATACTGGATTTCTTGGACAAAAAATTATTTCTGTATTATTAGCATCACTTTTTACTGTTACATTACTTGAAAATGATGGCACAAAATAAATTAAAAAAAATGATAATGCGGTTATTCCTTGCATGGTTATAAAAATAGATTTGTGTAGTTTAAAACGATCAGCTAACCAACCAAAAGCAGGACGTGATATCATTCCTATTAAATTGAGCGTAGTTAATAAAAATCCGACAACACCCGACGAAAGTCCTTGTTGCCTTGCTATAATAGCCATGTTTGCAAAAATCGCTCCCGTCCCTTAGAAAAAATAATTCTTTTTGTATTATTGTAAAATTAATTTATTCTAAGTAAAATTTTGTATTCTTATATACACATAAATAAACATATACATAAAACACATATGTAAAATAATTAAGTTGTCGTGGATTTCCTCCACAGACATCTTTATTCTCATTATTATTATAGTACATTATAGGAGTCTATGATTTCCTACATAAATTTATACATTAAATACATGTAGTTGTAAATTATATATATTATGTAGGCAATTCACGGCTACGTTATAAGAATTTTCATTTATATTTTTTGAAAAACAAACAGTTTTAAAATAAAAATTTGATGTGGTCAGCACATAACCGAAAATGCCTTTTAAAAACTTCTTTCCAATTTTAAGAAATGTTAGTAAACTTTTAGTTATCATACCTAGAAAAATATAATTTTCCTCTTGTCAGAGTCTCGCTTTGTGTCATCTGAGTTCCCTGAAAAGTTCGTCAATTAGTTTCGGTAGTAAGTAGAACTCAAATATTATATTCCATCAATTAGTTCCATACATATAAAGAAAAATTTAAAATCGACTCCTTGTTTGGTTCTCAAGCCCTGATTTTTCCAAGAAATGTATAAGTTGATTGTTTTAACACCCTGAATTTAAAATATAAATGTCGAGGAAATTGAGGTACGCGTCAAATGTAAAATCGGCCCTCAAAAATTTCTCGAGATCTGATGCATCCTTAAAGTAAATCAATTCGTAACATAACCAAAAGAAATTTAAAAATAAAATTTAACAAAATCGGTTTAGCAGAACTTGAGTTACACGCGTGCACACACACACTTAAATAGATCCAAATTAGAAATTTGGTGCAATCACATAACCTCTCTTAATGAATGCAATGCGGTAGGTAAAAAGTAGAAAGTCTAAGTGATAACATTTAAATATCAAATATTTAACAATGACAATCAAACAATTGTACTAAAACACCTTTCTTTCACAATAGAACAAATTTGTTCTTGTCGTAGAGATGAATATTATAGCTCAGCTCATATTAACAAATTCATAACGTTTAAAAAATGCTGAAACGTAAAGTCATAGGCAATTTGTACATCAAATTACTGCTAGAATAAACAGCACTTGAGCTTATTATAAGGTCATGGATAAATCCTATTAGTCAAGAAGCGCAATTGCTATATAAACTGTTATATTAACAATAAATTCGTTAGGTTTGTCACCTACCTAGTAAAACTCAATGACGTCAAAAACTGGTTCATGGTTATTTACAATAATCATGCACCAGCCCTATGCTCCCGCTAGGAATAAATTAAGATAAAAAAAAAGATTGTTATATTATTCTGTTATATTATTCATAAATATTTCAAACACAATTATTTTTTTAATTTACAATAGATTTGTTCGTAACTTACCCAAATGAAATAAAAAATAATGCATTTTCATTGGCAAAAGCCTATTATTTATTGAAGAAAATAAATTGTTCGGCATTATTTTGTTTTGTAAATTTAAATAATTTTAACAGAACAAGTAAATTTAAAACTATTTTCTAGTTTAATATTCCAACTACTGAAATCATCATATAAATTAAATAAACCGTATTATATAAAACCGCTCTTAACTTGTGTTACAGAGATAATACGTATATATTATGTAGATAACAAGGAAGTCTCATAATTTTTAAATTTAAACTTTGAATGAAATAATCTCTAAGATGAGAGCAGATATAAAATGAGCAACAGTTTTTAAAGATTCTAAAATAATGAGTAAAACAAAAAAACCCTTAAATCTTAGCACACTTTTTTAATTGTTGTTAATTATTTACACACAAACATATTGTCTATTCATTTTTATTATAACAGATATAATTATGTATATCAGGTACTTAATTTTTAGTTATACTATGTTATTTGATATACTAACAAATGTGTTTCTTTCTCATTCATAATATTTAATTAATATTTACTTAGTTAATCATAATTTTAGATTGTGGTATGTATTTGGTGTAGATTACAGCTTTATTAAAGTGGTTTTGAATAGGATGAGCATAGTGCGTAATCTTCGGATATTAATTGATTATATCGATTGGATTTTGGAACTCATATACATAAATATAATTACTGGTCTGGTGGGCGAATTCTAAGCAAAAGAATTTGTTGAACCGTAGTTTATCCATCACCTTGTGTAGGAGGGCATAGTGGCTCCTTCTGTAGGGTTTAGCTTCTTCTAGAAATTATATATGTGTTGAGCCGTATGATCTGACGCTATCATGATACTGACTGTGGCAAGAAAGATCCACGTTAGTAGGATATTGCGTTATCCAGTGTTGGTCTGTATGTGGACGCTTGTTGCTTATTAAACTGGCAGTTGTTCATTCGCGACTTTATAATGAAAATTAGTTAATTACGCTCTTTCGACGAAATGTTTAATGATTGATCTAAGCAATAGTTGCCTGTTATTATTGTATATTACGCCGATCTTACACACGTTATTTTAGAATAATACTTAAGTATAACAAAATCTGGTGAACGGTACATGATAGTATTGTTGTACAGTTTATTTATATTGGTACGAACGTAGGTTCGAAGGGTATTATTAATTTGCATACGCTTTGTAACTTTAAAAATTAATGGTCATAAGAGTGTGCTTTTGATCAGCCTCGAATTCTGTCCCTGCGTCCGAACGATAACTCAAAAACTAATTAAGCTAAGCTCACCAAAATTTCATTGCCTAAACCTTATTTAAATAGGATGTAATCGAAGAAGTGGTTCGGATAGCTGACCCAAAATTATTTGACATTATCTAGGAAATTATAGAACCTACACCATTGAAGTTTCAAATTGCTTGAGTCAAAACCAGTTCAAATTTTTTGAGTCATGGTGGAAGCTGCCATACATTTTCGAAAGTCATTTTATCGTTTATTATGGAGACTATGGAATTTCAGGACTGAAATTTTTCAAAAATCTTTGAGATGGTAAGAGTTGATGTGGTAACTACCATGTATAAATGTTTAAAATATCACAATAAAAGAAGAGGTCGTGTGACACAATGTGGCAATATTATCACAGAATATAATTTTTAAAATCATTCATTCGTAGGGTTATCTCAAAATTGACACGATCAACTATATCTCTTCTCTTTGCATGTAACGTAATTAAAATATTTTTAAAATTAATGTGAAACTACATGACATGGCAGCTACCAAATGGTTGTGGGCAACAATTTCAATTTAGGACTTGCCTAGTCAACTGTTGCAGTCATTCTTGAAGAAACAATAAGTACACTAGAATCAAAATTATTGAATCAGAACACAGCACATATATATGTACACTGTTTTTGCTTCTGTTGTTGAATATATATTGTTCCACTCCGACTCTTGTCTCATAGGAGGCCCAAGACTATTTAGCTGAATTGCAAATTCATCCCAGTCTTTCTTCCACTGCCTTTTTTTAGTATTGAATTTTCATATCCTTTTATCATTTTCATTTCAATGGAAATGGAAATTTAGCATTTTCCATTTTCATTATTCAGTGTTGATCAGTAGGTTTGTAGTATTTTATCCTATTTTGTTTTAGTGTGGTCACCATTGTATTTGGAGCACTTTCCCAAAAAAAAATTAAAAAAAAGTGCTTATTTTACTCCGTCTCCTTCTTATTAATCTTGTACATATACATATAGTTTTCTCTTTCCCTTTATATAAATGATGAAGCTGGTTGCGTATTAAAATGATAGTTGCTTATTTGCGACTTTATAATTTTAACGCCGGAACTGCATATGACGAGCATAGGATTATAACGCCTTTATAATCACTTTGGTATGACACTTAGTATAACAAAATCTGATGAACGGTGCATCCTAGTATTGATGTACAGTATTTACATTTCACACAAAACATTTAACAAAACATTCTTAAAATTTAATTAAAGGCTCTCTTTACGATGATTTTTTATGACTGTTAGAGTTTCAAGTTGAAATTTTAAAAATAAAAGCAGTCCCTATTGTAATACCAGTTCTTTGTTATAATAAGCTTAAAGTCTATTTTTTTGAAAACCATTAATATAATGCAGTGTCGTGCAAAACAAAAAATATAAAAACATAAGCTTAATTGATTGAAAATAAATATAAAAATTTCCAGTGAAGTAAGATAATTAAGGCGCTCCGGTATCTTACAGGCTCGCCTTTAAAATTAATGAAGTCAAGCATTAAAGTAAGTTTTAATAAATAACAACCACAAAGGCGAAACCCCCAGAAACGCTTGATACGTGGTTCAATTTCCATCAGAACTTATTTTTACTTATAATTATAACGTGAAACTATGAACTTATAATCAGTATAAAAAGTTCCTTCAAATCAACAAATATATATTTAATTATATATGTATAACATTATTAATAGCATAATAAAAATAATATGTATAACATTCTTATATATGTATAACATTTATTAAAAATAATTACAAAAATTAAAATAAATATTTTCTGAATGTTAAAAAATTTTAATTTAATACGTTAAAAAAATTTTGTTTTTAAAATGACATGAACTAAAATATGAATTATAAATGCGCTTAATGCTAAAATCCCAAAAATCATAAATGCAACGCTTCCACCAAGAAATTCAAAAAGAGTTCCTGCTAAAAAATTACCAACAGAAACGCCAATACCTTGAAAAAAGGTTCCAACTAGCCCCTAAAAAATTATATTAATCCAATAAATTTTCTTATATAAATTCTAAACGATTTTCTTACTTGTGTTGTAGCTTCCATACCAGGTCGAGCTATATAATTAGCATAAGATATCATAGTTGGTAATAACAAACCATATGTTACACCATTTAATAACTCATTTGGTAACACCCACCATGGATTTGATAAAAGTGAATAATAAAACAACCGCACTACAAATCCTCCAAAAATTATATGCATACAATTTACATGTCCAAATTTTTTTAAAAAATATCCAGACCAAAAAAGTACTGGTATTTCACCAAAACATGTTTGTATAAACATAGATAAGCCTTCCAATGTTTTAATATAATTTCCGCTACATTCATTTTGGGTGATTTCATCTGATAATTCTTCTAAATGCCAAAAGACAAAACTCCAAACGACTGCTGAGAAACATCCAGCAAAACAACACCAAGAGAAAAATGTTACTATTTTTATTGATTTAAATAATTTTCCAACATCTTTTATAATATTCTTAATTTTCTTAGATTGAGTAAACTAGAAAAAAAAAATTAAATTAAAATACATCAAACGATGTAATAAAAATTCAAGAAGAGATAACCCTAATAAAATTTAATAATACACCTGACTATAAAGCAATATAGAAGATTAGCATTAGTTTAATTAGCTATAGAAATATATAGAAAAAAAGAACTGCTTACGATAATTTCTAACTGTCATTTTAAGAGATCCACACTGTTACACAAATCGAATTTAATCAAATCGTATAAAATATTATTTTATCGTATACAAGTAATCGAGGGAGGTAAGGACAATAGAAACACCGTCAATAATAATCTCATTGCAACTTATAATCAATGAATCCTTATTAATTCAAGTTGAATACTTTAAATGTTCAAATGAAATGCAAGCATTCCCTTTTTTAATCATATAAGCAGTGATCGAAGTGGGATACTCAAAGTGGTGGGATGGTAAAAAAAAAAATAAAAAAAAAATAAAAAAAAGTATTATTTTAGTTATTTTTTAAAAAAATAACTCCAAAATTAAATCAACTAAAAATTGAATCAAAAACTGTGCAAATTGTTACCAAAGAAATGCATATACTACTATGTAGTAACGAAAATTTCATTAATAGAAAAAAATTATACGTTACTATTTGAAATTGGTCTTATTTAAAATTACATATATGTATTTAATTTTTTATTAAAAAAATTTTTAAAATTCATTAGAAAATTTTCTTAAATTTGAAAAACATGTTCCGGAACGCATTTTTCTCTCCTATTAAGTGGTGGGATAGATTTCCAATTATTTAAAAGTACTGGGATGGCATCCCACTCCATCCCGCCTCACTTCGAGCACTGCATATAAGTAAAAAAAAATCTGATGTGGTCAGCACATAACCGACCGCATTGTGCATTGTCTAGTTAAGTGAAAGTGTTACAGAATATTATAAAAATGCCTGTTAATTACCTCTTTCCAATTTTTAGGACATTAATAAGCTTATAGTTAACATACCTAGAAAAATGTAAATTTGGCTCTTAGTAGAGTTTCGCTTTGTGCCACCCGAATTCCCTGAAATGCTCGTCAGTTAGTTTTGGTAACAACCAGAACTCAAATATCAAATTTCAAGTAATTCTATCAATTAGTTCCGTAGATATAGTGAAAAATGTAAAATCGGCCCGCAGATCAGTTTTCGAGCCCTGATCTTTCCAAAAAATTTATATGTTCATTATTTTAATACGAAGAACCTAAATATTAAATTTCAATGAAATCGGTTGATTATTTCTCTTTATATACAGAAAAATTTATATTTGGCCCGTAGTAAACGTCCAGTTGCTGACACCTGATTTCTTCCAAAAGTTAGGAGGTTTTGCGGCCGGTTGAGCGAAGCTTATATATGAAATTTCAAGCAAATCGGTTGAATAGTTTATTTAAAATGATCAAAAATGTAAAACAGGCCCGCTAAAAAGTGCAGTTCCCGAGGCCTGATATATCCCAAAAGTTGATCGATCCGTGCCATGGTGGAAATAAACTTACATATAAAATTTCATAAAAATCGGTTCAGTAGAACTTGAGATACAAGCGTGCACACACAGACCGACAGACCGACAGACCGACAGACCGACAGACCGACAGGTTGCTAAAAATAGTTTATTTACACTTCCCTACTATGGAGAAGTGCATTCCCACCGAAAACTCGATATGCAAAATTTGTTGCCATCACATAACCTACCTATTGTATACACAATACGGTCGGTAAAAATCAAATATGAAAAAAACGATATGTGCGAAAAATACTTACGTTTAGCCTCATTGAAGACAGCATGTTAAGAGAAATCGATATTAAACACAAAAAATATACAATCGTGTAGTTTTTAAACACAGATTTCCCGGAAACCACATCAATTATAACACCAGTGATAACTGAAGCAATTCCTGATCCGACTGAATCAAACATTTTTTGTCTTCCATATAAATGGCCTTCCTCTCCTAGCAAATCAAAGCAAAACGTGTCAGCCATACTAACCGCTACAGAAGCAGCGGAATAACCAAATAAATATAATCCGGAAAAAATCCAGAATTCATATTTTTTCATGATTTCATCATCTGGTAGAGCTCCTCTATTTACCAAAGAACTTTTCAAAAAATGATCTTCACAATTTATTTCACAGTTTACATCCAATATTTTTGCATACAATGGTGCTTCATCAAAATATCCAAAAGCATTTGAATATGAAATATTTTTAAATTCTCTCATAATTAAACAGGTTGCATTCTTCTCAATTGTTCTCACATCAATAAAAATTTCATATTCAAAAGTTTTCATATTCGAAATGCAATCATAATTTTTGTAACCACAAAAATTTTTTTTCATCCATGTTTCAGGCTTACAATTCAAATGGCATTTGAAAACTTTCGATTCATAATTTTGAATTCGGTTTTCAAAACAATTATCCCACACTGGATTTCTTGGACAAAAAATTATTTCTGTATTATTAACATCACTTTTTACTGTTACATTACTTGGAAATGATGGCACAAAATAAATTAAAAAAAATGATAATGCAGTTATTCCTTGCATAGTTATAAAAATAGATTTGTGTAATTTAAAACGATCAGCTAACCAACCAAAAGCTGGACGTGATATCATTGCTGTTAAATTAAGAACTGTAAATAAAAATCCAACAACACCTGACGAAAGTCCTTGTTGCCTTGCTATAATAGCCATGTTTGCAAAAATCGCTCCCGTCCCTTAAAAAAATAATTTTCTTTGTTTAATTATAATATAAATTTATTTTAAGTAAAAATTTGTACATAAATGAATGAATTGCCTACATAAATATGTTTATAAAATAAATAGTTACAAAACTTATTTGTATAAGCAATTCACGGCTTCGTCCTAAACTTCCTTGACATTTTTCAAACGGGTAACAGTTTTCATACATATTTACACCTATGTACATATTAAAGATTTTTATAAACGTCATACTGTAACTGCATAACTCAATACTTCAAAAATGTACGTAATTGTATGCATTTTTATTACTACTGTATCTACTGTACAAAAGCAAAACAGTTCATAAAATTTTATTGCGCTACTTAATAATTTCATAACAATGTGATTTAATTTCACAATTACACTCATAGCAATGTGTGTGAACGTACTAGATTACCAACATTCATTTATAAATATAAATATATCGCAACATTTACTATGTTCACGCGATATACTTACATATATCACAAATTACCGACCAATTTCAGTTTTGGTTTGAGAGTTATGTTTACGAACGATACTGTCAGTGTCAAAAAAAAAAATCGAGAAATGTGTATTGATATTTGATGCTAATTATGACTTGTATTATTTTCCTACTCTCTAAACATCAAAAATAACATGGTTTGGATTAAAATAGAAAGTAGGTTGTCGTAATATGCTTGCTTAAACAGAGATTAATGGCGAATTTCAAGGAAAACAAAAAAAAAATTTAAAGAAAAACATATTATTATATTATAAGAGCGGGAGGGTGGAGAGGCACAGTTTCTACTGATTGCACATAAAAATTAGTTTTAAGTTTTCACAATTGTATAATTTTAGAATATAATTAGGTATAATTATTCAGTTTTTCACAATGAACTAAAAGTGGAAAATTAAAACATGTCAACTATTCCAAACACATAAACAACAGTAAAGAACAAAATAAAAACCAACACAATATAAAACACAAAATATTCCAGAAACTTGTGATATCGACAGTAAATCTCTGACTGGTCTTAACTCAACATTCCAAACGAGTGTACAGTACATAAGTAATATTACAAAAGATCAATTGTCCAGCATCGAACTGAAAAAGGATATTGAAAACCAAATTAATTGACAAATATTAAGTAAAGATTGAAAAAAGATTAAAAATTTCTTGCACACTCTTCTTAATAGTTTTATTTTTTATTAATATAAAGAATACTTGACTTCCAAAATGCAGTAATACGCAAAATAAAATTATGCTAATTATAATTATATTCAGCTTATGAGCATGAATTGTTGAATTGTATAATGCAGTAACAAACGTATTACTGCATTTTGAAGGTCAAGGAATGTTATTATTTTATTTAAGACAGATTAAAAAGGAAATTATCAAACACTAAATTAGTTTTTATAAAATCTTAATCGCATTGAACGTTCACACAATAGCGTTAATCGTTTGTCACACAAAATTTTCATAAATTACAAGCACTGTTCGTAACATACCCAAATGAAATAAAAAATAGTGCATTTTCATTGGCAACATTTTTGTGTTTATTGTGGAAAATAAATTTTTCGCCATTACTCTTTTTTACAAATTTAAAAAAAATTAAAAAAACAAAAAAATAAATTCAACTGAACGAATAAATTTTAACCTAGTGTCTTGTTTTATATTCGAAATACTGAAATTATAGTACTAAAAAAATATATATATAGGAGCATTTTCTTGTTTTTGTTCTCATCTCTAAGATGAGAACAAATACAAAGTGAACAAGAAATTCAAATCAACAGTGTTGTTAAAAATCTACAAAAAAAAAACACATCTAAAATTTTACACACCATTTTAATTGATGATTTAATTATTCCCAAACACATAACTATTTAACCATAGTTATGTATGACAGGTACGTACATAGTTATATTATATACCCATATACTCACGAATCTTATTATTTTGCAGTCATAGTATTTAAGTCAAAGTCGCTAATAAAAATCTTAGTAAATTTGGTCGTTATAACTTACGGTTACTAATTTTATTTCCAGCTGTTGAAATAAAAACAAATTTAACATTTTATCTGTATATTTTATTACCAAAATTTGATGTGAACCACACACGATCGACAGCTATATTTTCTAAAAATAGAAACAATATTTATGTATACACACATACTAATAAGCCAGTTTTTTTTAATTTGGTGGAAGAGGAAAAAAGCGTTAAAAGTAAAATGATTTTAAGTATTTAAAATCAGTTAACTACTAATACAAGGGTTAGTATACATTTAGTATACTTCCTTTTCTCTTGACAAAAAGTCCGATTTTTAGAGTGCAATGTACCGCAACAGATTGTCAATATATTAACTTCATTAAAATAGATTAAACTTAAATCGAGATAAAATGTAAAACAGACTGACCGACAGACAAATCTATATATTAAAATGTCGCTAGACATACTTTATTTACGTCTCTATAACATGGAGAATTGTATTTATATTGAAAATTTAATTCATAAAATTTGGTGCGATAATAATACCTTCCTTACTGTTAACAATAGGCAGAACACCAATGTCAAAAAAATTAAAGTTCACTAAAAGAAAACAATCAACAAAATGCAAAACTTTAACATTTATCCGCCGAATAAGGGTCTATTGAGTTTTTCTAAGGTCGGAACATTTTAAACATTTTTTAAGGTCGAAATTTTATTCGACCGAACTCTCGAAAAACTGAGTTAAAAAAAAACGAGTAAAATAACGATTATAATAAGGAAAAATAAAAAGGTGGCTATCTTCATTAAAATACGGTATTTCTGCAATGTATAGTTTTCGGTAACGAACTACAAAAGTATTGTGACAGTTGCTTTTGCTTCCCAGCAATGTCAACGTATTATCGTGACATTGTAGTTTTTTGTAAATTTTTGTGTATGTACTCGTACTTTGGTGTAGAATTTCCTCATTTACACATTTTTGATTGCAAATGTAAGTTCTTTTTATTATTTTACTGCAATTATTTATTTCCGTGTACATATTGTTCAAAATTGTTTCTAATGTTAAATTGATAAAATTTGGACATCAGAATAAATAATGCTGCGTATACAGACAAATTTCTTTGCTTTATTTATTCGACTTTTTTTTGGATGTACGTCTTGTTAAAAACAATTTAATAGTTGAAATTTTTTATCTTTTCAATTCTGAATTAATAATAAGTCGATTTCCTTGCATTTTGCTATTTAATTCCAAATCCCAGATTGAGTCATGATAAATTTGAATCTATAACATTTTGTTAACATTTCAGCAAACATTTCAATTAAAAAAATTCTATAATGAACATAACTTCGACACTTACACAATTTCTACAACGGTTCTACAAAAAAGTTTTGTAGAACTGTTTCGGCTGTTTTGATATCAGTTTTTTCTACATTTATGCAGACTAGGGAATTACTTCATTGTTCGACCAATTTTATTTTTCTGCATAGGAAAATTACATACATATTTTTAAAATTTTTTAATTGCATGCTGGTGTATATTTATAATGGTTTTTTATGTTGCTATAAAAAATATTTTTATAGTTTTAAATTAACTTTTTTAAATTAAAAACTAGTTGTGTTAAGCTTTTAAAAACTTAATTTTTAAAAGCCATCACAATAGGCGTCAAAACAAAAACATAAATAAATTTTATTGATTGAAAATAAATATGTATGTATGTATAAAAATTTCCAATGAAGTAGTTAAATTAGCTTGAATTCAATTATCAATTCCTAAGAAAATTTACAGGGTATATCTAGCTGGCTCGATTCGAAATTCAAGATGGGAGTGCATTAAATTGAGTATGAAAAAGCTCTCAAAAAAACTTGACATTAAATTATTTTAAATTATAAATTATACAAAATTATATAAAACTAAGAATCTATAATAGTAATCAGTATAAAAACACTCCATATATTTTATTACATAAAACATTTCTGTGAAAAATATTTACAAATATTGCATCAAATTTTCCCGGAGTGTCGAATTTCTTTAAAAAAATTTTGTTTTTAAAATGACATGAACTAAAACATGAACTATAAATGCACTTAATCCTAAAACTCCAAAAATCATAAATGCAATGCTTCCACCAAAAAATTCAAATAGAGTTCCTGCTAAAAAATTACCCACAGAAACTCCAACTCCTTGGAAAAATGCACCAACGAGTCCCTGCAAAATTATAAAATATTATTTAAAATACTTCTTTAACTTTTAATATTAATAATTACTTTTATATTCAACTTTAAAAAAAAGATTTTCTTACCTGTACTGTAGCTTCCATACCAGGTTGAGCTATATAATTAGCATATGACGCCATCGTTGCTAATAATAGACCGTAAGTTATACCATTTAATAATTCAATTGGTAACACCCACCATGGATTTGATAAAAGTGAATAATAGAATAATCGTGCTATGAAAGCTCCAAAAATTAAATGCATACAATTTACATGTCCAAGTTTTTTTAAAAGATATCCAGACCAAAAGAATACTGGTATTTCACCAATACAAGTTTGGGTGAACATAGACAAACCTTCCAATGTTTTAATATAATTTCCGCCACATTCATTTTGGGTGATTTCATCTGATAATTCCTCTAAATGCCAAAAGACAAAACTCCAAATGACTGCTGAGAAAATTCCGGCAAAACAACACCAAGAGAAAAATGTAACTATTTTTATCGATTTGAATAATTTTCCAACATCTTTCATAATATTTTGTGATTGTTTAGATTGTGTAAACTAAAAAAAAATAATATTTTTTACCTTTTTTTTTAATTCTTAAGCCCTTCTTTAAAAGTAATAAAGTATAGAAAAATTTTGGTAAAAAATCATGTAAATAAAACTTACATTGAGCTTCATAGACCAAATCATGTTAAGTGAAACTGACGCCAAGCAGAAAAAATATACGATTGAATAATTTTTAAACAGGGAATGACCGGAAACTATATCAATTATAGCCCCAACAACAACTGCCGAAGTTCCTGCTCCAACTGAATCAAACATTTTTTGTTTTCCATACAAATGACTATCCTCACCTAATAAATCAAAACAAATTGTATCAGCCATACTCATTACAACTGAAGCAGCAGAATAAGCAAGCAAAAGTAATCCACAGAATAACCAAAAGTCATATTTTTGAGTGATTTCATCATCTGGTAGAGTTCCTCTATTTACCAAAGAACTTTTCAAAAAATGATCTTCACAATTTATTTCACAATTTACATCATACATTTTGGCATACAACGGTGCTTCATCAAAATACCCAAAAGCATTTAAATGTGAGATGTTTTTAAATTCTCTCATAGTTAAACAAGTTGCATTCTTTTCAATTGTTCTCATATCAACAAAAATTTCATATTGAAAGGGTTTCATATTTGAAATGCAATCATCATTATTGTTATTATCACAAAATTGTTTGCGCATCCATGTTTCAGGCTTACAACTCAATTGACATTTGAAAATTTTTGATTCATAATTTTGAATTCTGTCATCAAAACAATTATCCCATACTGGATTTCTTGGACAAAAGAATATTTCAGTATTGTTCAAAATTGTTCTTACCTTAACCTGGCTGGCAAAAGGTGGTACAAAATAAATTAAAAAAAATGATAATCCGGTTATTGTTTGCATAGTTAAAAAAATCGACTTGTGTAATTTAAAACGATCGGCTAACCAACCAAAAGCTGGTCTTGATATCATTGCTAATAAATTAAGAACTGTTAATAAAACTCCTAATACTCCAGATGAGAAACCTTGTTGTCTTGCTATAATAGACATATTTGCAAAAATTGGACCGGTACCTTGATATTTAAAATAAACAAATAATTATAGTTCACGAATATATAAATGCAAGTTACAAATATAAAAATGCAATTGAAAATATTAAATAATTTTTACTTAAATAGAATTTTACTTTTTATGATAAAATTATAACAAAATATTGACAACAAACAATTATTGTTTCTGAATATTCCCCACAGATTGTGCTTTATTATTATAAATATAATAATTTGCCATTGCAAGTACATAATATTATTATGCAAGTAATTTTAAAATAACATAAGTAAGGCAAAATGAATATATGGTGAACGTGATGAATAATTCATTCTGATGCAAAATGCAAATTTATTTTTGAAACTATCAGTCTTATTCTACTAGGAGCGTCGCATTTGTGACAGTCAAATTTTTTTTTCACTTCGCATGTTTTTTTGGCATTCTACTAGATGCGAAATGTGATATGACAGAAGAAGCGAGACTCGAAATTTTTTGATCTAAGAAATTTAGAAAATAAGAAATAGTAAATTAGAGAAAGTAAGATATTTTTTTTTGTTTTTGGGTTGAAGAAGACGTGAAAGTGATGAAGAACATTAGGAAAATGATACTTATATCTTCTTCATTTTGTTTAAATTTTAATTTTCAACAACTTTTATATCTCGATGTTGTATATATGCGACTAAATGTTACCAAAAAAAGTGACAATTTTAGAAATGCGTATTGCAAAATAACATTATGAACGTTTTTTGTGACAAGTAATAAGAAGCGTGTCTAGTAGAATAACAAATGCTTCACCTAACATATTTTTATGTTCAGTAGAATAAGGCTGTATATCTTTTTCCATAATTATGTATTATTAAATTTTCCTCTTTTAAAGCCATTAATATTTAAATTACTGTTTTTCAGAAAGCTTTACAACATTATACTAAAATTCAAATTTTTGATTTAAATATACATATTTGCATTTCATCAATTAACCCTATTGAACCTTTCTCAATAATTTTCATTTTATTTCACACCATATTATATTTCCAATAAAGTTTTCGTCTCTCTTTCCCTTTCATTCTGAGTTTATAAGGGAATTGTTTGAAATTAAGCACAAACTTCCTAAAAATTTAGAAACCAATGTAAATCAGCAAATTCGATATTATATTGTGTTGTCTATTTATAATATATGTATGTATAGATTGTGAGAATAAATAGGTTGTCATATTTATAAACAATAAATTGACATTAAAAAATCACATTAGTTTCACATAAAAATAATGTTAACATTTTTCATTGACTCTGTACAATAGCAAACAAAATTACGAATTATTGAGACAAATGTACTTACATATAAGGAACTTACCTAAGTGAAATAAAAAATAATGCATTTTCATTGGAAATAGCCTTGCATTAATTGAAGAAAATAGATTTTTTGACATTTTTAAAAATTTGAAAATAAATTAAAATAAAAAATTTATGAAATCCTCTGTCTGCTCCTATAAATTCAAACTATCTACTGAAATACGAGTAATGTTAAAATTAAACGATGCATCTTAAAAAATCTCTTATCATATTTGTAGTTTTTATTACAGAGATAATGAGGAAATCTCTTAAATTTGTAAATAAGTAGGTACACTTAAATTCTGAATGAAAGACATAAAACTAAAACAATTACGATGATGAATTGAAAATTGTAAAATGAAAAATAGTAAGAATGAAAAATATTAAAATTTACTTTTTATACAATATATAATTTTTTTTTTCTTTATGGCATATTTTTGGTTAATAATTTAAATAATTTATTTACCCTTATGTTACACGCATATATGGGCATATACGCGCATATATTATGGGTTTTAGATAATGTTTTATAATATTTAGTTAGATAAAAAAAAATTTAAATATTTACAATTGTCTGACCATTGATAACAAGGTAAAATCTAGACATAAACTATATGTAAAATATAAAAATTAGACAATTTTTCTGTTTATATTCTGAATAATTGTTGTTCACTATAAAGTAGTGAAATCATCCTGTATACGGCGCTCTATTTATTCGTAGCTTAGAACTACCACCTGTTGTTAGATATATAAAGATATTAAAGTATGTATATTTCATAAAATTTAATTAAATTGTTGTTTAAACTTTCAGCGCCATTTATAGTAATGGTAATAATCTAAAACTCTTAGCACGTGTATTTTTCATTCAGTTTGTTTTGGTTTTTTTAAGTTTCTATTTTAGTTTGCTTCAAAATGAATGTATACATGTTAAGATTTTATATGAATAATAAATTAAATAAAAAATTATAAATAATTAATAATAAAAATTCAATTAATAATTTTATTAATGAACAGTTCTAAAAATTAAATTGTAATATAGCAATAAAAGGGTTACAGAAGATTATGAAATATTTTATATCATAAAAATACAAAATGTAAAAAGTTTGAGCATCACTGCTCCAAGAATTTTAAAATTTAAAACCCCTTACTTTAATTTCTTAACAATATAAAATTGCCGGCTCAATAACCATTTCCCTAATTTTATTTTACGTCGCAAATTTACGAAAACAATGACATAAGTCAAAATGCAGAGTCACAAACTTTCATTTATTACTGTCATACTTCAATATATAAAGCTTTCCATAATAAAATAATACAGAAAATTTGATCATATACTTGTAGTATAGTTCTATACCAACGTTTTTTAGCCTTCGTTAGTAATTTAAGCTCGGCTATAAATACTTTAAATTCCGGAATACGAAGATATATTTTTTAGTTGTGTCCCAGTGTGCGATATATTTGCATACATAATATGCTGAGTATATTGAGAAATATTTAAAATTTCTATGTGTCATGTATAAACTTCCATTTCTCAAAGTATTTGAATCGAGTGGTCTAATGTTAATTCGTTCTAAAAATAAATGTACATACATGTTAAATTTGCTTAAATGCATTATGCTAGTAAGGAGCTGTAAATTGAAAAATGGCTACTAATTAAAAATTTTATATGAAGTTTATTTGCATTTTTAATTTATTTTTATTTTATTTTTGTTATAAAATAATAATGACATATTTTTTTTTAAAATAAGCTAGTCTCTATGAGTAAAAATAAAATTTTAATATTATTTTAATTTATTCAAATTTAATTTTAAAAAGAAAACAATGTATGAATGTATGAAAAAATCATAACATAAGTAATTAATGTACAGGTAGGTACTTAAGTACTTGTTGCGAACCCCTACTTTTTATTTTAATCCCAAATATTTTAAAAATAGGGGTAACAAAATAAATTGTATAACATTATTTTAATTCTTATATTTCTAGTTAATAAAAATTTTGTAAAATTTCCTAGTTTTTGTTATATATAACAACGTTTTTTAATAATAAAAAATTTAACACAATCGATTAGGTATCGTCAAAAAAATTTCTTTAAGAAACTTTTAAATTTCAGCATGTACTCAATAGATCATACATGTTTAGAAGCAAGTTTCTATATATTTGGTTATAGCTGACAAAATAATTGTATTCGAACTGAATTTAAAGTTGAAAAATTATTTCTTCGCCGCATTCATCATCATGATATTCATATATACCTTTATATTTTATCAAGAGGCAGCCAAATTTGTGTTCTGCACAAGAACACAAAATGTTGACATACGGATGTGAGCATACACATGAAATCAATAATTTCCTTTTTTTTATCTTCCTTGATAAAAAATTTGATTTTATCTTGATGGTACAAAAAACATTTTTAATCAATTCTGTGGTACCCATACAAATGTTTTTTGAAATCTTTTTTTTTTTTTTTGAACCGTAATAAAAAACTTCAATCCTAATACTTCATGGTTTCATTACTATAAACTTTGTTGTACTTGATTTCCGTACATTTTGTAATTTGTATGGGTGAAAAGTAAATTTTTTTCCAAATCGTATGACAGTTATTTACAACTTTAATAACCAAACTTTGATTTATCAAGTTACCAAACTGAAACATAACCAAATTACTTTTAAATAATAGAACACAAAATAAAGTATAGTTCCAGTGGTAACAACTCCTTTTAATTGGTGAAGAGTTGTTTGACCTAGCTGAATGGGCTTTTAAGTTATCGCTGTCATCAACTCAGAATTCGATGCTGATCAAAAATATTCATTCGTACCGTGTATAAAAATGCTAAAATCTTTTCAATTTAGAAATATTCTTAGTCACACATTGAATTACGGCAAACAATTATGTACATATATATTAAATATTTTAAAGTCTAATGCAGCAAAAAATTAAAAAAATTTTGCTTTTAAAATTACATGCACTAAAATATGAACTATAAGTGAACTTAATCCTACACTTCCAAATATTATAAATGCCGTTTTTCCACTAAAAAATTCAAACAAAGTTCCAGCAACAAAATTACCAATTGAAACTCCAACTCCTTGAAAAAATGCACCAACAAGTCCCTATAATATTTAAATAAAATATATAACAATTTAAAATATTTCGCAAACATTTGAATTGAAATAACTTTTCTTACTTGAATTGTGGCTTCCATTCCAGGTTCTGAAATATAATTGGCATACGATGCCATGGTCGCTGACATTAAACCATAAGTTATACCATTTAATGATTCTATTGGCAAAACCCACCATGGATTTGATAAAATTGAATAATAGAAAAATCTAGTTACAAATGCTCCAATAATAATGTGCATACAATTGACATGTCCAAATTTTTTTAGAAGATATCCAGACCAAAAGAATACTGGTATTTCACCAATGCAAGTTTGAACGAATATACATAAGCCTTCAATTGTCTTAATATAATTTCCGCCACATTCATTTTGTGTGATTTCATCTGATAATTCTTCTAAATGCCAAAAAACGAAACTCCAAATTACTGCTGAGAAAATTCCAGCAAAACAACACCAACAGAAATAAGTGATTATTTTAACTGATTTAAATAATTTGCCAACATCTTTTATAATATTTTTTGATTTCCTAGATTGAGTAAACTAAAATAAATAACAAATTAACTTTGTTAAAATATAAAAGCGCTCTCGTAATAGCGTGTAACATAAATTTACATATGTAAGTGTAAATTTATTCCAGAAAAAAAATGCAATTAATATATTCTAACAACCTGTTTACATATTAGATGTCATGTGTTAACATGACATGTATTTAAGAACGCACTAACTTGCAACAATGCTGTTACTAATAAATAAAACGTAAATTAGTGGTAAATATTTTTAAACTTTTAGCTGCTAAGTAACTGGTATGAAACTACACAAACTGAAATAAGAATTTCTATCGCAGAGTGCAATTAATCAAAAATAATCTGAACTGTTTTCATTTAAATCAAAAACACTGATGGCAGTGAAAGCGCTTATTAAACTATAATAATTATCTTATCAATTAAATAATATATAAAAAATAAGTATATGTATATGAAAAAAACTTACTTTAAGGTTTGTAGACGAAATCATATTAAGCAAAATCGATATAAGACAAACAAAATACATAATTGTGTAATTTTTGAATAAAGAAGATCCTGAAACTAGATCGATCGTCAGCCCAACAACCACGGCTGATGTTCCGGCACCAACTGAATCAAACATTCTTTGTTTTCCAAACAAATGAGCATTCTCTCCGAGTAAATCAAAACAAATTGTGTCAGCCATACTATAAACCACCGAAAAAGCAGAATAGCCAAGTAAAAATAATCCACAAAATACCCAGAATTCATATTTTTTAATTATTTCATCATCAGGTAGAGTTCCTCTATTTGCCAAAGAGCTTTTTAAAAATTGATCTTCACAATTTATTTCACACTTTACATTATGTAATCTTGGATTTGATGGTTCTTCATTAAAATATGAATTTGAAATATTTTTAAAATCTTTCATAATTAAACAAGTTGAATTTTTTTCAATTGTTTTAATATCAATAAGAATTTCATATTCAACAGTTTTCTTATTTGAAATGCAATCATTACTCCTGTAATCATCACACAGTTGTTTCTCCATCAAACCTTCATTAAGTTTGCAACTCAATTGACATTTAAAAACTTTTGACTCATCATTTTGAATTCTGTTTTCAAAACAATTATCCCATATCGGATTTCTTGGACAGAAATATATTTCGGTGTTGTTTGAATTATTCCTAACTAAAACTTGACTAGGAAAAGATGGTACAAAATAAATTAAAAAAAATGATAATGCCGTTATTCCTTGCATTGTAATAAAAATAGTTTTATGTAATTTAAAACGATCAGCCATCCATCCAAAACTTGGTTTTGAAATCATTCCCAATAAATTCACAACTGTTAGTAGTACACCTACTACTCCTGATGAAAATCCTTTTTGCCTTGCAACAATTGCTATATTTATAAAAATTGGAGCAGTTCCTTTAAAACAATAAATTTAAATGAGTTAAAAATGTTTTTGGAGTGAATAAATTAAAAAAGTTAAAATTTTCTTTCATCTTACAATCCTTGTTCCTTTCAACAGTTTTTTTTTTCAATGTAAAACTAAGCTGAATGCTTGAACTTACCCATATGAAATAAAAAATAATGCATTTTCATTGGCAATAATTTTACATTTACTGAAGACCAAAATTTTTTCGGCATATTTTTATCCTATATTGAAAAATTAAGCATGGAGTAACTATAGTTTTAATAAAAATAATAATCTTTTAGACCTACTGCTATCTAGTAACAAGCTTTAACTACTGAAATCTTACAAATTTTTTAAATAAAAGTTTTAATTTTTAATGAAATCTAATAAAATATAACTAATAAGAAATTAATACTTAAAAATAAATATTCTGAACTGAAGAAATAATAAAATATTAATAAAACTCAAATCAAGTTTAACAAATCGAAAATCAAGCCTATAATATAATCAAAAAGTGAAAATAAGGTTTATTAAGAAGCACATTTACTAACAATTTAAAAATTGAATAAATATTGTATGTGTAGAGAAATTATATTGAAAATGTCATTGAAAAAAAAAATTATTTTTCTTAACTCAAGCAATTAACCCTTGAATTCGAGCATTATTTTAACGCTTCTTTCAATTTTTTTTATTTTACTCATAAATATGTGCAATAAATCGATATATTTTGGAGTATGAATAAATTCAATTTAAATAATATTGTAGATTGTGATTAAAACAAAACAGACAAAAGCGCTTCTTTACAAACAATTTGTATGATCCAAAGTTATTTAATTTTTAATTTAATTAAATATTACAAATTGAATATAGACAAAAGAATACAATTTCGTTCATAAGGGCCATTTCAAATTTCGAAAGAGAAGTTTTGTAAACGGACGAACTACATGGAAATTAATCGGGACATATTAAAAATTCTTTCGGAATTATATGCTATAAAAAGAATTTATTTATATAATTTTTATAAATAAAATAATGAATATTTAATACATCGATTAACACATTGAATACTAATTACTGGTTCGAACATCTACATAATATATACATACATATGTAGGCATTTTTTTGCTTTGAATAGTTATGCAGTTAACTGTAAATTAGTATATAACAATTCATAAAAAAATTTTTATAAGTTATTCTATAAGTTTTTATAAATACATAGATAAATTTATAACTTGACTGATGGTATAGTATTTTTGTTAGACTATATAGCAATCACAATATTTTTGAATAATTTTCTAAGAACAATTTATTGAGTAAAACTTTAAGATATTTCATTTAAAACTTGAAAGACAAGTTCATTTTTATAATTAATTTCTAATTTAATAAACTTATCAAATATATATACATATGTACATATAAAGAGATTATATTCAATTTTACGCTCATGCTTTATTCATATTATATTATGTGGGTGTTTGTGTGTGCTGAACTAACATCTATAAAGCTATTATTCTGACCTTCATTTTGATATAACATAATGTTATAAAAAACATGTTTGATAGACATGTTACTTCTAATGTTTAGAAGTAACATGTCTATCAAACGAAAAACTGAGGTCAAAGCCTTAGAAAATAAAATAAAACTAAGTATTTTTCAGTACTATGCAGTAATAACATGTACTTTTTTTCCAAAACGAAAGACATTTTCATCACCTTCATTTCTCTACAAAACATTTCCAAAAGTTTCAATATCGTCTCCACGAGGTCTAGTTGTTTGTTGTTCGTCTGAATGTATTATATCACCCTGCTTCGGGAATACCATTGAGTGCCGGACACCCTGTATATAACCATAAGGTTAAATAGTGAAATTGCATTTTTTTAAAATCAGACTCTATTTAATTGGTAGTGAATAAAACATTAGAACGTTTTATATTATTTTAATACATACATACATGTATATTTAATATAAATTTGAACACTGATAAGTACAAACTTAAGTATAAATTAAAATAATTTTAAAATTGTAAATAATGCTAGTAGATTTAAATCAATGTATTAAAAAAATTTATCTTTTAATAATATGTGTATTAAAATATGAATTATTAATGCGATTGATCCAATACTTCCATATATTGCGAACACGGTGCTACCTCCAATAAATTCAAATAGGGTTCCAGCTGCGAAATTACCTATTGAAATTCCAACTCCTTCAAAAAATGCACCAACCAGTCCCTGTTGTGATTAAATAAATTAAAATTAAATATGGATTTTCTAATAGTAATTTTAATTAAGATTTATATTTCTTACTTGTATTGTAGCTTCCATTCCAGGTTCTGCAATATAATTGGCATACGATGCCATGGTCGCTGACATTAAACCATAAGTTATACCATTTAATGATTCTATTGGCAAAACCCACCATGGGTTTGATAAAATTGAATAATAGAAAAATCTAGTTACAAATGCTCCAATAATAATGTGCATACAATTGACATGTCCGAATTTTTTTAGAAAATATCCAGACAAGAAGAATACTGGTATCTCACCTATACAAGTTTGAACAAATATACATAAACCTTCAATTGTTTTAATATAATTTCCGCCACATTCATTTTGTGTGATTTCGTCTGATAATTCCTCTAAATGCCATAACAGAAAATTCCAAATAACTGCTGAGAAAATTCCAGCAAAACAGCACCAACAGAAATAAGTGGTTATTTTAACTAATTTAAATAATTTTCCAACATCTTTTATAATATTTTTTGATTTTTTTGATTGGGTAAACTAAAATAAATATACAGCAAATTATCGAAGGGCTAATAATATCAATATATAAGTCTGTTACGTTGTCATTATCAAAAATATTACTATATTGAAAAAATTAATAAATTTTTATAGAAATCCAAAAGTTATTAACTTGATCATGTTTCGAACAGTATGAGTTGATATATTTGAAAAACTTTACAAAACAATCAAAAAACACCTCAATCAACCTTAGCCCTACACCAAGACAATCTGATTATATAATCAAAATCTAGTCAACCGGTTTGAGGCGCGTATAAAATAAAATTCGGAACTTACCAAATTTTATGGATTTACCTCAACTAGTTTTTCAAATATTTTAAATTAGCTAATAGGGCTATGTGACGTTAAGCAATTCCATAAAAAATTCTAAGAAATATTTTAATAAGCGCTTTAATTGGCCACATGTCTGTCATGACCTTTGAAATATTTCAGATAATACATTTGATTTGCACAACAACTACCTGAACCCGTTATTCGAATTGTTCTAATTTAGAAAAGAAGAATTTCTGAAAGTTTGGGGGGTGTTTGTTTTTTTTTTGTTTTTGAATTATTTGAGTACATGCATATTTTAATGTGTGTCTTCTAAAATATTTTTGCATAGATAATATATATCAACTTACATTAAGTCTCGTAGATGACATCATGTTAAAAGAAAGTGATACCAAACAAAAAAAATACATAATTGTATAATTTTTAAATAGAGAATGACCTGAAATTAGATCGATTGCAACACCCACTGTAACAGATGATAACCCCACTCCAATTGAATCAAACACTTTTTGTCTCCCATATAAATGACTATTCTCTCCAAGCAAATCAAAACAAATTGTATCAGCCATACTAATTACTACGGAATACGCTGCAAAACCAAGTAAAACCAATCCAGAAAATACCCAAAATTCATATTTTTTAATTATTTCATCATCAGGTAGAGTTCCTCTATTTACCAAAGAACTTTTTAAAAAGTGATCTTCACAATTTATTTCACAATTTGCATCGTGTAATCTGGTATATGATGGTTCTTCATTAAAATAAGAATTTGAAATATTTTTAAAATCTTTCATAATTAAACAGGTTGAATTTTTTTCAATTGTTTTAATATCAATAAGAATTTCATATTCAACAGTTTTCTTATTTGAAATGCAATCATTACTCCTGTCATCATCACAAAATTGTTTCACCATCAAACCTTCATTAAGCTTGCAACTCAATTGACATTTAAAAACTTTTGACTGATAATTTTGAATTCTGCTTTCAAAACAATTATCCCATACCGGATTTCTTGGACAGAAATATATTTTGGTGTTGTTTGAATTATTCCTAACTGAAACTTGACTAGGAAAAGATGGTACAAAGTAAATTAAAAAAAATGATAATGCCGTTATTCCTTGCATTGTTATAAAAATAGTTTTATGTAATTTAAAACGATCAGCCATCCACCCAAAACTTGGTCTTGATATCATTGCTAATAAATTTAGAGCTGTTAGTAAAGATCCAACAACTCCTGATGAGAATCCTTGTTGTCTCGCCACAATTGACATGTTTGCAAAAATTGGGCCCATACCTTCAAAAACAAAATTAACTATTTTAGAAAATTATGAATTCATAGAAAAAAAATTAATTTAAAAATTAATTTACATTTATTTTGTTAAATGTTAAATTAATTTAATATTTAACAAAATAAATGTACATACGATTTAATGTTCGAATATGTACTGTGTGTACATATAGGAACAGTAAATTTATAATATAAACATACATACGAGTATTAAAACAAAAATAATATTCCTTAACAATATGAGAATGAGTACAATATAAAACTTTTTTACTACTATGTTAGTAGTATGTATAAGCGGTATTATAATTAGCATTTTTATAGTATGTATTTAGATTTGTTTTTATTTACACCATAAACTAAATTTTATTAATTTATATTATATTACCTCATAGTAGAGGCTGTTGAGATTTTTCTCTCTACCAAATTTATTATTTTTTTTTTAATTAATGTGAACTATAAAAAAACAATTAGATATGTAGAGAAAACATGATTAAAAAATTAATAATAAAATAAAAATGCCAAAAAAAAAATAAAATCCATAAAATTTTATAAAATAATATTAGATAACGTTGATATTAATAAGATATATAAGACTCTTTAATAATAAAATACTATTTATTAAATATTAATCAATTAATCGGTTCACACAACTGAGCATCAGCGTAAAATAAAATCGGAAATTGTTCCCTTCCCGAAATGTTTACTGGTATTTTTAAAAAAATTCTAAAATAAAACAAAAATTTTACGCATTCACAAGTAAATATTTAAATTATGCACTATAGAGTTTGGGTCGAATCTTATTTTAGTCTAGGAAAAAAATATTCATGTATGTACATACATTATTTATACATGAAACAACAGCAATGAAACTGTTAAAAATTTGCACAAATTCTTCGATACTCCTCTATGTTAAACTAATGTGCATTGTTACGTAAAAACTCTTTATACGAAGAGAGGGAAATGTACAAAAATTTAGTAGAGTTAACGAAAAAGTCTAAAATATTGATATGTCTATCTCATATTGATAACGTCTATATACATAATTATTAAAACAAAATTTAGATAGCAAATATACAAAGCTTGCATTTCACAAAATTCGCAAAATAATCATTCTCATTTAGTCATAGTTCGAAATCTAATACAGTTTTTAATAATATAGTTATATACACATATGCATTAATATTACATTCATATCATACCGAAATGAAATAAAAAATAATGAATTTTCATTGGTAATAGTTTTGTATTCATTGAACTAAATAAATTTCCCGACATTTTTTTTTAAATAGAAAACTTTTACTTTAAAAACTTTCTTTTAATTTCTATATATAGAATTTATTAAAATATAAAAGAGCAAAATATTTTTGACTAAACTTTTACAAATACAAAAAATGCTATTGCCACTCACTGCAATACAAACGTTTAATAGTTTTATAAACAATATTGTTACTAACACATCTACTTAATATTTATAATAAATATAAACTAATTAAATTCTCTAATTTATTTCACGACAATTCGATTATTCTAATGTAAAATTATTATAAGCGTATTCTTTAAATAACATTCGAATATTAAAATGAAACAAATAAAAAATATTACTGTGAAAAAAATTAATTTTTTTATTTTTTAAAAGCTACCATACAAATTCATTTTACGATAATAACATTTTAATACAATCGTAAAATATATTTGCATGTACGTACATATGGTTCCAAATTCGGTAGATTTAGACAAAAAAAAAATTTATGTCACACCTTAGCATTTTTAAGGAAAGTAATTTTAAAAATATTAAAAATTCGTACAAAACGGAAACCTGTAAATTTTTTATTATTAGTATATGTTTATGTGTTAGTTACATTCTTATTTTTAATTCTTTTCACTTTATTTAATTTTATACTGTATGTTTTCTCTTTTCATATCTCTCAATCTGAATTAATTAATATTTTAAGCTTTTTTTAGGATATTCAAATACATGTATTTAGAAAACAAGATGTTCCAGTCAGTTTGACGCCCAACAAACTGATAATACAACTGATAATAAGATTAATAATTGTATGTATACATTGTTAAATACATAATTACGTCTTCAATGAAAAGGGCTATTTTACTACTTTTTAAAATCAAAAAATTATCTAAATATTTATTGGCAGAATTTTATTTTCTATATAATAAATTTATTACTTATATTATGACCATATTAATTAAATTTATTTTAATAACTTTAAGTTCAATAAATATTTTTTACGAAGATTTCCGATCTAAATTTTCTTCTATATTATTCAAATTTTAAAGGTTAATTATGGTTTTATTGATCTAATAATTCAAATAAAAATAAAATATAAAAGATTAAAAATAATTTTTAATTTATAAAAATCTCATTGATAATTAATTTCTTCTCTCTCCTATATATAGGTTCAATAACCCTCTGTACAAAATGAGTAATTTCATTACTTTTCAACTCTTCTTTACATAATATTTCACATTGTGAATGTTTTGGGTAACATAAGGAGAATAATCTTTATGTATTAATTCTTGTACTCGCAAATATTGGTAATATAATTTCGTAAATATTGATGTAAAAAAGGTGGAGCTCATGGCGACAATACTAAATATGCGATAATTCTAAAACATTCTTTGCAGACAGAAATATTACTCTGACAATTTGTCAAGTGATATATTTGCTGTTATATTATGTTGTTGAATTTGAAATTTGCAAAAAGATAATATAAAAATTCAAGGTTTTAGTTTTTTGCAAGAAAAATTGAAATATTTTTGTAAGTATATATACACATGTACATATTTTTATTTAATCATTTCTTAAAATTTTTAAATACTTATTTTTTAAGGATTTCATAACTGTGGGAGAAATCGGAAATTGAAACGAATCCGATTTATTTTGCTTAGATTTTGATATTGGAAAAAAATAGATAACGTTTAAAAATGGAGGAACAGTTCTCAGACGGTAAAAATATGCTGTTATGGAGTATTGTTTTTAATAAAAAAAAAATTTTCATGTTTTTAACTTTGCTCATTAAAAATTTTTAGGTATTAGACTAAAATTATGTAGTGCAGTTGCAGAACGGCGATTGAACTGATAAGAATTATTTTTGCAAATTGCAAAACATGAACTTAACCCAGCTCTAATAAACTTTAAAAACACAATTTACATATTCAGGCATATGATGTTTTTGGAACTCTTCTGTTACTCAATTAAATACTACTAAAAAACAAAAATTTTAAGTATATAGCCACCAACCTTACGAGTATGTTCATCCAGGAAAAGCCAATCATAAACATGATTTGCAAACAACAGAATTGATTAAGTTTTTCAAAAAAAAAAATATATACATAGACACAATCTTGAATTTTTCAAATTTAAATTTTCGTCCTTTTCATCCTCTAGACTCTGTAAAATATAAAATAAATGAAATCAGAACAAAGTTTTAATTAATTTGTTTTTTTTTTTTTTATTTTCCATTACAATATATAATTTCAATTAAAATGTATATCACTTTGTCAAATTTATAAGTATTTAATTAATAATATTTTTTTTTTCTGTTTTATTACTTTTGCATTTTAACTTATAAAGGTTTAATATAATATATACCATGTATATACATATATATGGTTTTACATATGTATTTAATTTTTGCTTGTTTTTTTTTTTTTTATGTTTTTTACAATTTAATTTAGTTAAGTCATAAAAAAATAATATGCTGTATATACATAAATATTTTTATTTTTTAAACATGTATATATATATATATATGTATGAATTGATAGATAAAAAGTATTTTTGAAATGAAATTTTTAATGTAATGTATAAATTTTAGTTTGTTTTTAATTTATTAATTATAATGTTTGATTTTTGTTTTGTTTAGAATTAATTAAAAATTAGTAAATTATATTTTGGCGATTCATAACAATAAACGAGATTGTAATCTTTAATCTAAGATAATCAGGTTTTTCTTAAACTTTTTAATTATGAATATTACGATATATTTTTCAATTTTTCGATATCTCCGGTAACAAAATTATGATATTATTATATAAGTACAATAATAATAAAAAAAATTCATATTTTTAATTATGTATCTTTTGAATGTTCTCAATAATTATTACACATTCTTGGCAATATCCTCAAAAAAAATTTAAAATTTTATCTTAGATTATATAAAGAATTACTATGTAATATGGATTATCATTGAATCGCCTAGATATATTAAAAATTAATTGATTTTCATTTTGAAAAAATTAACATAATTTATAATATAAATTGTGGGATTATAAAATGATAATATTATATGTGATTGTAAATTAATTTTATAATTTTGTTTTTCTATAATATATAAAAAAAAAAATAAATAAATAAACAAATTCATATAATTCGATGATTTCTTCTTTTGAGGCAAACATTTCTTTTATTTTTTTTTTAAATTTAAATGATTTTAGTTTTTTTTTTACTTCATTTTTATGTCTTCTTTTCGTACAAAATAATTGTAATATTAAAAGGCAAAAATTCCATTATTTACTAAAAATTACTCAAATTGTAATTATATAATTATTTTTTTTTTGTGTTTATTTATGTTTTGTTCACTTTGCGTTCCTTTTTTTTCATACGTTTTTATTCTAATATTTTACGTTATATTTTTATTGTATTAAATTATGTTTATATATTTTCTTGTATCATATTTTTTTTTATAATATTATGTTTGTTTTTTTATTCATTCTAAATGAATAAATTATATTTAATTTTTGCTTTTAAATATTTATTTTAAACAACGTTTTTTTTTTCTTTTTTCATGAAAAAATTTTACTATTTTAATTTTTCAAAGTACAATATAAATGATTTTACATGTACATATATATGTATATATTTAAATATATAAATATATAATTAAATATATAAATTTAAAGATACACATGATACAAATGATATATTGGTATATTTATTATAATTAGATTTTATTATCTTAAATTACAAAATCAGATAAATAAATACAGCTACAAATTTTAACATTAAAAAATTTTTAGTTGAATTTGATTTAAATTTACATTTTTTTTTTTTTGTTTTTATAAGAATATTATTCGGATTATTCATTTTATTTTGAAAAAAAAATAGAAAATAATGCAAATTACATAAAATAAATAACCAATCAACATAAGATTGCAAAGCTAGCAATATTCATAAGAATGAACCATTGCAATCCAATTAAAAACATGTTCTCCAAAATATATGTGATATTTTATAAAAATCAGAAAAAAAGAAACCAATTTCGCTGTATTAACACTTTAAATTACCGATTTTTGAGCTAAACTTTTAGATAACACTTTTAAAGCTTAATTTTTAGTGTTTATTTAAAATATTTCTACAAACTTGAATAAATTAATTGCAAAAAAATAAAAACTTAACTTGAAAATTTTCAATTATCAAGTTTAAAATGTTAAAATGAAATTAAAATCTTCTCTTTTTTAAATTAAAGATAGGAACGATTTTTTTTTCTTTAATTTTCGATATGTAAAGGCAAATAAAATATTACTATAGTGCATTTTATACATAACAATCAAACTGTAATATTGTAAATTACTATGTTTTACAATTGTTTTAAAAATCCTATTTAACATTTTAACGTTTTTTTTTTTTAAAACCACGTCTATAGAATTGTTTCTTTAACGAAATTCTATAATATTAAATATACTTATGAGTAACAATTATTTAAAAAATGCGAATAAAAATTAAATTTAAAACACTTTTGTTTAAAATAAATTAAATTTTTACTTCAAAAATTATTGAATATAGATGTAAACTATAAAAATTATAAAATTTATTATTATTATTAAAGAAAAATTTTTAATCGAAAGTATTTAAAATATATTTTTAAAATACTTCTTTATATTCCTTTTACATTTAATTTTTTTTTGGAATTAGAACAAAACATCGACCCATAGACTTTATCTCTTATATAAGATTAAAGATATCTTATATCTTATGTCCAAACTAATTAAAATTATTAAAATCTTGAAAATATGGAAAAACAATGATATCATAAAAATTTTATATTTACTATAATATATTTTCAAAAGCAGGAAATTATTCATCATATTTATGTTATTATGTAATGTATTTATATATGTGTATACACGTATATATATGATTATAAAATAGACACTGATAGGATAAAGAAGTTTCATAGTATCATAAAAAATTTATTTTTTCTCTTTACTTATTTTTAATTTATTAAACATAATTCAGATTTGAAGGTGGTTTTCAAGTTCTATTAATTAAATTTTATTTATATAATTTATTAATTTTTGTTATTTTTAACATGTATACAAAAATTACTAGTGTAAAAAGTATTTGAAAATAATTTTAGAAATTACAAATACATACATTCGAAAAAGCATACATATCTCAATCGATCATTCTTCTGTTTATTGTATTTTTTATATATTTTTTTGTTTTAAACTATTATGTGTTTTCTAATAATGTATTATACCATATTTAAAAACTATTAATGCAATATTCATTAAATCATTTAAAAATTTAACATCTTAAAATGAAATTGTGATATTAACAGAAAACGAAAATTAAAAATAATATAAAAATAATATTTTCTAATTATTAGATCCTCGATATATTGAATAGAATAATTATAAAATTGAGCAAAGATATTTAAAAATAATATTTTAATATAGTGGAACTAGATCATTTTAACTTCAGACAAAAGAGTTTTTAATTTATTCGTTGTAACATATTTTTTTTTCTTTTAATATATCATTTCAATAAAAATTATTTGTTGAAGAGTTTGGTCCCACGCATTTAAGCTTTGAAAGCAATACAATAAATATTTTAAGACTAAAAAAAAATAATGAATCCCAATCAGAAATATAAAATTTTAATTCAAAATTCTTTTTGTTTTTTGTGTTTTCAATACAAATAACTTGTAATAATTATAAAAATATTTCCGCCTTTTAAATAAAACTTAAAAAATTTTTTTTACCCTTAATAACTGAAATTTAGTTTATATAACTAATTTGTATTCAAAATTGCACCTATTCAGATTTGATTTATGTATTTCGAATAGAAATGACAATATTGTTCAATTGAACTAAAATTATTAATACATATATCTAAAAATAAGCTTAAAATATCAAAAATAAATAAATGAATAAACTAAATTGCATATTAATTCTTTTAATATCCGAGGATCTTTTTTTAGAAAAATATACGCAAATAAAAATTTTTTTTGAATGCTTTCAACAAACAACAAAAATAAATTTACAATATTATACTTAATTATTTAATTTTATAATTATAATAATTAAGTATAATATACCAAATTAATATCAAATAATTATTACTACAACAAAAATAAAATTCCATAACATTTTGCCACATCAACCAATAAAGGACGATCATTATAAAATGTGTCTATTGTAAATTTTTTAGAACAAAGAAAAACATTTTATTTTGAAATAATTAGCACGTTTTTACAATACAAATAAGCTACATAATATATTAATATAAAAAATAATTTAGTATATTAAATTCACATTCTTTATTCAATCGCGATTTCTTCTTAAAATCGAAACTCAGAATTATTTTATTTGATATATGATATTATGAATATTTTTAACTTAAATTTCTTTACATACTTCAAAAACTTCATACAATTAATTATTTGCATTTGAATTTGAAAAAAATATGTGTAAAATATTAATTATTCTATTTTAATTAGTTCATCAAAATTAGAATTTCATTTCAATTTTAAATAAATTCAATGATCTATTTGTTAATGTTTTACAATGTTTTACAATATTTTACAATAGACTCAAAATTAATTGATCTTTATTATTGTTACGTTTTTCCTACCACTAAATATTTTTTTAGGACAATTTTCATTCTTTTTTCTTTATTATTTTCTTTATATATATATATTTTTTTTTGTTTTATTTATAGTCAATTATGTTTTCGTCTACGTTCAAAAATATTAAAAATATGCAATAATTATTTTGATATTACAATAACACATATTTAAAATACGTAGACTTTTTAAGACATTTTAAAAATTGAAAAGCATTTTTATAAATTCTTTTTTTTATATATTATTATGGTAATTTTATCCGTCTAATAATTTTATTCTCACATGTATTTTCAATATTATTGATTTTAGTTACATTCTAATTTTATAATATCATATTTATATTTCAAATTAATTTATATATATATTATGTATAGTTTTCTTTGTAATTACATATATATATAATATATTTATATAAATATTGATGTAAGTATATATAAATGTAAAATATAGGCTATTGCTGTATTTATATTTTTAATATTTTTATTAATTTTTGTTAGTTACTAATTTTTAATATGTATTTAATTTGCTCAATTTTTTTTGTAATTAAATATAAATTATTTACGAAGATTTTGATATGAATTTATTTAAGTCTCCAAAAGAATCGATTTTTATATTTTATTGTTTTTGTTTAATTTTTTTTAAGTGCTTCTGTTTTATATTATCTAAATACAATTATTTTTTATAAATAATATATTATAAATATACATTTAATTAAGAAAAAAAAAATTAAAGATATATTTATTATTTAAATATGAATATTGATTATCATTAAAACTTTCTTATAAAAACATTCATTTTAAGAGCAGTAATGTTTTCAATGTTTTCGACCTAATAACCATAATATCAGAAACTTAAATTGAATTTCAATATAAAAACATTTATATAAAATATATTAATCCAATATTAAACAAAATTAAATATTTTTTAATTTTTAGTTAAGAAAATAATATCATATAAATGATTGTATTAAGTTTACTTAAAAGAATTTATTACTATAGGTAAAGATTTAAAAAAAAAAAGTATGTATATAATACACTTGTTATTGAAATTTGATCTGAATTTTGTGCGTACATAACTAAACTGTAATTATACATAATCGGGTATTCTATACATATTTAACATCTTCCTAATTTTTAAGTAAAACTTCAGCCCTCTTATTCATTTCATCCAGATGAGTTGTATTATGATCTCCCTAAAAATATTAATGAAACAAAATAAAAATCAAATGAAAATCAAATAAAAAAATTAAAATAAAATAAAAAATAAAATATTATAAAGTTTGTTAACTTAAAATAAATATGTATTTATGTATTTTAAAATTTTAATTTAATTAATTTTCAACTTTATATTTTAAATAAAAAAATAATCCTAAGATATTTGGTTTGTTCCACATAATTTTCTTACTTGACTCTTTACAAATAAAATTCAAATTTTTATTAAATATAGAAAAAGATTTTACAAAATTAAATCTTTTATAAAATATTGCAATGATTGAAGAACGTTTAGTTTTTAATACCATTACACACACTGAACTAACTTTCCTTTGTTTTAAATATAATAAGAAAACATAACAACAATGACAACTAGAAGGGTACAATTTTGATTAAATTAAGAAATTTCGTAATCAAAAAGCGAAAAATAAAAGAGAAACTTTTTTAAACAGAGTGTTGACAATAAAAAAAATAAAAAACCAAAGTTCTTAAATTTAAATATCTTATTTAAATTGAAATTATTTGAAATTATATAAAGTGTTTTTAAAATGGTAGTAAATTACATTACATTTTGGAAAAAAAAAATTCCAATAGACCAGAACAATTGGTTCTCTCGAGATTCATTCATTTATTTGAATTATTTAAGATATTCAAACCAATTGTAAGAGTTCTTTTGAAAACATCACAAACATTCTTTCTTTAAATAACATAAAACAGAACATTTTTATAAAATCTCACTTATTTCCAAAAAATAATTAGAACCCCTCAGAAGCCAAACAAGTAATAATCAATTTAATATTTTTTATTCAATCAATTATTTCCTTCTTCTTGTCTGATTTTTAAGGCATTTGTATTGCTTTCTTATTTTTTTTTTTATAAATTTATTCAAATATAACAAATAACAAATTTTTTTTTTGTGCAAATTTGTAACTAGATTTGGTATTATAACAAGTAATGCTTTATTTAAGTTCATAATTAAATTATTTCAATTTTAAAAATACTTTTTTTTTTGTTTTCTTCTAATAAACAACTCAAAGTGGACTTTGAAAAAAAGCTAGTGAAACCTAAGATTTTTCCTATTTTTTTTTATAATTTTTATTTTTAACGAATTAACTGTTTAAGAAATATTATATTATGTATAATAATATATTTAATAATTCATTTGATTACGTATCATATCTTCTTTATTTTACACTTTACAACTGAACATATTTTACTATGTTATTTCGAGCATTATTGTCCAAAAATAAAACTAATTTCAATAAAAGAAAATAAATAGTAAAGAATTTTATTAGATAAACTTTAAAGAAAATATATTTAAATGTGATCTTCGGGTTTATATCAAATTTTTTATCATGAAATTTTATACTTTTTCTACTATTTTAAATAAAATTTTATTAATTTTTTTTATGAGATTTAGATTGAGTATGCTTCTTAAATGGGACAATAAAAAATTAGATTTAGTATCAACAAAATTGTTTGAATAAAACATAAAAATTATAATGACCTTTAATACATAAAATATATTAAAAAATTTTAATCTATTGTAAATAAGATTATAATTATGCATACATAATTAGAAAATTAAATACATTATTTTATTAAGTAATTATTATATTGTTGTTGTTTCAATTCCACCTAATTTTCTTTATTTTTGTTTGCTACTTTTATTAATTTTTTTCATATTTTTAATTCTGTATTCCCTAAATTTCACTCATTTTTTTATATTTTTTGATTTCTTCAATCACGTTTAAAAAATAATTTCCGAGTTAAACTCTTTTTAAAATTTAAAATATGAAACGTACATAATTTCAATATTAAATTTTTTAAAACTATACTTTCTACGTTTAAAATAAAATAAAAATTTTAACATTTTTTAAAATGTACATTAAAATATTATTCAAATTTCCAAATACATTTTTAAGTATTTTTCGCTATATAAAATTATATTAGTTTTTATTTTTTTTTTTTGTCTTGGAAGAACACCTTCCTGTAAATTTTGAAAATGCTTAAAATAATTTAAAATTAAAATTGTTTTTTTTTTATATTCGTTATTCTCCAAAATAGTTTTTTGAAAAGCAAGCAAATCCGATAAATATATTTAAAAGAATAAATCGCAAAATTAAAGAAAATAAACATAAAAATTAATGGAAGCTCTATATTAGTTTCTTTGATTTTGCAAAAAACGAATGTTCTAATTAATATTACTTTTAATATTTTTAAAAACAGAAATGATATAATATTAAAATTTTACATAGAATTTTGTGATGCTCACATTATCTAATCGATACAAAAAAAATACAAAAGAAAAATGGATTTAATTCTTTTAATTAATTGTACATTCATATTCACAAATTAAGTATATTTTTTTATATTTTATAATAAATACATACCGCAATTAACTAAAATACTACTTATCAAATTAATTAAATTATATCTTAATTATAATTAAAAATTATCATCCAAATTTTTGTTAATCGCTTTACTTAATTTGATGGGTTATTATTAAAAAAAATTTGAGTTTTTCAAAAATAAAATAAATTTCAAAATTTGAAATTCTATATTAAAAACTAAAATACTTTTCAATAATTTCCCAAATCACGTCAAGTGATGCGATTAATATAATGTGGGTATATATATATATATATATATATATATATAAATATAAAATGTAAAATAATGTACTGATCCTAAAACATTTTCAATATCTTATTCAAAAATTTAAATACTAAAAAATAAATTAGAAAAAAAGAGAACTAGAAAGTCTAGATTTTTTTTGAAAAATTTCTCATAGAATATACTAAATCATTGCTTTGAAAGTCTCGTAATGCTTATTTGCATCTATTTATTTTATTACAAAAACAAAATATAATATGGAAATAAATATTGAAAGTAGTAAGAAGTTTTAATGTAAACTTAAATTATTATTATTATTTTCGATTATAAATGAAATTATTTCAATTACTATGATATAATAATAAAAATTAAAAATCTTTGCACTTAGAAAATATTTTCTTGCCAATCTTGGATAAATGTTTTCTTATCCATATCGGGAAAATTTTTATTTTTCTTAGATAGACTAAGAACCCTTGAAATACATAATTTTAATATATAAAAATTAATTTAAGAAAAATATTATCTGTACATGAATTCTATATCAAAAATGTAATACGAGACTATTTTAATAATTTCACACATAACAATTATAGAAAATTATCGCATAGAAAACCGTTCTTTCTAACTAATTTAATCTTTCATTCTTTTTCCGGTATCCATTAAATTCAGTAATGGAATGCTTTAGATTTTATATCTTGTTCAGACTTCAGTTTTTAATTATATGAATAAGATATTTTTTTCACCTGAAATTTTAATTTATTTTTTTTTTTAGCCTTTTAGTTCTTTTTTTTTTTTATATATACATACACATTATATATATTATTCCCTTTTCTAAAATTGAAATGCGGTACAATTGATTCAGGTTGTGTGATAATATATTTAACTTTATTTATATATATATATATATATGTATATAATTTGAATATAATTAAAAATTAAATATTTTTGTTCGAAAAATTACTAATTTTGTAAAATACTATTTATTTATTTATTTTTTTTTTTGTATTTTTTGTTTTTATATTTTCTTGTCTACCTTAATGTTTTTTTTTTTTTGACTAGTTTTAATAACTAAAATTAATAATTTTTGTAAATATGAGATCAATAATAATAATAATAATTATAATAATATATTTTGAATGTGGATAATATAATAATTTTTTTATTTATAGTTACTGTTAATTGTATGTAATTATTTTATTCTTTTAATAATTATTATAATTGTTTTACTTATATGTATTTACTTATTTTCCATTTTTGTTTTTTTTTTTGTTTATACAAGTTTTAGTTTTTGATTTTATTCACGGAAATTTTCTGAAATATTTTATATTTCTAATTGATTTTTTTAAAGTTCTTTTTTTTTGTTTTTTTGTTTTTTACATGTTAGAATTTTTATTAATTTCGAAATTTTTAGGTTAATATTTTAAATAACGTAAAAATTTAATTTTTTCGCATTTATTTAATTGTATAGATATTTAATAATTTAAATATTATTTTTAAATAATTTGTTATCTTTTTTTTTCATTGTGTGATATTCACAACAATGTGAGCTCAAAAAATGTTTAATTTTTTTTTTTTGTTTAATTAACTTTTAAACGAAAAAAAAAATGAGATATTATGTATAAATATTTATATATAAGAATATAAGTATAAATATTTTGTATAATATAATTATTTAATTATTAAACTTAAATTTATATTTATTAAACAATTTTTTGTATATTATAATATATTTGAGAATGAATGTTTAGAAATGAAATCTATTCTAAAGATATTACATAATTATAAATTTGCATATGTATGTATATTTATTGTTTTTTTTTATATATATACACATATGAATAATGTATATAAATGTACAGAAGGTATTTGCTTTTTGTTATTATTTATTCTTGCTTTATACATATTTTCAATACAGTAACGATTTTTTTTTTTTTTTTTGGACAAAAAAAAAGAAAATATTTATTTCAGAAGCTGATGAGCTCTCTGATTTGCTACTTCTATTCTTGCTTCATTTGATTCACCCTATAAATTTTGTTAGTAGTAGAGTATGATAAAATATAAAAATGGAGAGAGATAAAAGAAAATTTAAATGTATATTAGTTTTTGCTTATATACAAGAAAATTAGTACTGATCAAGATTAAGATATTGTAGTTATATTATATGTAGAAAATATATAATATTTAAAAAATTTAATTTTCTACATAAAATATTTTATATTATTGTTAATATTGAGAAAAAAGAATTATTAATTACCTTGCGATTGATTCTATCAATCTGTCTATTTTGATTCTCCAATTCAGAGCCCATATCCAAAGCCATATTTCTAAGATTACCAATCATAGTGTTAACTTGACCCATATTCTCTTCCATTTCATCTTCTCTAGCATCATTTGTAATTCTAAAAAAAGTTTATAATTTGAATAAGTAAATTTGTAATTAATTTTATAAGAATATAAAGACAAAAATTAAAAAAATGTAAAAAAAAAATATTAAAAACTCTTGAAAAGGTGCATTCAAGAAACAGGCTAAGAAATTTATTTATTATATCAAAGATGATATATTCATATGAATGCATATTTTTATAGCATTCGCTTCTCATATGCTATAAGAGAATTTATCAATTTCATATGTAACATGCTGAAAATTTGAAAAATTTGGTGAAAAAATACCAAGAAAAAAATTTATTTAATTACAATACGCCAGAAATGGGAATAAAGATTTCTATCAAAATTTTGAATGGGAAAATTTTTCTATCAAAATCAAATTTTTAAGAAATTTCACACACATATATGAAAAAAATTTTCAAAAGATCAAAATCATTATTTGAAAGTAGTTTTCAAAATAGAATTAAAATAAGAAAAAACATTTAAAATTCCGAAAATTTAATGAAAAAATTGTATAATATTTTAAATAAAAAAGGAAAAAACAAATTACCTTCCAATATAACCACCATGTGCCATCATTCCATTACTGTCCATAACACGCTGTGGTTGATTATTGACAACTTTTCCATCATCATTACCTTTCCACGTACCATCATCTTCTTTAAATGAAGCGCTCCTAAAAAACACATTAATAAATTAGTATTCATAGGAATTAATTCAAAAATATTTTTTTGGCAATTATATACTTATTCCAAGGTAATACGCAAATTCCACAACATTTTTCCATCCCACTTAAATTTTTCTCAGCTTCTCTCATATCGGCATTAATCTGATCCATGCCCTCCTCAATTCGATCCAATTGCTCTATTTACGTTATAAATTTATATTTAAAAAGAAAACAGAATATTTTTATTAATTGATGATTTCAATGAAAACAAAAATAATATAAATAAAATTAATTAAACTTCAAAACAAAAATGTTCAAATAACCAAAAACCAAAAAAAAAAATATATATTAATTGTAAGTAATAATTATATTTAATTTAATTTGAAATACAAAAAGGATTTTGAATGTGAATAATTTGTTAAAACGATTTTCTTTTTTTTTATATATATATATAAAATTAATAATTAAAATGTTAATTGTAAATAAAAAAAAATAATATGATTTAGTTAGAAATTAAAACAGCGTTTTGTGATAAATTATAATGATATGTAAACTAAAATATTTTTATATTTTTTTTATATACTTTTTTGTAAATAAAATTTTATTCAATATATTATCTACTGGTTAAGTATTGAATGTTATTTTTTAAGATTTTTAAGAACAAGAGTGAATTTTTGCAAGTTTATTAAGCCATTAATTAAAATGAAAAAATAACAAAAATTATAAATTAGTTAAAAATTAATATTAAATATTGTTATACTAGTAAGTAAAACGTGAAATGTTAAAGTTACAACATACACTAACAGTGAACTTAATTTAAATCTGTATAGTACAAGAATATGAATTGAAAAACTTAGTTTTAAAGGCAAATATATTGATTATTTTCAGTAAATTAAAGAACATAAATATACATACTATTTGAATTTAAATTCGGTGAAGTTACATATGGTTAGAAAATTCAAAAGTAATTAATTCAAAATTTTGCAGAATTTTTTTTGGAATTTTTCTTAAAATATAATTACATTTAACATGTTATGAATAAAAATTTAATTCCAGTTAGTGAAAAGAAACTTTATACATCAAGTTTTTAAAATGATACCTTAAACTTAGTTTAATCAAACTTAAATAACAAAAAAATTTCATATATATTTAAATTGACAGAACATTTTAAATGTCTGTTAAAAATTTTTGCCATTTGTCAATTTTTCAACTGTGATTTCAAGTATTGCATCCATAATTTATTATACAAAATTACTTTCAATTAAGTAATTATTTACAAATATTTTTATATTTTGTGATAATTTATATATACAGATCTTTGCTTTTAAAATTAAGAAATTATAAAATTATTGTTATGTTTACATCACTATCACATTCACTGCAGTGTAAGCCTTAACTTATTTTCATGGAAAATATTAGCAATATATAGTGTTAAGATAAGTAATATGTAAATGTAAATGCTTAAAAAAAAACAACATATTTTAGAATAATAATAAAAAAAAATATAGAAAATATAACGTCAACAATTTAAATGTTAATCATTGAATCGGCAAGAAAGAATAAAATAAACTAAATAAAAAATATTTATATGTATATATTAAAATGTATAATTATATATCGTGAATTTACAAAAAAAAAAAAAAAAACTCTAATAAAATAAAAATGATTTTAATTATTTTGTTCTTTTATAATTTTTAAATACTCTAATCTAAGCCTATATAATTAAATTCTATTTAAATTGTTGACTAATTCATTCATTTAAATGAGTGTAATTTAGAAACGATGTTATGATTTTTTCTTGAAATATTTTTGTATTTTTTTTTTTTTTTTGTTTAAAGATACTTTTTTTTTTTCTTTTTTCAAAATATAAATGATTGATTAAATGTCGATATTTAGTGTCATCCAAAATTTTGTAAAAAATTTTAAAAATTTTAATTATTCTCTCCAACTTTTGATTTTACTCACAGTAAATTAAAAGCATATATTTGCAAAATTGTTCCTAGAGAGTGCGCAGATTTTTCATTCACAATTATTACAGAATTTAAGTTCACAGTTAAATTAAGCTCAATTTTTTGAAAAAAAAAAAATTAATTGTTAATAAGTATCAAAATGATTAAATGTCAAAATCTGTTAATAATATTAAATAAAAAAATGTATTTTTATTACACTGACATTTGGGCACCGTCAGGTGCAAACAACATATTTTCTGAAAACTTTTGATATTCAGCTAAAGACAAATGATTTATTTATAACGCCTATCATCCGGCATAACAAAAAAAAATTAATAATTTTGTTAAAAATTTTGTGATTACACACAAAAAAAAGAATTTTATTATTATAATTTACAATAAAATATGAATGACACTAAATTTATTTTTTTCCTCAAAAAAATTCACTAATCAAAAAAAGTTGACTAATTCATTCATTTAAATGAGTGTAATTTAGAAACGATGTTATGATTTTTTCTTGAAATATTTTTGTATTTTTTTTTTTTTTTTTGTTTAAAGATACTTTTTTTTTTTCTTTTTTCAAAATATAAATGATTGATTAAATGTCGATATTTAGTGTCATCCAAAATTTTGTAAAAAATTTTAAAAATTTTAATTATTCTCTCCAACTTTTGATTTTACTCACAGTAAATTAAAAGCATATATTTGCAAAATTGTTCCTAGAGAGTGCGCAGATTTTTCATTCACAATTATTACAGAATTTAAGTTCACAGTTAAATTAAGCTCAATTTTTTGAAAAAAAAAAAATTAATTGTTAATAAGTATCAAAATGATTAAATGTCAAAATCTGTTAATAATATTAAATAAAAAAATGTATTTTTATTACACTGACATTTGGGCACCGTCAGGTGCAAACAACATATTTTCTGAAAACTTTTGATATTCAGCTAAAGACAAATGATTTATTTATAACGCCTATCATCCGGCATAACAAAAAAAAATTAATAATTTTGTTAAAAATTTTGTGATTACACACAAAAAAAAGAATTTTATTATTATAATTTACAATAAAATATGAATGACACTAAATTTATTTTTTTCCTCAAAAAAATGTAATTAATTTGTAATATTAACTAAAATTAAAAACTTATAAAGTTTGTCATTCAACATGCGTGTTCAGTTCAGTTCAATTGAAAAATTAAATGTAAGAATAAAGTTTTTAACAAGATTTCCTTTTTGTTTATAATATATAGGTGAGGTTTCTTAATGGATATTATAGCAAAATGAAGCATAATATCATTCCAATTCAAATTAAAACAATTTATATTGTCATTTTTCATTTTAATATAAAAAGCATTTGATTTTGTTATATGTTTTCACTAAACAAATAAAAAAAAAACCAATTTTATAATATAGGAAAAAATTAAAAATAAAAAAATTTCAAATGGTTTTTTTCTTTTTTTTATTTTATTCCATTCAGAATAGTTAACTAATCGTGAAATCGAAATAAGAAAAACATTACTCATGGAAGAATTTATATAGATTTCAGTATATGTATAATATATACATATATATACATGAATATGCATATATATATATATATATATTATTTGTTTTTATATATGTATATTAATAAAAAAATATATTTTATAAGTTAAATGTCTAATCTATTCGAAATTTGTATTAAAAAGAAATTGATTTAAACTATAGTAATTTTTGTACCTAATTTTGTATATTAAATATATTAAAGTAATTTGAAAAACATAATTTAATTATTTATTGATATTTATGTAGATGATATATGCCGTTACTTCCATATTATATAGAGAACAGATATATATATTTCAAGTTCATTCTATTGCAGTTTTATCACATTTTAATGCACCAAAATCATTCATTTTTGGTGTCATTATTAAAAAATTAACTGTAGCCTGTGTTATAGTCTTAAAATGACAACACGCTGGTCGAAAAATTTATTATATAGAATATGGAAGTCACCTATAATTTTGAAAATTTTCACCTTATTTAACAATTTATTTTCGGAATTATGAAAATTAAAAATATTTTTATTCATAATTGTATATATATTTTTTTCTTTTGAAATTAAAAAATAATTCAAAAATTTTTATTAAAATAAATATTTTTGTTGTAATTTTAAAATCTTTGAAAGGAAAACAATTTTGTTAAATTTTATCACTGAAAAGTGCACTTAATTATAAATTATTTTGTTATTTAAATATTTTATATGTGGTTGAAATAACTAAATTAATAAACTATATAATAAAATACACTATATTTAATAAATTATATTTTCAATGAAAATTAATACTAAATATGATAATTACATATAAAATGTTAATATATAAATATTATTAAATAAAAACAATCAAAAAATGTTATTTTTATTCTAAATTAGGTAACTTTTAATTTAATTAAAAAGTTAGCATATCCTATATATTGTTAAATATAATAAATTTATAAAATAATTTGAAAATTTTCAAAACAATTGGGAAAATTCGTATTTATCAATGTTTTTCAAAAATTACTAAAACCTATTAAACTTGAATATGTATAAATTGAAAAAAAAAATATCAATAGAACATTATATTTCATCAAGTTAACGACATTTAAAATGAATTAGTTTAATGTATGTATATATATTATATAAATATATAATAGTACAAAATTAATTACAAAAAAAAGAATCAATAAATAATTATTAACTAAAAAAAATAAAATTTTAACAATTGTAAAAAAACTTAATTTCCTTTTGTTTTATTTATGTTTTTATTGAATAAATAAGAGTACTCACTTGACGAATTTTAAAAAATACAATTTTGTTATTTAAAAAATTATACATGTTTTTTTACGTTTATATTTGATATTAATATTGAATATATGACATATACAAATAAATATAAATATATATAAATATAGAGTGTAGTTGAGGCGAGCGTGTTTTATATTTCGAAAAAAAATTGTATAACATTTTCGAGTTTTCTTCAATTTAAAAAAAAAATAAATAAAATAATAGTATCTTTCAATATTCTGGTTTTTTTTTTGTATTTTTTTCGTTTAATTTGAATTTATTGCTTTTTTTTTAATTTTTTATAATAATTTATATTTGAAATATCTGAATTGTTGAATATTGTTGTAGTTGTTCTTGTTGTCTATTTGGGCTGTTGGAGTGAAAAGAGTCTTTAATAGTGACGATGATTGGTATGTGTTTGTTAATCCCTTTGATTATAATTATTAATTTTTTTTTAAATTAAAAAAAAAAATAAAAATGATTCTTGTTTTAGTTTTGATCAAAAAATTAATGTTTTATATATTTCATTATTATTTTAAATTTTATTTTAACTTTTGATAAAAAAAAAAGAATAAAATTAAAAGATGTTCGATTTGATGCAATATACAAGATATTAAAATATTATTAAATAATAATTCATATTTAATTAAAAGTAAGAAAATTTAAATATTCCTTTAAATTTCTTTATTACAATTAAATTCTAAATTCCTAATTTAAATTTTTAATTATAACTCCATTTTAGTAAATTTTTATAAATTCCGAATAAGCAAAATGTACATATTACTAAATTTGCAGTATGAAATTTACAAATTATTCCTGCAGAGTGCGTACATATTACAAATTATGTGTCTTTCAAAAACAAATTTTCAAACTTTCAAAATTGACAATGATATTCAAAAAAAAAAAGGACTTATGAAATTTTTTCACTACTTTGAAGGTTTTCAATTTTTTTTTCTTACGTTTGTAAGCTTAAATGTTTATAATTAAAATAATTTATATATTTTTTTTTAGATATCATCAAAAAATAATTCCATTTTAATCATTTTATGTGCTCAATATCTTATCTTTTTTTTAAAAAACTGGACATTCAAGAAATCAATCGAGTATTAAAAGTTTAATTAAATTTCATTTCCTAAACACAGAGTTAATGCAATTGTAAAGTTATATTTGAATAATTTTTATTACACATTAATAATAAATTTATTTATTTTAGGTATTTTCATATTTGAATTTTAACATAACATCAAATCAAACATCTTTCCGACGAATTGAAATGATGGTATATGGCAGAAAATTTAATTGATTTCACTTTTAAATTTGATAGAAAAATGCAAGGAACTTTTTCAAGTGCAACTAATCTAATAAAATGCAAATAATTTAGTTAAAATTGGTAATAGGAATATAGTAGTATAACAATTTTTTTTTTTTGATATTGGAAATATTAATGTTCATATACATATACATATATATGATATTGTGTAAGAAACTTTCTGCTATGCTAAAATGCTATGCAATTAATTTATAAATATTCAATCAAATATTTTTAATAAGAATTCAATATTTCACTATATGTATAATCATTCCTCAATAAATAAAAAAAATATTTTGTTCATAATTATAATATTGTATACTAAGCTTTTAAGCCTATTTTGCAAAATTTTTATTTTATAAAAAAAATGTGAAATATTTTCAAATTATTTGTTGGAAAACTATTGCATTATGCAGAATTTCATTCCATATCATAATTTTTGTATAGAAGAGCAATGCCATATCCATTATACATTTCATTTTATTATTTATATAGTATATAACTCGTATTTGAAGAAAATTAAACCAATAAACAAGTAGTTTTTTTTTTATATATTTACTTTATGCTTGTTTAAGAATTGTGTGCTTTAATTAATTCGCTTCATTATTTTTATTTTATAACTTTGTTTTTAATTGTATAAAATTAAAACAATATGCCCCATTATTTAAAATCCTTACCTCCTTGCTCATCCAGCATAACGATGCTTCTCATTCCAACTTCCGTACTCTAAACAAAAACACCACAAATTTTGTTTTTTAGCAACAAATTTCTTAAAGATCTTTAATTTGACATTTTTTTTTTTTAATTTGCTTTTATAGAGTAGAAATATTTTTCAATAATGTTGTAAATTTTTAATAAAAAGTTATATATCCTTAAATTTTTTTTTGGATTAATATGTACAAAGCTATATTTTAACTTTCCATCTTTTTTTTTTATATATTTATATATCGACTAAAAATTTACCTAAATTTTGTTAGTTAAAGCATTTTTATTTATAAAGCAAATTGCAAATAAAACTTTTATTTAGTTCTTTGTAGTATAAAACCAGGATCTTATTTTATAAAGTGAAGATAGGAAAAAAAATATGTATATATAAAAACACCGTGAACAATGTACATTAGTAAATTAAATTTTCACTAGAAAAAAAAAAACAGTTCGAGAAATTTTCCTATTTCTTACCGCCTTGTTTAGACAAATAATCTAATGTTTTACCGCCTGCCTCTTCGCTCTACAAAAATACAATATGATAATAAACTAAAATTAAGAAATTAAACTAAAAATAGAAAATAATATAAAAACAAAATTTAAATTATTTAAAAAAATAATATAATAGTTTGTTTCCCCTTCAAAAACAAAAAAAAATAGAAAAACATATTTTAACGAAATTTTGATCAAACAATAATTTTAAAGTAAAACTTTTTTTACATGTACTATAAAATACTTTATAAATATATATAATTGATAATATTATGATATATATTTTTATTTTGCATAAAAATTATAATTTGCAATTTCAGTTAAATATATAAAGAACAAGTTGAAATCATAACAAAACTATAAAAAAAAAAAAATTAACAAAATTGCAGTGCTGAAGTAAAATTTTTTTTATTTTCAATCAAATATTATACTTTTTCAAAGAAGATATTTGGAGACGTGCATCAAACGAAATGTGATTCAAAAATTCTTATAAGAAAGAATAAAAATTAAATTAATATTTCAAAAAAAAAAAAAAAAATATCTATATGATGATGAAAACCATTACATATTAAAAATTAATTATTTGAATTATACAAAAATTTTTTTTAGCTATAATTAAATTATTACAATTTTTTTTATAAAAAAGCAAATGTATAATATAGACACAAAAAAAATTCTTTATCATAAAAGTTTTATGAAAATTTAATATAGGTGTTGAACATTTGATAAGAAAATCAAATTTTTTCTTTAAATGATACTAAACTTTTCTTATTTAAATTAAAAAAAATATTTATAAAAGAAAAAAAATATGAAATTTGAATAAATATTACAGGAAATTAATTTTTAATTTTATACTTTCCATGTTCTTTATCAATCTGGTTAATTTTTCCAATTAAAATGAAAATAGCGTTTACAATTTTTGATTTCTAACCAAAAATTTACTTGTTTTAAAATATAATTGTATAACACATAGAAATTGTAATTGTATAGAACAGGGGAGTCTTTTTACTTTTAAAGGTTATATTTAAAATAACAGTAACAATGTTAAGTCAATTGGATTTTGTATAAATGCTAAAACTTTCTAGCTTAATGTAAAATATTATTTGTATTTTTATAATAATATTTTACATTAGTTTAGAAAAAAATATAAATTGCTTATATTTTGTAAACTATATTTAATTAAGAGTACACACTAATTCGTTATACTCTTTGCATTTTAATTTTTTAAATGACTCAAATGGATTAAGTTCAAAATTAACCAGTTTTGTTTTTTTTTTTAAATTCCCCGTAACAGACAAGTATAACAAAAACAAAAATAAAACTAAATTAATTACAAATAAATTTCTTTTAATTTGTTATTTACAAATTAAATATTTTAATAAAAATTTAGAAGATTTTAATATTATAATATTAATTATACTTTTACTTTGCCACCAAAAAGCAATAATATAAACATAAAATATTAAATAATTACTTTTACCTATATATTATATATTATGTAGAATATATAATATATTTTAATTACAAATTATTTATAAAACCATAACAAATGACCAAATAAAATTTTTAAAAATATGAAAAAAAAAAATAGTTGAAAAATTAAATTTAAATATGTGTGACACATTAACAAAATAAAACGGTTTTTTTTTCATTTTTTTTTTCATTTTTTCGATTAAATACAAAATAATTTCAAGAAATTTCACACTATGCCTTATGAATTCGAATAACATGTCAAATATGATTTATTTGAATAAAAAAGTTTTTCGCATATTTCAAATTTATTCTCATGTGCATTACGATTGTTATCAAAAAATTAGCAAGTAGTTATTGGATTCGAAGTTATTACTGAACATTTTGTTAATCTTATTTTATTAGAACGTATGCATATATTAATAATTGAATAAGTAAAATAAAATAAATTTTAATTTAATTTTTAAAATGTTGTGAGAACTACGTTTGTTGTCCTGTAATTCGAAAAATTACGAATGTCATATTATCAATTAGGAATTACTAAAATTCTGCTCCGAGTATACGTGATAGAGTAATCATAAATTACGTTCGTAGTAAAAAAAAATAAATATCAAAAGTTTACGAATGAAATGTCAATCACATGTAGCAATTTTTTTTTTTTGTTCCTTTCAGTTGTCATGAAAGGAAACATATTCATTTTTGCTATAAACAAAATTGATTACGCATAAACCGAATGATTTTAACATTATTTTTTTGTTTTATTGATAATATTATTTAACATATTTTTCAATATTCAAATTGAAACGATTTAAGATAAAATGGTGAAATTTCTTGTAAAAAATACGGAATATGTAAAAACAAACAGAACAGATTCAAGAAAAAAAAAAATATTAAATAATAAATTTTTTTTAAGTGTCCAAGGTGACTCACCTCCCTGATCGTCAAGAGCCACCAGGGTTCGAATCCCGGCTTCCTTGCTCTGTGATGCGGCAAAACGAATAATTTATTAAAAAGTGTATGTTATGTTCGTATTTATTTTTGTTCATAATTTTTTTTATATATATAATAATTACACAATTTCATTTAAAAAAAAAATATAATATATATAAAAAGAAAAATTTAAATAATAAAAATATGTTTTTTATTTTTTCAATTACTCAATAACTTTTTAATAAATTTTGTTAAAAAAAAAGTATATATATATATATATATATATTTATACACGTATATATAATGCATAAAAAATGTTTTTATAATAGAATCTTTAAGAATGATTTAATTTTAAAATCTGTTAAGTTTTCTTATGTAGTTTTTATTTAGTTTTATTTTTTTACCCAAAAAAAAAAGTATATGGACGAATATTAGTAATATAAGAATAAAATTTATGAAAAAAAAATTTAATATAAATTTTTTTTTCTATTAATATTTTAATTTTTTATTTGTAAGTTTTTCTAATATATTTATATTATTTTATTTAGTTTTTTTTTACCCATGATGATTTTTTTTAGTTATAAGTTGTAATCAAATTGTATTATTAATTTTAACTTTGAATTTTGTTTCTGTGGTATTTGCTGTTTAAAGTATTTTTTTATATATAATATAAAAAAAAAAACAAAAGTTAAAATTAACATAAAAATTAAATAATATTTTAATTATTTTTTTTGAAAGTATAAAAATTAACAAAATTAAAAATGAAAATAAAAAAATAAAATTAAAAATTAAATAAATGCTATATGCAGTGGATCAGTGTTTTGTTTCTGTAGCGTAGGTCTTAAAAATACAACTTGTTCGAATATGAAAAAAAAAAACAATATTTTGTATATGCTTTAGGTTTAAAGAATTAGAAATTTTTGTTGTAAATTTTCAGATGATTGGTAATACTATATTACAAAAAAAAACAAATTAATTCACATTTTAAAAATTAGACAAATTATTTGAAGTTGGATAGAAAAAAAAACAACTTAATGTTCTAAAATTTTGAAATATTTGATTATTAAAAATCTAAATTTTTGATATTAAAATAAAAAATTAACAAGATATTTTTTTAAAAATTTTTCTTTTAAAAATACTCAACGAAATTCAAATAAAATTAGTTAAATTAACAAAGAGAAAACAAAGGAAATTTTGAGATTTTTTACTTTGTTTTGTATATAATTATAATGTAAAATGCTCATACGAGTAGTATGCAAATGATTTGCAAAAAAAAAATTATAGAATGTAAAATTTTAGAACTGTAAAAAAAATTTTTTTTTGTTCTTTTTTTCATTCTAAACGGTCTTTTCATAAACGCAGTATAACGTGATATATAGCTAAAACTGCGCTACATTTATGTTCTTAAGTGTTCATAAATAGCGCAGTTAAACTAAATGAACTGTTTTAATTTTATAGAATAGTTAAAAAAAATATTTTGCATATTCATCACGTTATGTTTTTGCGGTGTTGCGTTTTACAGTTATTGTTTGGCAGTATTGCGTTTATCAAAATCTCTTAAATCTCACCAATTTTTGTTTAAAAATATTTTTAAAATTGATTTTAACTATTTATTTATTTATTAATACAATTAATTCAATTTATGCAATTTGTAAATATAGGTAATCATATTTTTATTCTTTGATATCTTAAAAATCCTGAAGGGTCTCATCTGATATTTTAAAATACAAAATATTATATTGTATATACATATAAATAATTATTAAATTACAATTAAATTTAATAATTAAATACAATTTTTCATATCGATGATGCACCGAAATTTCTTTTATCGTTTTATGTTCAAAATTTACTTGCCAGCACAATTTTTAAGTTTGAAAAAAAAAAAAAACTGAATCTTTATAGAGAAGCGACTTATTTAAAAAAAAAAATAGTAACTAAAATAAAATTTTAAAATAATCTAATAATTGTCATAAAATATTTTTCTTCTTTAAATAAAATGAAAAATTCTAAATAAGAAAAAAAATTATATTTTCGATAAATAAAACATTCATTAAATGCACATTTATAACTTTCAACCACCAATAATCCAATATTTGGATATCGGACTGTACACATCGAAAGCACAACATCAATTTTAACTATTTAATTTATCCATATAAATTTAGAACGCATAATAAAATATATTAAATTGAAATTAAATTATTATTTTAATAAAAAAAAAAATATATTAAAAAGAAAAAAAAACCGAATTTATTACTCAGAAGGCTGAAAATTAAATTTACAATGACAAATGAAAAAAAGTTTAAAACTTAAAGTCATTAAAATCTTAAATTTATTCTAAATCAATTTTGATATCGGATTGTTCTCATTTTTACTTTATTTATATTTTCCTCATATTTTATTTTATTATTAATTTCATTTTATTATTTTTTATATTTTATATGTGTATTTAAAACCAATATTATGGAATTAAATTATAGAACTATAATAACGTATTTAGAAATTTACGGTAAACTTTTTATCGTATGAAAATAAGAAATAGGAGGATAAGAGAAAAAATAGAACACGAGATTTACTTGTTAAATAAACTCTCGCAATGGCAATATTCCACAATTCAAAATTAAATTTTCTTACTTATAAATTTAAATTACTTATAAATTATAAATTTAAATTGAAATTTTGGCAAGGTCACAGAGGTCATATTTTACTGAAACTGGGAGTATTAAATTGTCTTATTTAGAAATTGCTTTTTCAAACTATTAAGCCTTAAAATCACTATAGCTCTTAAAATGGTTTTTATGATATCAAGAGGTATAAGCATAAAATTTATAAAACTTTTCTTTGAAGGCATAAATTTTGAATATAAATCCCTGACTGACCTCTTTCTATTATTTTATTCATATTGAAATATTTTTTGAAAATTCTGTGCTGATCTGAGCTCATTTATAAATCTAAAAGCATAATTTTCTAAAAAAAAATTATTTTTCTTGGAAATTCTTCAAAAGTTTTATGTATGTATATTATTTAATATATTATAATCAAATTAAAATAAAATACAAAGAATATTGTTATTAAAATATTATAGATAGAATTAGATTAAAGTTCAAAAAAATATTGCCCTAAAATAAATAAAATAAATTATTTAATTTTTTTTTAAGAGTCTTACACATAAATTATACACAAAATGTATTACAAAATAAATAATATAATAATAAAATACATTTTATTAAAATAATTTCACTCATCATAATTAATAATAATAATAAATATTAAAATGTTTAAATATAAAATATTTATTTAGTAAATTTTTTTAAATTATATAGTGTACTCTTAATAAACAGAAAATAAAGAAATAAAAATGATATACATATTATGGCATAAATTTTCAAAAACTTATATTTTGTAATGTTTACAATATATTATAAAATCTTTATTCTATAAAATACTAAAATTATTTTAATTAAATTTAAATTACATAATTATTTTAATAAAAATCTGCAATTTATATAATATATTCTTTATAAATCTAATTCTAACAGAAAATAGATTTTTTTATTTTTATTAAAAGAGTTTTATAATAAATATTAAATATTATAATTTACGATTCATATATGTTTTTAATTAGAAAATATATTAAATGAGAAATAAAATTTTTTAAGTTTATAGAAATTGTATAAGGTATATAAAAAAGAGGTAATATATATAGATTATATGTATATATATACAGAATTGATTTTCTATAATGAAAGTTTCTATATAGAACTAAGTTTATAGCAGGATAATAGAAATATTAAATTTTTTTTTTCTTGTTTGGCAAAGATTTAGTTTTATAACAGAATTGTGCAAAAAAAAAAAAACAATTTAGTAATTTTTTTTATTAAGTATTTTTTTTTTATTTGCAAATACACAACAGCTTTTGTGCATTGAACTTTTTCTTTCGTTTACTTTTATTTTTTTTTGTATAACATGCAGGAATTTTTTTTTAAATAATTCTTTTAGTTATTTGGTGTGAATAGTATAACAAAATGCTTTCATTAATCTCAAATATTTAAAAAAAAAAAAGGATTAATTGAAGTATAGTCAAGGTTTTTCATTTCCGTTTCATAAAAAAAAAAAACTAAAGACCTACAATAAAATCAAAACAAAATTGTTGAACATGCAATTTACTGAAGGGCGCGATAAAAGATTTTTAATATAAGAACACTGCCTTTTTTTTCAAAAATAGAATGTTATACAAAATTAAAATTTTTGAAATTATAATATGATAGGAAAATCAAAACTAATATAACATAAATAAAAAAAAAATAGAAAAGAAAAACTTAAATTATAAATACTTAAAATTAAAATTAAAACAAAAAATATAAACAAGAACAACATTAAAACTTAATTTCTATTATATAAATTTGAACATACACATTTCATTATATTTAAGAACATAAAGCGTTTGCGATTAAATTAATTATTTTATTTTATATTTTCTTATTAGTCCTCTCCTTTTTTTTTTAATAAAAGATATAATTATTAACATATATTCGATATAATTGATCAATTTAAAAATAAAAATAAATTAAAAAAAAGAAAATATTAAATAAAATATAAATTTCAATTATAAATACAAAATTATATTGAAAAAAAAAAATAATTATTTATAAAAAAAAAAAAATTTTTTTTTTTGCTACTTAGCACCACACTGTCCACAGCAACATAAATTTACTTTAATTTAAATTTTTAATTTTTTTTTTCTTTCTATATATTTGTTAATAAATGTAGTCAAATTTCTTAAATATTCTATGTATAGAAGTCGATTTTTTTTTAAATTGTCCATTTTGATTTAAATAATAATACAGTCGTGTTTCAATATAACGAATACCAAATCTAACGTATAACGAAAAGCTAAATTTTTGTTTTTCTACATTTTTATAATTATTTAGCAATATGCCTGTTACATTATCTGGAGATTCATTATTATTTCCGATTATCCAGGATGCATTCGGATTCAATACATATTTTGATATTTTTTGATTAGTTTAATTATCGTTTTTTCTACGATCGATCGTGTTTTTTTTTGCGTACGTATATTTGTACTTGTGAATAGAAATAATGGTACATTATTGAAGAAAGCGTTTGAATATAAAAGGAAAATTGATGATTATATTCTAAAATAAATAAACATCAATTTTTTTTACGAAAACTTATTTTAATTAAAAACAAACACAATTTTTAAATGATTTTAGTACATACAGTCTTATTTTATATGTACTCGATAGACGAGCGATCCGGCGTCGTTATATCGTTCTTTATATTGGAACACCACTGTAATTAAATTCTAATTTTTGTTATAAATAAATTTATACAAAAACCGAGTTGTAAATTTTACAAAAATCTTTTCTTTTTTTTAATATGCATTTAAAACACACATATAATAATGACAATTTCATTAATTTTGAATATAAGTATAAGAAAATAATTTTTATATTTTTTTTCTATTAAAATTTTTTATTTCACCTTCTCCATTTTTTTTTTAATTTTATATTTTTTTTAATAATTTGCAAATGTTTTTCTTTTAAGTTATTTTTGTAAAAAATTTTTCAAAAAAAATATGAAATTAATTTTTTTTTTTTACAATAAACTTACCTCTTCGCAAAGAGCAAGCATTCTTCGGGTACTTTCCAATGACTAAAAATATAAAATAATAAATTTAAAATTATCTGTTCTATTATTAAATATTTCTATTGTACATGCTATTTAATTTCAGTACAGAATCAGAAATTAATTTTAAAATGGTTATTAAAATAAAGAAAATTAGTCCATAAAGAAAACCCATAGAAGCCCAATTTGGTTTATTTGTGGTATAACTTTGTGGCTATATAGCTGTTGTATAGCTTTTGAAATTTATTGTCGATTAGAACACTTTAATTTGTTTTGACTAGAAACTTTACTGAAAGTAAAGGTGGGCATTGAATGAAAACCCCTTAAATGAATTCACATTAAAAGAATTTGTTTGAGCCTCAACTAGGCCATAGTGATCTACCAGTCGATTTTTAAAAATTTGATTTTTTGGAAAAACTTTGCAAAAAAAAATTTTTACTGAAGTCATAATTGAAAAATTTTAAATTACACTTAATAACGAATAGCAACTGATTAAAGAAATCCTGACATCTATTGAATTTTTTTTTAAATATGATAATTCAAAAAACTGGTATTACACGTACAATGTTTACCACAGTTTTAAACTGAGACGACATATAAAAATCGATATTATTTCTTTAAGCAGATAAAATCTGTTATTATTTCATTGACCGGCTGTTTCTTATATATCGTCTCAGTTAAAACTATGGTGAATAATAATTATACGTATAATCACTCTCAATGTCTTGTCAAATTCTAGTTTTATTTGATGTCTTGTCAAATTCTAGTTTTTATGAAGTAAGTCGTTGCAACCTATTGCTTTTCTGTATTTACGGCTTAACTTTAAACAAATAAATTAAAATTCAAATGTTAATAATTTAAATAAAAATTACCTCATCGGTACACTGTTGTGCTTTAAACTGAAGTTCCTGAAGTTCTGTTTTTGGAACTTCAACTGGTGCTTCCTCTACTGGTGCTGCTGACGGCATTCTTAAATTTAATAAAAAAAAATATATTAATTTTAATATATAATAAATTACTACAATTATTTTTTATTATATAAAGTTTTTAGAATTATAAAAAATTTGAAGATGTTGCAAGATTATTAAGTTAATCATAATTTTGAAAGCATTATTACAAACGCTTAACACGCCCCTATAAATAGGCAAAGAAACATAAATTTCAATCTTTAAACAGGAATAAAATAAAAATTTACTATAAATACATTTTTTAAAAAAATTTTATTTTAAATTTTAGTTGTGTTCCTGTTGATTGTGCATTTGTACAATTAAAAATGCAACGTTATTCAAATAATTTATGTATGTATGCGTATTACATTGTCATATTACGCTATCTGAACATACTCTTACTCTACATACATAGTCAGAGAACAACAAGATCAACCGAAAATAATTTTAAATTCCAAATGAATTAAAGAAGATGATGAAATCTTTGTTTTTCAATAAAATTTTTATTTTATATTGTTTTTGTTTCGAATCAATGATTTTATTATATGCATGCGCATATATTAGAATGGGCATTTGTAAATGCTTATAAATGTTTTTTCTTAAAATCACCATTTACTCTTTGTGGTCAATTTTATCATCCTAATGTAAGTGATGTAATGAAAATAATAATGAATCACTCTTTGACTCATCAAATTGTCTATTAAAAAAAAATTTTCTTTTTCCATTTCATACGAAATACGCACTTAATCTTCTGCCTGCAAAATATATATTACATACTCCTAAATACATTCATACAAACATAACGTATGTAGAACGAAAATTCTAAGCAATTTAATTTTATTGAAATCTTTTTTTAGAATTAAAGAGTAGTTTCTTAAAAAACTAAAGCATACTAAAAATTTTTTTATGTTTTTGAGTCATGAAATTTAAATACATTTGCAAGTATATAATAAAGTTTAAAATTTACATATATATATGTATATATAGTAATACCAAAGGTGTTAACTCTACTTTCTAACGACTTAGTAATATCATTATGCTAGTCTACATATATATAATTACCAATTAGCATGTATACAATTAGTGATAAAATTGCTAGGTAAAAGTATAGATAGGTAAAAAATGTATAATGAAAATGAAGAAAAAATTTTTCTATTATTTAAAAGATCTTCTTAAATTTTTATTTTTCAAATTTAAGTTTTATGAAAATTTAATGATGGCGTGAACCATATCGTATAGATACAATCGTAATCTAATTACTTTAAAATAAATTATGGTAAAGACGAAAATAATGATGAAAATTAATAAAATACTTTAAGAGGCAGTGAATACCGTAAATACTCTACGAAAAGATTTCAACCTTATACAATATCGTATGCTTTTCACTTGCATTATACTTATTGTTTGAATATTCGGCTTAACAAAGCAGGTCTCTAATTCATTGTAATTTATGGTATTTTAAATTATAAAAATGGATAAAAATTTTTTTAATACAATTGACTACACTGATTTTTGAAAATTTTACTCATCTGTTTAAAAACAAAAACATGTGAATGTATTTTACATTTAGTTTTCATAGTAGGTAAACAAACTGGATTATAGTCTTAATCTGAGTAGACAGACAGAACCCACATCTTTCGAAGAATAATTTACTGACGCCTCCCTACTTTCGAGAAGTACGCTATCACCGACAATTCGAAAGCAAAATTTGGTGTCATCACAAAACCTCCCCTATATACAATGCATGCAGCTGGCAAAAATTTTCGATATTCAAACCCATCTCAATACTTGAGATATTGTCAAATTAATATTGGTCATGAGGGCTTTAATACCCCTAATATTATTAATACTAATAGGGGATATAGGGGTTTAAATTTTTATTATGCGACTCTACACGTAAGTCCCTTGTAACATGAAAACTGGTTCTAAAATTCACACTCGTTCAAATCGTTCTTTAATATAGACTTTACCCATTAACATATCTAAATACATACAATACTTTACACATACATACAATAGATTCTTTACATTAACACCTAAAATAAATGACATTATTCATTCCAAATTTGTAAAGTTTAATTTTAAAATGAAATAAAATTGTAGAAATCATAGTTTTTTTCTTACTAAAGTTCATTATTTTTAAAACTGATAAATGAAACAAATTAATTTTATATTTTATAGCTATTTATTATTTAGTTTATAATATGTGTACATGTATGTATTTTTAATTAAATTTACTTTATCAATCAATTTCTTTATTATCTTTTAAATTAATTAAAAATAATTTATACATGAATGCAAAAACAAAAGCGACAACCAATAACTTTCGCTTTTGTTTTTGTTTAATTTCGCTTGGCTTTAAAAGTAAAGCTATTTATAAGAAACTGAGCTAACAATTTGTTGAAATCAAAAATTATTTGACAGTAAAAGGGAAATTATTGACTTTACACCACACTTCATTTTTAATGCTCACACATTAATTAACTAATTCACATTATTACGGTAGGCTCGTCACCTATCTAGTAAACTCAATGACGTAAGAAACTGGCTCATTTCCTTATAAAAGAATTTATATACATATTTAGTGTAGGCAGCGTAAGTGCTATATGTTAGAACAGAATTAACGAAAACCATCTTAATATTTGTATTAGAAAAATTACGTAGTTTCATTATGTATTTGGTAAATATGAATTTCATTTAGATATAAAAATATATTTGTAACATGTAACATGTTGCATGAACAAATTCAAAGTCTGTCTTGTAAGAAGAATAAAATGTTGAGAAGTCATAAAACTATATGTCATAACTAATTGAAAAAATGTCAACAAAAATATTAAATCCATAAACAGTTCCAAAAATCAGTATTCCAATTTCAAAAAACGACCTTAACTACTTTTATTCCACAATTTAATTAATTATAAATTTAATATATATTTTATTATAAAATTTTAATAAAAAAAATGTCTGATGCTAATTTATCTAAGTTGCAATTACGTAAATGTCGTCAATTTCGAATGTCTTATTAGATGTTTTTAAAAAGTAATTGTATATTGAATTAAATTTTACATTTAAATTTTTTTTTTCAATTTGATCAATATTTTTTCTCAAATGACATGCATATGCGCTTAAATATATTGTGTACACAATATTCTCTATATATTTACATACATATACACATTTTATAATACTTTCGATCCTAATTCTTAATTGGTACATGCAAAAGAAGAGTAGAAAGACTGTTCTTATGGTATACATACAACCATACATATGTACGTATGAATTAATGTGTTTGACAAATATTTGCTTACAATATGCATTATTTCTTTTTGTTTGTTCATGTACCTGATGCTCTATACACATTATTATAAACTTTTTCAATTGTAAGTACTCAAAAATTTCTTATTTTTCAAAAGTACACGTGTGCCTCTTTTCATGTAAATTTTATTTCAAGAAAATTCGTTTCAATTCAATACATACATACATACATAATATGTATAAATTTGCAATTTTTTTAAAATACATACTTACATATGTAGTTAAAATAATAAATAAAACTTTAGTAAAAACAAAATATATTTCCCTGCCCCCTCCAGCTCTTAAGGACAAAATTTTTTTTTCATTCGATTTGTAACAATTGACATAAATTTTCTCGAAATTTGTATTATTCCTCAGTCCTCATTATAACCAAATATTTTTAAATATTATTTATTAAGAGAAGTAAGTTTTTCATTTGAATGCGGCAAACAGTTACCTATATTTTGATATGGCGTTCAAATATTGCATAAGTGATTCAAATATTGCATAAGTGATATTATCATTTCTATATATTATTCTACTACGTCGTAAACGTGATAATTAAAAGTGGTACCAATTTTGATGTGATGACAGACGTCAAAATCATCAAGTGTGCTCTTTCTGTAAAACTTTTCATGCACCGTGATAGCTAAAGGTTTTTCAGTGTTAAGAAATGTAAGTTATCTTCAAGTCTCTTAAACAAAAGTGTAAATTTTTTTTTTCGAAATTTTGAAGTATTTTGGAAATCTAAAAAAATGTTCATAAGTTTTACTTAAAATTTAAATTATACAAAATTTCTTCGAAATGCTGTAGGAAGTTGCAAGGGATTTTAAAAATCGGTAAATATTGCTTTAAAACTTTCCTTGATTTTGTTTATACGCAAATAACCAAAATATTTCTCACTTCACTCAATATTAATTTTTTTGTGCCAACTACCAACCTAAAAATATTTTTTTTCGTGTCTACAGACACAACTACCAGAAAGGCTACCATAGATGTGAGGAATTACCCATTTCTTTCTATATATTCGCTTTTATGAACGCCTTTATGAACACGATTTATTTCTATATACATATGCGCTTCTAACTAAAAATCAAAATTAATCTTTTTAATTTTATTTACAACTTTTTTTCAAATCATCTTACAATTTTTTCCTAGACGTATGCAATATAAAATAGTATTATTTGAATTACTTTAATAAAACATTGTTTTCATTATTTAGTTCCAAAGGTACATGCAGAATTGTATTCACTTTCTTCAAAATTAATGTGCTATTCTGTTTATCATGGAATCGATCAAATGTAATTCACATCGAATTTATCTTCAAACGAATATTTAATGCAATGTGATTTTTAATATTAACATTTTCATTACTTAGTTAAAACAAGAAATTTATTTCATTTTATTAAAAAATAATGAATGTTATTAACCTGTACCAACATCAACAATAAACTATTATCGATTTTTCATCTTCCTACTTTTTTTTTATGATACGAGTATATAGTTCATTTTACATATATGTATATTATTATGTATGCGTATAAACAGAAACCAAAATTAAAGAATTACTAAGAAAAATCAATTTTATGTTAAAATAATGGAATTAATTTCAAATTATAGATTATTAACCTTAGTGTATTTTTTAATACAATTTCAAAATTAATTTGAATTTTTATATTGTATCATTTAATAAGGTTTATTAAAGTTTATTGCGGCATGGGCATATGTAAAATGGCAAATGAGAAATAGAAAGTTAGAAAATTCTTAAAATATAAATTAAAAAGTTAATTTTTTTTCGTTTTAGAGATTGCAACCTATAAAATTAATACAATTGGAATAAAACTGTCCCCGTTTGGATACATTTTTCCCTTAAATTTAACGTATATACATAATTATAAATATTAAGACTCACATAACTGAATAAAGCAAATTGTTATTAATTGTGAGTTAATTTGTACTAAATAAGACGACTTAATATAATAATTCTACTTTACGAGATACATTTTGGATACGTTTTCTTTTTTATCAAGTGGGAACACTGTTTGTTGCATTTGTTTCCACTCTCTTCTTCTTAAAACAATATTTAAAGGCTATTCAATTTAATATTGAATAAGCTAGATTAAATGGTATTAAAAATTAAATTAAATTTTTCTATAAAAAATTAAATATTTTTCTTCTTAAAATATGATGCCTGGTAAGTTATGGAAATAAATAGTGCCTAGCTATTTATGGTATTACAAAATATTTAATATGAATTTTAAATAATTTGTTAAATAATAATTGACCATTTTAAACAAACTTCGTTACATAAGTATACATATATTATGCATACACCCATATATATGAACGTATTTCTTTTTTTTTTTGAAATCCTTCTAATAAATTCTGACAATAAAACAATTAAAAAATATTACAAATAATTGAATTGCTAATTTATTAAGTAAAAGCATCCATCCATCCAATTCCTTATATGAAGGATTAAATCAATGTCAAATTTGAATGTCAATAATTATACCTTGAATTTCAAAATAAATTTTATTTTTAGAAATGCAAAATAAAGCAAAAAAAAAACAAATATTTTTTTTTAATTTTACAATAATTAATAAAACCTTCACCTTCACGAAATAAATAAATAATAAAAAAAAGAAAGAAAACAATAAAATAAAAAATTTCATTTTATCACTTTTATTCCAGTTTTTCTTCTCTTTCTTTTTCTTTAATGATATTATAAAATGTGCATGTGTCTGCATAAAATACACGTATGTATAAAATTATATTTGCAGCACATATGTATGTTTGCATATGTTTATGTTATGATTTTTATATTATGTTTTTTTTTTTTTTTATTTTGTTGTCATCTAATTAATTCAAATTATAAATCGATAATCACTTGATATGTTTAATGATTATACAAAAAAAAAAAAATGCACAAAACCCAAGGAAAGAACAATAAAAGGAAGAGAGAAAAGAAAAATAACCGAAACTTTTAATAAAATCCAAATAGAATTAGCAAAACAAAAAAAATGGGCGATTTACCCACGTATATAACCATATTATAATTGCACATCCATATGTGCATACATACGTTGAATAGCGACATACTTTGTATGCATATGTAGGTATGTGAATATATTTTAATGAAAAAGAAAAAAAAATTGCAAATGAAATTTTGCAATTTTATTTATTGATCCGTTTTTTCCTACAATTATAGAGCTATAATATTATATACAAGGCTATAAAGTGAAAATATATATACATTCGTATACTATATATTCTACTTTATAGCTCATTTTATATACATACATATAAATAAATATGTATATATTCGGTATATATAAAATTACAAGTATTTCACTAATATAATAAATAGTTACAATATAAATTATTTCGTACAATTTAAAAAAGGCAATAAAATAGCCTCCGTTGTATATGGTAAGCGACCTAGCAAACAAAAAAAACCTTCATAATTTCTTAATACAAATTGCATATATACAATGAACATCCATACATACACACATACATATATTAAATTTTCTTTAATTTTTGTTTTTCGGTTTTTTTTTTTTTTGTTTTTGTTATTATTTTTGATATTATTGTTATAATTTATTTAAAGCTTTTTATAAGAGAAATATATACCAATTTAAATATACATATTAATGTATGTTAGTATGTATATATGTTAATATGAATGAACGAACGAACGAACTTATTGTATATGTACCTAAAATTAAAGTTTATGTGCCACAATGTCAGTGATAACTACTTTAACCCCAAACATATTACAAACATATTCTACATATATGTAGGTATATATGTATGTATGTACAAATATACTCATAAATAATTTAGTTTTTCTATTTTTTTTTTGTTTGGTTTTTTTTTTTTTTTTTGTTGATATTGCATTTTTCTTTCACTCTAAGGATTTGAATTTATATTTTTATTTTAGTCTGTATTTTATTGTGTTATATAAAAATGTATAATATGTACATAGATGCACATTTAGTCATAACTATTATTACATACTAATCTACATATATATATGTGTATATGTATATGTACGTAGCTAATTTATGTGTAAGTTTTTGTTTCTTTCTTGTTTTTTTTTTTTTTTTTTTGTGAATTAATCCCTATAGTTTGGAATCGTTATTATATGAGTACAATATGAAAAATAAATATAAACACTTAAGTATAACAAAAATTTCCCGCCATTATATAAAACTATTAATAGATTAGGTAAATATTTTTTAATAAAATACAAAAAAAAACAAGCTAATTTTAAATTATTTTTTAAAATTGTAAGTATATAGTAAAATACGTATAATTTACTAAAGTTGCATGATTATACCACCAGAGGGATTACGTATACTATATACAATAATGTATTATATTATTATACCACATAAAAGGACATTTACATAAAAATGTGTTATATAAGTATGAATAGAAAAATAATGTATGTATATAAAACGCTAAATTTTAACAAATATATATACATATTTATATTACATAAAAATATATATATATGGATGTTCATTTTATTTATACATAAAGTATTGTATAAAATTGTACATGTTAAATTTGTTATATTGTTATGTATATAACGTATGTATGTATAAATATGGTTATACATATTGTACATATAGAAATATTACTGACATATATGTAACCATGTACATACGTATATATAAACCTAAATGTATCACTGCTTCCCTTTTTTTTAATTTTTTTTTTTTTTTTTTTTTTTTTTGGGAAGGATAAAAAGGCGTATAACACAAACTGCGTAAATATTGATTTTAATTAAAAAAAATTTCTTTTAACATTTAAAAAAATTTTTTTTTTTCAATTTAATTTAATAAATACAAATTAAATATAAAATTTTTTATAAGATTATAATTGAAAAATACATACGTACTTTTGTGTTTTAAATTTACTTTAACAAATTAATGTTGAAATTAAACGAGAAAAAAAGAAGGAAAATTCCAATTTTTCCTTCGCCGAATCAAAATTTTTTAGAAATGAGAATTGAAGAAAATTTTGAATTTTCTCCGTTTTTTTTAGTTTTTTTTTTTTTATATTTTTCTTTTTGTTTTAATTTTTTTTTATTAATTTTAATATTCACAATATTTAATTAAAATAAATTTAATTTTTTATAATATTAAAATTTTAATTAATTTCCTTTTTTTGATTTTCTTCTATATTAAATTATTTAATTTTTATTTCCCTTTTATTTTTTTCGCAATAAGATGAAAAAAAAATATTAATATTTTTTTTCCTTCACTTTTTTTTTTTTAGTGTGTAGCTTCAAAAAGAAAAATTATTTTACACCACAAATCGCAATTTGTATGTATAATTCATGGAAAATTCAGCGCAACTGTATAGGGTGCAAGGATATGAAGCAAAATTGAAGCTTTTGGAAAAAGAAGAAAACAAAAATAGAAAAAAAAAATATTCAAGGAGTAAAATTTGCTGATATGAAAAAGTGAGAAACAAAAAGGAAAAGCTAAAAAAAAAAAATAGACTTTCAAACATCTTAAACAATAATATGTTAGCATAGGAACTATATGTATGAAATAAATAAAGAGGATATTGGAAACAATAAGAGGAACAAAAAAAAACACAAAACTTTATATATACGTATATATAAAAAGAAGAGCGCATGCTCCAGCTGAATTACCCATAGAATCATTTAATAACTCAAATTTTATTCTTCTAGTTTAGACTGGTAAAACTAATTATTTTTTTATTTAAATTTCTCATATTTTTCCCTCTTTTCTATTTCTATTTATATAATAAAAGTACCCTAAAATATATTTATCTTTTGCCTCAGTATAACACATTACATATTTCTTTGGAAAAGTATGTAAAATTTTATACAAAAAAAAATTCAACTTGCTAGTTTTTCTCTTTTACCAAAAAAAAAAGATACGAGTAGAAAAAAAATTCACAATATAAAATTTCTTAATCTTAACATTTTAATGTACATACATATAAATGTATATGTTTAACTGTAAGTACGAATATTGTGAACTTAGTTTCTTATTTAAAATAAAAGGTACATAATATAAGATTTCAATGAATTGAGGCATCCAATAGAAAAAAGAATTATTATAGTCTAAGAGAAAAGAAAAATCATGTGAATTTTCAACACAGCAGACAATTTATTATTTAAATAAATTTTTAATTCAAATAATAATATAAAAATAAACTATAAATATAAAGAATATTCTAAGTTAAACATAAAATTATGAATAAGCATCAAATTTGATATTTGTAGAAATTCAAATCGAAATTCTTAATAAGTTTCGGAATGAAATTTTCATCATAGTAAAATCTACTGTTCCGACTTATTTTAGCTAATTGGTAATTCTGTAATAAATACGTATAAAATTTTAATACAAAATTATCTTATTTCAAATTATGATCTTCTTGAATAAAAAATACAAGAGTAGCAGAACTTTGTTAGCAAATATTTTAATTTCTATAACCTGGTTTATATAGCTTGAATATTTTACTTGAAATTAGCTTGAAACTCAAGCTGCGTTTTTAGTACTCCTGCTACAAGATAACAAATACTAAAAAATGCAAAAATAAAAATACAAAATCTATTTATAACAATTTACATATACATATACATAAATACAATTTATGAAAAAAAAAAATTATGTTCTGCGATTTTCAATCTCTCAAAGTTTTCAAGCAATGTGTTTACTTCAACATTTCAAGTGTAGTAAGCAAAATTTTTTGAATAGCTTGAGTAAAGCCGACCTAAAATCAAGCAACGTTTATATTGACAATAAAAAACGCTTCAAATACCCTTGAAGGTGCCATTTTAATGGACAATCTAATAATGATATCTTAACAATAACCAAACAAACAAAAGTTCAAAAATAGAAAATTTTCACAATTCATTGTGTTTAAATTTAAAACATAAATTTTAATTGAAATATGAAATTATTACAAAAAAAAAAACCGTAACTAATGTAATTACACCATAAATTTGGTTGATTTTTGTTCTAGTATAACAACTTGAAGTTATACGTATAAAAAAAATTTGTGATAAATCGTTTCTACACCCAACTTCTATTATAATATAAGAAAAAAATAGTATATTAAAAATTTTATTTAATATGACATTTTAGGCTTGAATTTTCATTTTTTTAGTTTCAAAAGTTTTCTAAAAAATTTTTTAAAATTTATTAGGCAATTTTTAAAATTAATATGAAAATATTACAATTATATAAGAGCAAACCAAACACATAATATGCCGGACAGTTATGGTCAAAGGAACCCTTATGTTTGAAGTACAAAATTAAAAGTTCACATTGATCCTCTATTTCCATTTGTCACTTATTACCATGTTTTTTTTAACTAGACTCTTCAACACAAGTGTGACTGGCAAACGGAATCGATTTATCGGAACCAGATTGGCAAACAGAATTGATTATGCGAATATATCATGAAATGTTCTGCTCTACGTATTCTTAATTACTTTTTAACCAACCCACTGTTTCATTTATATTGAAAATTGATAAATAACATCATTACCAATATGTAGGTATCTACTTCAATTACAAAAGTGATTTAATTTATGATTTTTGAAATCCTAAATGCTATATAAATGTACATATATAATATTTCAAAATATATATAGGTAGGTACATAAAATTCATTCAGGATTATTGAAAAATATTTGGTGCAATTCATGTTAAACTCCAATACGATATACACACTTATTACTTTTAATAATATTCATTGCGTATACTTATATGTACACGTAATATATTATGGAAAATGGAAAGTGTCGGATTCTTTGCAGTAAAGATTCTTAAAAAGGATTTTTATGCTATATTTATGTATAAAGAATATGCACATAATATTTTTTATTCCCATCTGCTTAAAGTACATTAAATTTTGTCAAAATCAATATTTATACATTTAATTGTATATTTTATAATATAAAAGCAAGTATGAAATATAAAAATATATTTAATATGTCACTAAGCTTTTATCTTCATGGTTTAGTAGCTTATTTTTTTTACATCCCAGCTATATTACCGATGAAAATTTAAGCAAAAAAAAAAAGGCCGTATATTTTTATATATATACGTATATAAAAATATATAGAAAAATTTAAGGCAAATAACATGATAAAAAATTCATATAGAAAAATAAATCCATTCATAAAGAAACAGAAGACAAGACAACTTTTGGAAAATTGCAAATTAAAGATAGTAGGAGAATTAAATTATTTATTCTCTAAAATGTTGTCCTCAGCCCTCAGCCCATTCGGCATTTCTACTTGCATTTTATTTAACCTTTTCATAATTGTGAAAATTCAAAATATTTGAATTACATATTAAACATAAAATGTTTCTTTTTCTCTAATATTTTTCAATATGCAAAATTTTTTTGTTGCTGATTTTTCAAGTATGTATACGATTGTAATTTTTTTTGCTTCATTTGACCTTCAAGAAAGGCTAGACACGTGAATCGAAGGACACTATTGGTTAGCAAAACCCCAGAAAATTATAAAACTGTAAAACAAAAATATTTCTCTATAACATTAAAGTTTTGCAAATAGTTAATGTGACAGATCCCACAGAATGCAGTATATAATTTTAAAAAAGCCGGCAATCCAACTGCAATACTTGCAATGAAAGCATACGCGATAGATTTTATATACCTACTTATTCCGAATTGGATATCTTTTTCATTGTTTTATGAATTGAGTAAAAAATCGTGTTTTAAGATACGTTATTTGCTACAGTTGTGGTACCTATGATACATTCAACATTATTCAATGTAATTTATTAATAAAAATAATTCTGGTAATTTATGAAAAACAATGTCAAGGAAGTATTTTATGCTTTATTTTTTGTTTAATTAGTGAAAATCTTAAGCTAAATTAAAAATAATTGGGATGACTATGTGAACGGCTATGTAATGCAGATTAGTTTATTGAATACATTATGTACCAAACATAAGTTCATCATTAAAATGGAAAAGAGGATTCGAAAATACCTTTGCATAAAATCCTAAAATGGTTCGTATGTTTTTAAACATCTGATTGAATAATTTTTGGTGAATTTTAAAAGATCCTTTGAGAAAATCAATATATTAGCTTCAAACAATCTATCAACACATAGCTATATATACGAGTATAGTACATACACACATATATATCTGTAGGAAAATAAGTAAGCACTTTGCCTACCAAAGTATACCTACTTAAAAAATTCAAAACTAGAAGGAACTTGCGCACGTATTACAAAAGTAAAAATTGAAAATTTTTCTTTTATTTTTTCATTGGGTTTTCAATTTGGATACCTAATTAATTGAATTTGTTTTAAAAGAATTTTTTTAAAGTTTCAATTAAACTTATTGTTTTCAAATGTTTACATTTTTAAAAGGTGTGTTCATCCATAGACCTTAACTATTGACCTAGACAGAATTTTTTTCCGCCATGTTTCACAACGTCCATAACTTTGACCCTGAAGAAATTCTTAAAAATTCAACAACTTCCTGTATTTAAGAAAGAACAGATAGTGCCTAGCAAATAGCAACTCTAAAAAAAAAACAAAAATTTCGATGACTTCATGCAAAGGAATTTCTTGATTACTTACAATTCTTACAATTTAATCATCTAATAAAAAAAAATTTTGACGTCACTTTGTCACAACTTATTTTTTCTTATAAAATATTTTTGTTACCATTTACGCTTTAACAATATAAATTTTATATTTAAAATTTAAAAACTTACATTTATATCTTCTTTTATTAGATTTCCAGCCAAAAATAATTAATATTGCAGTTGGTATCAAGTTTTTTATATTTTGTTCACCACCAAAATTAAATTTTTTTCCTTCAATTTTATTTGTAAATTTTTTTTTATCATCAAAATAATGAGAACTACTTATTTATGTATGCTCTCTGAGCGATTATCCTGTTAAATCTGAAAATGTTGACAGTTTAATAAAATTGACATTTATACGATTTGACATTAAAATTTTATGAAATTCACATTATTCACGATAGCATTTTAGTACCAAAATTCTTATGCACACACTGCAGAGATGTACTGCTATTGAAAACTCTTTCGCATTCTAAATTTTGGTTAATAATATTTTAGCTAACCAGTTTATTGTTGAATAAACAAAAGAAAAAATTACAATTAAGTAAAATATTAAGATATTTAAGAACAAAGTTTAATACTTATCGATTAATTTTTTTTTGACTTATAACCAATGATCGTTGTATTGTTTGGATTTTATATTTTTTTCCACAACGTTGATTAGGAAAGTACTATTTTCTTTTAGTTTTACGTGAAGAGTCCTACTTTTTCAAATTTCTTTTCATCCTTCTGAGCCCAAAAAGACAGAGTAAAATCTTTGAAACATTTTATATAACGTGTGCGTACAAACATAGCCAAATTGCAAGTTTTTCTTGCAATTAATATCCAACACTCCCATTTCTACTACTTTGAATCTACTTACATATGTACATAAATATATATTTCACATAATCAAGGTTTCGTACATTTACCAGCTCAAAGATTTTTTAACAGAAATTTTAATTCCAGCTTTCTATTTTCACTTCATCTCAGTAAAAATACGTATGTATATATCAGCAAATCTGACTATCTATTATGTACAAATCCTTCTTATTCTTTTTGAAACGTTTTCGATAAATCAAGTCAATAAATTGTCTTTAATTTGAGACATTTACTTTAAAAAATATTTAAAATAAATAAATGAAAAAAAAAACAAATCCCTTAATTTTCTTCATACATAATTCTGTAGGTACTAAGGAATACTACAAAAAATTACACAGATTATACACATATTTTTTTGTTCTTTTATTTCATTGTTCGTACAAAAGTGAATACAAAGATTAAGTAACCTATTTTTTCTTACAAATTACATATGATGTATTAATATTAATATAAGGTGAAAAAATAATGTACTTCCTCATTTTTAATTTTTATACTTTCATTTTAAATATTACGCTCTCTTCATCGAATTCAGAACTCTGAATATTTCTTATTTTATAAGTGATTGAATTAAATGAAATTTTATTTTTATATTTTTTTTATATTTTAAAATGTAATTAAAAATTGTTTGATTTTTTGCATTATTAAACATTTTTAAGGCAGCACACTTATATAGGATTATTTCAGAGAGAATAAAGTTTAAATTCTACATTATGGTTATCATAATTATGTCAATTTTGCACGATAATTTTGTGTTACTGAAAACTGGTATAAAAAATCTAAGCTGAACCACTTGAAATATAAAATACTCTTATAATTTACGTGGGAATGAATTCATAAGTACTACCGTCAATTTCCTTTTATGTAATACTGAGGTAATGTACTCATGGAATCTAATATCCCATTATCTATCATAATTGCGGTCCCATTAAAACAATAACCAAACAAAATGCAATTCAATTTAATATGCAAAGTGCAAAATAGTTTTGTTAAATTATTGAAATTACTAATATTTTATGTGTGTCCTGAATCACAATCCTTTTTTTTTTTTTGAACAAAAATATTAAAGATTAAAACAAGCTCCAATAATATTAAATTATTTTTTTTATGTCATATTATGTATTATTTTGAATAATAATTGTTAGAAGCAGTCTAGTGATATATTCTTTTATATTCTAAAACAGAATAATTTATAAATAAATATGATTATTAAATTTAAATCTTACAATAAAAAAAAATCTAAATTAAAAACTAAGAAAATTAAACTTATAAAATATTTTATTAATAGTAGGTAAACCCATTAAAAAGTTTATTTTAATGGTCGAAAATCTTTTTTATAAAAAATTTCTTTCTCTATTTTATTTCTATCTTAAAATTCGTTCAAGTGCTTAAAATAATCAACCAACCAAATTTTATTTGTTGTAAAAATTTACTTTTATCACGATTAATAATTGAAAAATCAGATTAAAATAGAAATTTTACAAGATATAATAGAAAATTCAGTTTTTATACAAAATATGAAAGTATTGGATGTTTTTTTTTGTGAATTTCTTATTTATAAAATTACACTTCTTTCCTGTTTTTTCCCTATTTTATCTTTTCACAAAAGTAAAATATATATTTTAGGTAGAAATAAAATATTTTCAAATAAAAATATATGCTCGATATATAAGAACATATTTGTTTTCACTTAAAGCAACAAAACAAAATAATAGTTATGTGCAACATTTTTTTAAATTTTCATATTTTTCTTTCATCCTTAGCAGTTAACTTATCAATTAATTCTTGTAACGGAGCTAATTCTCGACGATCAATTAAATTAAATTCTTGAACAAAAAATATAAAATGTTTGAAAGATGTATTTAAATGAGCTTCTTCACCTAATCGAACAACTTCCGGAAAATGTTGATGATATATATGAGCGTATACTCTAAATAATCTTTTTAATATTGTCTTAGCAATTGTCAAAAAATTTTTTGGAAACGGTACTCCAATTTTAGATGGGAATAAAGTTTCATCATCTAGTTGATCTTGAACCCACGTCATTAAATAATCAATATATTTTGGTGCACTACATTTTATTGGTTTTTTTACTGTTTGCCCGTCAGCCCAATGATATTCATATTTTGGTCCAGCTGACATAATAACACAACTGGTTTCAGTGCAAAATTCCGTTATGGTCCCATACAACATATTAATTTGATTGAAGAAATCAACAGCTAAAATTAAAATCATTTTCAATTACTTTTCATACACTTAATATTTCTAGATACTCTTACTATTTACAGCAACCCATTCGTTGATATCTTCCCCATCAGGTAATGCTACAGCATTTCTTAAATTACCAGAACCAAGAGTGGCTGCTGCATGTTTCATTAAATCATACTGGTGAGTTCCCTCAGGTATATTTTTCTTTGGTTTAAAAGTTTTACTGGATCTGGAGCTAGAAATAAACAAAAAAACATTTTAAAAATTTTTATTTTTGTTAAAGATCATTATGTTTTCGTAAGAATATCAGATACGTAGTATCATAATGGTAAGTAGTATAAGTAGTCGAGTGCGTTAGCAAATATTCGCAGAATTCAAACTTTAATTAATAAATTTTTACTTTAACTTTAATAAATTACTATTAAGTCATTTAATTCAAAAATTTAGAAAGTAAAAAGGGTTAATTTAATTCAAAAGGTGTATATGTATGTCTATAACTGGGTACCATTAATGTTCGCTTATAATTTTTGTTACTATTCTATTTTTCTAAATATTTTTTATGTTTACAATTTTTGTAATAGAAAAAACTTTCTTACAATTAAAAGAAATCAATTTAATTAGTACGTACCTACTAATTTTTTTATATTTTCAATATAGTGATAGAAAATTTGCGCTAGATGAATTTCAAGTTGTAGATCATGTACCTACCTACTACTTATGCACATATATATGCACATATGTACAATATGCAAGATTCTGTATTGTTTTTATATCTACACCTTAATTCAATACATGTGCATATGTATAGACAATGCAAGTAACCATTTATGGAATAGAAAATTTGTATTGATGTTGTAATTTAACATTACCTTTGTGAATTACAATTGTTTTTTATTTTTTTATAACTTTCAGAACTATTTTTTATAAGGTAACTAATAAGCAATTAAATAAATTATCACCTTAAATATTGCGTATACCGTTCTATATTTGTGTATGTATGTATGTACATTATTATCTATCAAAATTTATGGTTTTGACTCGATTGAAATCTCTATTTTTCAATAAGTAATAAATTCGTAATTTTAAAAAAAGAGAAAACATCTCTTCCGAAAGTGTGGTTAATCCATAACTTTCAAAATTCGACGTTCATTCACTTTAAAACATACCTACATCAATTTTTCATTAAAATTGCATTTCATACCTACCCCAGTTATAGATATACATATTTATACATGTAGGTATCAATCGAAAACTTACAAAAATGGAAATTCCATATCCTTTATTTTTTGTGAATCGTCTCTAAACCTCTTGCAAACACAATTTTATAAAACTTATGAAGGAATTCAATTTAAGGTTATACATAGACTGGTGTACCTTTAACAAATAATTTCACGAATCAAAAATACTTGACTTAAAAAATAAAAATAATAAAAGTGAATAAATTTTAGGTTTAGTTGAGATCTTTTTCTTTTATGCGATTCTCTAATAAGCTTTTAGTTATCCGTTGACTTTAATTTGAAAAAAAGCACAAAAATATTATTAAGCTCTCAATTTTTAACAAAATGTAACACAATAGAATAAAATCAAAGTTAAAGACTTTAAAGGTAAATTTTAAAAAATTTTATGCAGCCAAATATTTTTATTAATCAATCACACGTCGATATTTCGGACAAATCTTTACTTTATCAATATGTACTAAATTTTCTTAATTACTACTACATAATTGCAATAGCAGAGCTAATAAAATTTTAAGTTGACACTTGACAGCTAATAATCCAGCCACCCATCTGATTGAAATTTTGACGGTTTTGGCAATCCATCTAGTGGCAATTTACTATAACGAATCAATTTTTGCAAATTTTGAGAAGCGACGGCTGACAGAGATACAGATCTGCATCCTAAGATATTCTTTACACTTACGACAAAATCTAAAACTAAGTCTAGATTAAGATCTGATAACAGTTCACATATATGGCTAAATTTATCTCAGATTTTACGTCAAAATATAACAATTTGACACGAATATTATAATTAAAATAAAAATCAGCTGATTACTGAACAGTTCCAATTGTAAACAAAAAACAATGTTCGCGGATTGGTGTTCCATATAACCACTACGTGCGCTGTTACAAACTTCTTCTATTGTCAAGATTACATATTAGAATTAGATATTTGACTTGTTTATCTTCTTTAGTACAAAACTACAAAAATGTCATTTTAAAATATATATTCACAAGTAAATTGTTTAGTTTATAAAGCCAGCACGATAAAAACTGAGATAAATATTAGATAGAAAAAATGGATGACGTAGCTGCTGCTCACAGTGAAAATGAAGAAGCTAAAAAAATACGTGAAAGAATATTACGATATGAAAGTGGAGAAAATCCACTAGCCCCAATTGAAGTGGAACAGCAAGAAATTATCGACAAATTGGAGCAACTTATGATTGCAGGTTATTACAATGTAAGGGTTATATTGTGTTTTTGCTGCTTTCTTAGGATTAACTGTTACTAAATTTTAATAGGCAGATGATATTACTGATGACGAAGTCGAGAACAAACTTGTTAAAGAATTTGTGGATATCCCATGTAAATCCTTTAAGAGTTTATATGAATCTGAAAAAAAGGAAATTAATTCAGCTTTAGAGTTTTTAAATTTTTATGATGAAGTAAGTTCTGAAATGGATAATGTTGCTTTGAATGTTTATAATAAATACATTGAAGAACTCAAGGGAAAGAGTTCTGAATGTGATGAAATTTTGAACCAGATAGATGGTTCATTGTTAAAAATAAATCAATTAAGTGATCAATATGAATTAGTGGAAACAAAAACGAGCTCTTTAAATAATGTAACTGAAAAGCTTACTGAAGAACAAGACAAATTGGAAAAAGTTTCCATCGAGATACAAAGGCGACTCTACTATTTCAATCAAGCAGATTCAGTTGCTCAAAAATTACAAAATCCAAATCTATCAGTAACAAGTGAAACGTTCCGAGATCTTTTGAACAAAATAGATGAATGCTTAGAATACCTACGTCAAAACGTAAGTTGATGCAATTTAATATAGGTTTACAAAATTAATTTTGGCATAAAATCTTGTAGCCGAAATTTAAAGAATCCGGGGTTTATATAGTAAAATATAAACATTGTCTATCAAAAGCATTAACAATGATAAAAAATTATTCTGGTCAAATTTTATCCCAAGCATCTGAGAGTGTATTATCACCAAAATCACCAACAACATTGGCTTTAAGTAATTTATATTTAGTTATTTTAATAGAAAATTCAAAAATTTTCAATTTTAGGTGAAGTATCAAGTCCAGAGACAGCCTTTGCGCTTTATTACGGAAAATTTCAAACATCTTCAATAAAAATCAAAAAAATATCGTCAATGATTGAAGAAAGAATAGGTCAAAACCCCGAATATGAGCAACTTTTGGCTGAAATTCATCAGAATTATTTATCCGAAAGAGCCACTATTATGAGCCCTGCTGTTGATAAGGCCATTAAAGATCTTAAAGTAAATAATAATGGAGATCATTGCTCTTTAATGCGTAGTGCATGTGCATTTTTAGTTCATGTATGTCAAGATGAGCACCGTCTTTTTTACCAATTTTTTACTATAGCAAGTGAACAGTTGAAGTATGTTTGATCTTATTATTTTCTAATTTTTATTAAAATTAATCATATAATTTAAGCACATATTTGGAAGGCCTTTGTGTTATTTTATACGATACTTTACGGCCGTATATTATTCACATTAATCATTTGGAAACTCTTGCAGAAATTTGCAGTATTTTAAGAATTGAAATGTTAGAAGAACATGTTCAACAAAATCGTAAGAAAATTTAATATTTATATGTAACGACAGAAGCTTATCAAATTATTACTTATCTTCTGTTATATTACATTAGCTGAACCATTAGAGGCTTTTGGAAAAACAGTTTTCCAGTTACTCCAAGATGTACAGGAACGTTTGGTATTTAGAGCACATTTGTATTTACAGTCAGACATTTTAAACTACAGTCCATCTGGAGGTGATTTGGCATACCCAGAAAAATTAGAAATGATGGAGGTATATATTTACCTACATACTTATAGAATAAATTTAGCAAATATTAACTTTTTGGATAAATTTGTGTTTTTTTTTACAGAAAATAGCACTCTCATTGCAAGAACCGCAATCATTGAAACGTTCCGACTCTAAGTCGTCCCTGGCGTCAAGTATTTCAAGTGCTATTCCCGATAATGAAAGTGTTGCTGAAAGTAGTGTTCATCAAAAAAGATTTTTAAGTAGGTATTTATTAAAGTAGGAAGAAAATATGCGTTAATGAATTTAATTTTTTGTATTGTAGATTCTCCAGCAGATTTACATGGAATGTGGTATCCGACTGTTCGAAGAACGTTAGTATGTCTGTCTAGACTTTATAGATGTGTAGATCGTCCAATTTTCCAAGGTTTGTCCCAAGAAGCTTTACATTATTGTATACAAAGTGTTTCCAGTGCTGGATCAAAAATTTCGGCGGCAAAGGTGACATGAGATAAAGCATAGTTCAGTAGTTATTATTATTAAAATTACTTTTAGACTTCTATTGATGGAGAATTATTTGAAATTAAACATCTGTTAATATTGAGAGAGCAGATTGCACCCTTTCGTGTTGATTTTACAATCAAAGAAACAACGCTAGACTTTAGTAAAGTGAAAACAGCAGCAATTGGTTTATTGCAAAAGAGAAAACAGCTTTTTTCAATGGGCTCTAATAACGCCCTCCTAGAATTCCTTTTAGACGGAACACCACAAGTGAAAGAGCATTTAATTGATTCCAGAAAAGATGTTGATCGGCAGTTAAAATATGTTTGTGAACTTTTCATTAAGGATTCAGTTCAAATGTTAATTGGTCCTTTATTAGCATTTTTGGAAAAAGCACAAAGTTTTTTAAAAATAGAAACAAATCAAACTCAAAGTTTGCAACAATCACAAGCAAAAATAAATTATCAACTTAGACAAAGTCCTTGGGCTAGTCCACAGCAAATTAGCGGATTTATACAAGAATCTCAAAGACTTATCAAAAATAAATTGGCCGGATTGCAGCGATCTATGCAACTCTATTTAAGCAATAAAGACACCGAATTTATAATATTTAGACCAATTAGGGTAAATTGTTTTTGTTTGTTTTTTCATTTATATTATAACATAATATGCGCTTTAATACAATAAATAATATATAAGTATGTGTACAGCCAGTATATAGCTGCATATTATAAAAAATTTTATTAGGACTACGTTTGATTTTGGCTAATTCGGTGACAATCTACATATTTACTGAAACTATCTATTTAGGCTTCTAACTCAACTTAATTTTTAATTTTAGAATAATATAATAAACGCTTTCGTGCGGCTGGAACAGCTACTGGTTGCAAATGGATATACAAAGGATGACATGGTTATAACCAGCTGTCCCACTCCCGATCAAATTTCTATTCTTTTATCGAGTGCAAGTATACTAGCTGAAACTGCTCAAAGTTCAGCAACGGATGGAAGTGGAGAAAAAAGTAGAAAAATAAGCAAAACATCAATCGACTTAACAAACGACAATCGACTAACAAACTTAACAGAGTGTACAGAATTAAGTGAGCAAGGTATTGAAGCAACAAGAAATATTGATATAGAAAACAAATTTAAAGAAGAAGTATAAGAAAATAGGCTTTACAAGAATTTTCACATATACATATGTATAATAAAGTTTGTATTGATAATGTTGATTAATTAAAAGTATTAATGCAAATATTTAACAAAATTATTAAGTATGTGTCCAGTATTATTAAATGTATTTGTTGCGTGTATTTCACATTTGTTCAATGTGAATTTGTTCATTTGATATTTTCCTGGTTGAAATATTTTCAAATTAAACCTAAATTTTTCGGCTAAGAGGATGTATCTGCCTTTTTAATAATTTAGTTCTAAATTAGTACTAAGTTTGTAGTCTGTTTGTTCGACTGCTTCAAGTTCTAAAAATTAACAAGGTAGCAAATGACATTCGTCATTTCTAGGGAGTCAGAAAGACATGGATTAATGTAAATAAATTTTCCTTTAAATTATAAATTGCTAAATGTTGAATAAATTGCTTCCCGACCTTAATATTTTTAGACTACACAAACTGCCATAAAACATTACGCTTGCAAATGTTTTAAATCTTTTATGAGACTCTGAACTGCCAGGAACCTGCGATGATAAAAAAATTTCATATCGTTGCTTCAAAATATTAAAATTGAAACGCGACGACATCATTTTTTGATGTTTATTTGACGTTTGCCTGCACGGCGATTGTAGCATTTCTACAAAATCACATGTATCACTCCTTCGATTAATCGCCTGGAATATGTATTAGCACGAAAAGCGAATAAACGCGCATGTACACTGGAAAACGGTAACACTGAATTAAAATGTCACGAAAACTGTTTATTTATATTTATTAGTAGAATGTTTCAAAACTAAATGACCACGTGTTTTGATTTAAAATAAAAATTTTTATTAAAAGCAAAGTTTTCTTATAATGGTATTAAAAATTTCGGTTTTAATATTTTAAATTGAAAATAAAATCATGCATATTTCAAATTTCAGCCTCATCTCTATGTTTTACATGAACATGCCGCGGGATATGCTTTATTTAGCGTTGCAGAATTCGAAGAAATATCAATGTTTCTTCCGCAAGTAGAATCTTCGGTAACAGATTTTTCTAAATTTCATTCATTGGTAAAATTGGTTGGATTTTCTCCTTTTAAAACTGCAGTTACGGCTCTTGAAAATATTAATGCGATATCAGAAGGAGTTTTATCACAGGACTTGGTTATTTTTCTTGATGGAATATTTGCTAACTTAAAAAAGAAGAAATGCCAGTTAGGTGTTGCCGATAAAAAACTAGCCTCCGCCATCAATGAAGCTATAGGAGTTGATTGCACACACATTGGTGTAGTTCCTGAAATTATCAGGGGGATACGTTTTCATTTTCACCGTTTAATTAAAGGTAAGAGATTTGTAAAATATGTACTTCACATTTTTATAAATTTTCCGTAGGTTTTACCGATAAAACTGCTGGAATCGCGCAACTTGGCTTGGGACACAGTTATTCGAGAGCAAAAGTAAAGTTTAACGTACACCGTTCTGACAATATGATTATACAATCAATAGCACTTTTGGACCAATTAGATAAAGATATAAATACATTCGCCATGCGAATTAGAGAGTGGTATTCGTATCACTTTCCGGAATTAGTTAAAATTATTCCAGAAAATTATATGTTTGCAAAAGCTGCTCAATTCATTAAAGATCGTAAAACTTTAACTAATGACAAATTGGAGGGGTTAGAAGAAATTGTCATGGACTCTGCAAAAGCTCAAGCGATTATTGATGCTGCAAAAATGTCAATGGGGATGGATATTTCAGTTGTTGATCTTATAAATATAGAAATGTTTGCAGGTAGGGTTGTAAATTTATCAGAATATCGCAAGAAACTTGCTGAATATTTGCACAATAAAATGTACAATGTCGCGCCGAATTTGCAAGCATTAATTGGTGATCAAGTTGGTGCAAGGTTAATTTCACATGCTGGTAGCTTAACCAATTTAGCTAAATATCCAGCTTCAACTGTACAAATTTTGGGGGCTGAAAAAGCACTATTTCGAGCTTTAAAGACAAGGAGTAATACTCCAAAGTATGGGTTATTATATCACTCTTCATACATTGGTAGAGCAGGGTTAAAAAATAAGGGGCGAATATCAAGATTTTTAGCAAACAAATGCGCTATAGCTTCAAGAATTGATTGTTTCTTAGACAATCCAACCAATACATTTGGCATGTCTTTAAAACAGCAAGTTGAAGATAGATTGAAATTTTATGAAACCGGTGAGACCCCGAGGAAAAATATAGATGTCATGATTGAAGCAATGGATTTGGCATCTGGTGAACAACAAAATGGAGAAATTAAAAAGAAAAAGAAGAAGAAAAAGCAAAAGAATCTTGATGAATCTGCTAATGGAACTTCAGCTGGAGACACTACTCTAAATGAAACTATTGAAGAAAATGGCGAACCGAAAAAGAAAAAGAAGAAAAAAAACAAAAAGAACATTGAAGAATAAAATTAATCTTATCTTGTAAGTCCATGAAATATCAAAATTTAATCATTTAATGTCAAATAAATATTCAAATAAAATTTGCGAACCCTACAATTTTTTTTATATGTTCAAATTAAAAAACCAAACAGGATAAGTATTATTATAAACATTATAGGTATTATTAATTTATTATAATATTATAAAAAATATTATTTATATTTCGTTTGTTCTTTACTACTTTAAACATCAAGATGCACAAATCATTTTGAAAATTTTTAAATTGAGCACCTACTCACGAAATTAATACTTTATTATTATATTTTTGGTGTATATATTTCTTTAGAAGATATAAGTTTTATTAATTGAGAAAATGCACCTAATGTAAGTTTTATTAATTGAGAAATGCACCTAAATAGACACAGCATCAAGTTTTCAAAAAAAAAAGTGGTTTTAGGTGTGTAAAAGTACAACAACATTGCTTTGGTTTCGAAATTTTACAAACGTTAATTATATTTTTATAACAATTATAAATGAAAAAATTAGATAAACCAAGAGGTAGAATTTCCATAAGCAGAAACGAAAATGTGATAATTCTCGTTAAAGTGTTGATGTATGTTACACATTCAGACGTGTTTAATTTTGTATTCACTAAATGAGTCCGGCATACTGCTTGCGATAAAAAAAAAGTTTTTTTGAAATTAAAATTGTACCATTAAAATTCCCACTGGGAAACCGTACCGGATTCAAATTTCCCTTTCAAGTGTGGTATGTTGCAACTAAAAAATTTCTTATTTTTGATGTTTTATATAATAGTCAAGCATAACATTACATCAGTACATATATTTTTAATAAGATGCGGTGCCGCATATAGAGTTCATTTAAATACTCTAGCAAACGAAATTGTATTACAGTTGTCAACTACCATAATACAATTATGGAAATAATTGAAGTGCCAATTTTCATACAAAATTCTGACATTATCTCAAATACGACAAAGCATTAACTCATTAAAACAAATACGCAATATTTTTACCAAATTTGAAAATAGAATCAAAAGTCATCCGATAAACGAGGAACACAGAATTCTATACATATATATGCTTCGTTTGATGTTTTCACTAACAGTAAATTGTCAAACTCTTACCAATTTGTCAAAACTGTGTGACAACAAGGTTATTCATACATAGAAACAAATAATTTTGACGAATTTCTTAAAAATAAGTTCTTGAATACATGTGTGTTGCTCCTTTAAAGTAAATAGATTTTAAATAACAGCTTCAAAAACTACAGTTTTTTTACAAAAAGTTGTTCTAAATATGACGACAATTGTAAATACAGAATTTTGGTTGGATTTCATTGCAATATACAGAAACCATCCCGAATTATGGAATGTTGGAATAGAAAGTTACAAAAACAGAATGTTGAAAAATAAAGCGTACGAAATACTTGCAAAAAAACTTAAAGAAATTGATCCTGCAGCTACAACCGATACAGTAAGAAAAAAAATAAATAGCTTACGAAGCTGTTATCGCCGAGAATTATTAAAAATGAATCGTAGAAATAGTCGTCCTGGAATAACAGAAGATTTAATGTATGTACCAAAATTGTGGTATTTTAATGAGCTTCAATTTTTAGAAAATGAATTTAGAAATGAAACAGTCAAATCAACAGCATCCACATCCGTATCAGAGGATGAAATTTATGAAAGTTATTATAAGAGTAATTATGAAGAAGAAATAGTAAGTAAATTTGTATCTACATAAACTTCATTTAATTACAAACAATATGCATAAACATATCTGCAAACAAATTAGTATATCTTAATAATATATTGTAATTCATATAATATAACTACAATTGAGCCGTTATAAAAATTATAAAAGATTTTTTTTTTGCCAATGAATAAAATAGAAGCAATTATGTATTAAAATTAAAATAGATTCGTACAAGTACTAAAAAATATAAATTTGTAATAATAATAATGTCACTTTATAATAATGCATCACTCAAATTTTGATTTTAGGACGAACCGCCCGAGAAAAAAATAAGAGAATCATCAATAAAAAGAATCAAACGTGAGTTTTTCGAAAGCTCAGCTGCAGAGGATTCAAAACAATATAAATCCTTCGACGACAGGGATGAAGCGGATATTTTTTCCCAGACTTGGGCAGTTATGTATAGAAAACTTTCCGCAGATCAACAGATGTATGCCAAAAAAGCGATTGACGAAGTGCTGTTTTTTGGTCAGTTAGGTAAACTGGCGTTAAATTCTTTCCAAATTGTAACTCAACTAGAAAATAGTAACGAAAACGAAGATTCGAATTTGTCTTTCTCAGAGTAATACTGTGGTAAAATAATTTTATTTGGAATAGTTTAAATTACAATTACTTATTAATAAAAATAAAAATTTCATAGTTTCATATTTAATTTTAAATAAATTTAATGTTAATTTTTCAATTTGAATTTACGTCTTTTTTTTTGAATTTGTAAATATTCCAAGGTATTTTCCCCTAGTCATCTCTTTAGATTCCATTACACCAAGTTGATAAGCCTGATCATAAATTTTACGTATTTCAGAAATTAAACCATTAGTGGATAGAACTCCCAATTCTAAAATATTTCAAAACTTTTATATAAAAAAGTTATACATAAATGTATGTTTACGGTTCATAGCATTTATATCATCTTGTGAAAGACCTCTTGTCCAAGCAGGCGGGGAGGACTGCACTGGCGTATTGTTTATTGATATGAAATCTGTAAAATGTTTTTATTTTGAAACTTTTAGTAAGCATAAAGTTGTTGATAGCTAAGATATTATTTATTTTGCTTTAAATATGGTTTGCCTTTCTAAAGAAAATGCTAAAACGTGATTAAAAAAAATTGTATTATGAATTTTAAAATTAACCAACTTTTTTCTGGCCATAAATCAGGTGAAGCTCGGTCTAGTTTTTCCAAAGCTAATAATGCGTCATCATCAAGCAATGCCCTTTTCACTGGAGCTAGAATAATTTTATTTTAAAATTAAATTAAATAATTCTTACAAATTTAAAAAACAGAAAACAAACTTGTGTCAATTGCATCTTTTGTTTCTTCCATTGTTTTTGTTTGTAAAATGGGTTGATATGAAATGAATAGAATGCTAAAAGTACTTTTCTTTCCGGTGCTGCCAGACATTTATAAATGTACTACATGAAACTACAAAAATATTTTTATACAATCATATCAACGAATAAACTAAAATAAAACTTGAAAGATTAAATTTTTCAGTTTTCCTTTAAAATTTCTTTCTAGTTTTTATGGGCAATATGTAACTTTTATATGTGTAAAAAAATTTCAAAGTAAACTAATATATTTAGAAACCTATCTTTATGCATTGAATTGAATTATCGTAGTTAACAGAATTTAGATCAATTAGATTTGATACATAAGCTCAATCCAAACCACAATATCACCTTTATTACTTATCACAAGCTAAAAAAAATTTACATTTCCTACTTATGCAATAATCTTCCTCTTTCATATTTAGTTATAGTATGTAATTTCAAAATTTGGATTTTAATGTGATCAATTCTATCCGCCGTGATATGAATTACTTATTAACCATGGACATATTATGCTATTAAGATTAATATATGTATATACATATATTAATAATTTTACATACCATGGACACATACATATCTATAATCTTATTTTTATTATTTTATATAATAACAATATATGTACATATTGTTATTATCCATTTTATTAACAATGCCACAAAATTTCAGATAAAAAATTCCTAGGAATTATTTTGACAAATTTTGGTTTAAAATTTTATTTTCAATTTATTATAGAAATCTAATTTCGTATTTGAACAAAAACGTTCAATGAAATAAGAGAAAATTATATCCTTCTCATTTTCCAATGTCTAAAGTTTTCCAAGTTTTATAAAGTAAAATTTAGTGTTTTAAAAATTTTTAAAATCTTACAGGTATAGAAACGTATGTTTTTCTTGATTTTTGAAAAAGAATTTTTCATCAACAATAACTTTTTTTTTCAAAACTCTTCAATTAAAAATAAAGTAAAATAACCAAAATGGATTCACAAATTGTTTTTTCTAAGTTTCACACTATTCCAAAATCAACATTTTCGATTATTATTATTAATTCATAAAAATTATTTAATTCATAACGATGTATAGCCAATAAATTTGTGATTTTTGAGCTGGTTTCTCTGCTGCTGCAATCTATTAAAGCTAATAGATAGCTTTAATAGATTGTAAAATTTAAGAAATACATGTTTTAATAAGGTAAGTTAGAATTAGTAATTAAAAATGCAGAAAAAATACACCTTTGGTTCGATAAAAATTTCATACATGTTACAACACTAGAAAAAAGTGCTGAATTTGTAATTAAGCAAACATCTGTCGTATAAATTTAACACTTCAAATTTTCTTTGTTTTGTCATATACTACATTCTAAATATAAAGAACGCAAATTTTTTGTCATTTTGGAATAAAATTTAATATTTTTTTATATCGATGGAGATAATTAAAAAAGAGGCCTATAATTTAGCAAATAAAGGTTCAAGGACATTCGGAAAACAAATTAAAGCTATATTTTTCGATTTGGATAATACTTTGATTCCTACTCGCAGAGGTGATGAAAAAGCTTGTCAAAAAGTAAGTATTCTTGAAGATTTTTGAATATGTATGTATCTGATATTTAATTTAATTGAATTAGCAAGTAAAATATTTGTCGAGCTATTTCGTAACCTAATTTTTTCAAAATTAAATTTTCCCTTGGTAACGAAAGATGTCAAATCTGATTGTCACAAGTTGCAAAAATTAATTTTATATACTACTATTTCGTAATGAATTCACATACTCACATACTTAAATTTGGTTTAGTGAGTTTTAATTATAAAAAGAACGATAAAACTCAAGGCAAAACATTTTGTAGACAGGTAGAACAGATAAAAAATTTATAAAAGGTGTAATCTGAAAAGAAAAATTTCATTAATGTAATTTTAACAGGTTAAACAAGTTTTTTTTGTCGAAATGGTGGGTACTATAAATCATTAAAAAGTAAAAGGAATATTTTTAAAGAATATAAATATAGTGGATCAAAAGTTATGAAATTTCTGTTGATTTTTGAGTGGAAAATATATTTCTTAATTCGTCCATTAAATTGAAGAAAAACAGCAAACTTCAAATATGCCAAAATTGTCTAAGTTGACAGCTTAAAAACATGTGTCAAATGTATTGAATTGTTTTTAGAATTTAGACTTTCATAAAAACTAATTTTTACTCAAAATTTTAATAAAAACAAAATTTATTCATGAAATTATTTATAAACAATAACAAAACGTCATTTCTACAATTAGATATAATACTCGAATATATATAAAACATACAAACGCCTCTTCGTTTGTTTTCAAAAAAATTTGAGAAAATTCTATTATTAAATTGTGGATTGCAGCCAGCAACAGATGAAAAAGAGAAAATTTCTACTTTATATTTGCTAAATTAAAAAAAGCAAATATTTAGAGAGGAAGATTTTTCAGTTAGAATCAAATTATAAATTTTGAAGTTATTTAGTTCATCTTCGTGTATTGTAGTGGATAGTTGAAATAATTACGAGAACTCTTGTTACATCGCACGGATCACAAAATATAAGAAAATTAAAATGTCTGAAATACCAGATTCTGTAAAAAAATGTGCTGCAATGTTAAAAGGTACTAATAGTGACACAGAAAAGTTTGCAGCACTTTTTATGGTTACGAAATTAGTAAAAGGAAAAGATTGTAATGTTGCCGCTAAAAAGGAACTATTTGAGGCAATTGGATTTCCTTTCTTGAAAAAGCTGATGATTTCTAAAGACTTACCAAATGATTGCCCACCTTTAGTGTATAAAAGTGTTGCATTATCGATTCTTACTTGTTTTTGTAATGAGGAACAATTAGCAACACATAAGGATATGATTGAAGCTATTCCCACTTTGATGGATATTGTTCAAACGTCAGATGATGATGATTTTGATGATAATTTAATTGTAGTGAGTGAAGCATATAGTTGCTTAAAATGTATAGCCAGCTATGAGCCTGGACAAAAAGCTTTGTTGCAAATGGGTGCAATACCCAAAATGTCCAAAATTTATTCACAACAGTCATTTCAAACTGATGAAGCATTGCATTTACTTGCGCTATTAACAAGCAAATTCGGGAAAGCATCTTGGGAAGAAGATCCTAAACCATTTCATGCTTTATTGCAACGTATTGCGTTAGATATGGAAACAGAACATAATGAAAGGAAGTTTGAGCTGTGCAATATTTTATCTCCAATTTTACTTAGTTGTCGCAAGGAAATCGTTCGTAATTCTTTAGAAGGTGAAATATGGCCTGAAAGTTTATTTAAGGCATGTGGAGATATATTGAAAAGTAAAATAGGAAAAGATCAACGTAATCCAACGTTGAAATTATGTGCTGCAATTCTACAAGTCTTGGGTATAGAATGGGCCTTTATGGATGGTGAAGACAAAAAATTTTTCTTGTTATTGTTACAATTAGCTGCCATTGAAGTTCGTATGCAAATGGACGAAAAAAAGTTGGAGGCAACTTTGAAAAATGGTGATTTAATTTCCAGTTGTTTTATAATTTTGGAGTTGTCTATTGTGCATATGGCCAGTGATTCTGTCGATTTGGATCAAAAAGAAAAACAATCTACTTACACTGCTTTAAAGGGAGCTTTTAATCAAGTTCTTGCCGTTATTACTAGAATTTCGGGTGACAAAATTAGGGATAATTTGTCGCCTAATGATAAAGCATTTGTTTATGCTATTGTGAGGGTTTTGTCAGCATGGTTAGCGCAAGAAACTACTGCAATGCGACCTCAAATTTACAAAGTCCTTCCATATATGTTTAAAGTTGCTAATGATTCATTTGAAGAGGCCAAAACTCATCGCCAAGAAAAAAAGGAGGGCCCTCAACCGGTTGATATTTTAAGAATAATGTTGCCAGCTTTATGTCATTTTGCTGTTGAAGACGAAGCTAGACGTGTAATATTTACTCATAAACAGGACGAAATGCTATTCGAAGCTATGGTATTTTATTTTTCAATTGCGCACTATAAGAGACCACCAATTCCAAGAGCTGAACGTCTTAAACGAATGAATGAGCCAGACCCAGTTCCTACAGCTGAACAACTAGAAGAGATGAACTATGCCAAAGCCGGTATTGTTAGTTTGTGTAATATTTTTATGAATTTGTGTGTTTTGGAACAAAAACGTGCTGAAGAAAGTCTATTGTTCGAAAATTTGTTAAAATTCGTATTCGACAATTTACCAGAATTAAAGGACACCTCAGATAATTTGGTTATGCATGGGCATTTGGGAGTATTAGGGCTACTTTTACTTAAACAACAGGCAAAGAAAGTAAAAAAGAATGATTTTTCAATATGTAGTTTTATTCGAGTTTTAATACGATTTTTGTGGAATGCATATACTATCGACGAATCTAATGATCCATCTTCATTAGTTGTAACGATACAGTATAAAGAATATTGGATGGAAATATCAGAATTGTGGTTCCTTGGTATGCAAACATTAAGTGGAGTCCTGCCATTGATACCATGGATATCTGAATTTTGTTTAGAAAGTGGATGGGCAGAAGGTATTATAACAACTTTGAAAAAAGTCAAAATTGGTACATTACCACCGAGTGTTAAATCAGCATATGAAGATTTTTTGAGTGAATTAGTATCAGCTAACGCTGATGTTATACCCGTTTTGAAAAAAGCGGACGCATTAAAAGTTTGTCGTAATCATAAAATGATGGAATTAGGCAAAAAATTGTTTGGAGATTAAATTGAATATGAAATTCGTTCAAAATTAATTATCTTTAATATTAAGTTAAAAAGTAAAAACTTTATAATTATTATAATGTTTTATATTCGCAACTATAAGATTTTGGTATTTTTGCCATATAGAATAAAATAAAATTAGGAAATTTTAAGAGAAAGTTTATTGAATAATGTGTGTTTATTTCTTTCATTTTAAAACAAAATTTATAAGAAAAATATATTCATTTTGTTTTTGAAAAAAAAAAACTCTCCTATACCGAATGCATATACCTACATCATTTTTATTTTTAGAAAATTTTAATTCGAAAAATTTTTTATTTTTATTTAAGAAATGATGTGAAGACGCTAAGTGCGTGTTTTATATCGTTTTTATTCCTGTATTCTTAGAGAACAAAATTAACAAAGAAAAAATTTCTCCCAAAAAGTTATTTTTATTTTTTATAAAATATGTACAAAATATAAATTTAGTATGCTATATATTTATTTCCAAAAAAACAAATGGAAGTTTATATAACTACAAAGCTGCATATTATGTTGGGAGATATTAAAATATATACATATGTATTCATTCTTTTTTTTAAATTTTCTGGAATTTTTGTTATTATGGGTCTAAGTTTTCTATTATAGAATAGAACATATAACATATGGGGTCGGTCGCATATTGATGCACTGAAGATTTACTAGAATAAAAATTTGAAATTGAATAAAATCTAATTTCGTTTGAATTATCAAATCTAATTTTATTGTTATATTTTTATGTTTCAGTCCACAAACATTATATTTTAAAATTAATATTTGAAATCTAGATATCATTAAATAATGTTAATCTAAATTTACAAAATTAAAATGAGACCCTTATGTTCTTCTTTATTCAAGTAAGGTGTGATTTTTACATCTTCACTTATAGGTAAAACTTAAAACAAAATATATAATATAAAAACTCAAATACATTATAAAGTATGTAAGAGGTGTATCTCAAAATTTCACATCTAAAAATAAATTCCAAACTATAATAGGTAGTGAAAAATTTCCTTTATATTTTTTTCTTTTTTGTAAAAATTTATTGTAAACATTTATTTTATTTTTCCATATTTAAAAATAATATAAAAATATTCTTTGTTTTTAAATTGTGGTGTTTTCATTAACACAGAAAGAAATTAATTCAGTTTGATTTTCATTGAATTTCTATATCGAATATTCAAATAATTTTCTAGAGGGAATTATAAGATTTTTAAGCATTTGTCCATCATGAGATAAAATGGTGGATGATAAAATAATCACCCATATTCTGTTAGTCGCGCCTTATGACGTGATGTGTTTTTATTCAAAAATTTTGATTATTTCAGAATAAAATTAATTACGATATTGGAAATTTTACACTTTCTTGAGGCCTGTCATCATTGTTTTTATTACTCTATTAAAAAATGAATGATATACTTCATATTATTTAACTGCACTATTCATATTATTTAAACGCCATATTATGTCATATTTCGAACATTATGTTTGTTTTTGTTTGTATGTCAACAATTCGCCTAAATAAATATTTTAATATTAATAAATTTTTTTTTATATAACCTTGATTTTTGTTTTTGTACCATTATTAAAGATCATTCTCTCTATTCATTCACAATCTTTGATCTTTAAATAAACGATTAGACTTTTTGTTTTTCAAAACGCCCATTGAAAAATTATCGAAAAATTTTAATGGTGGAAATTTTATTCAATAATAGCCTTATTTAAAAATAGTTTTGTTATCATTTTTTTTAAATAAAATATAATTTTTTAAAAATTAATTTCGTGACTAGCAGTTGTTAAAGTTTTTTAGAAAAATTTTCCATTAAATTTATTGTATTTTTAATTATTTCCTAAAAATTAAATATTTTTTAAATAAATTTTTTTTTTCTGTGTAATTCTATTGCGTTTTAAATCATGTAAATATTTTTAATAGTTGAAATACATATTTATATTTTAAATATAAAAAATCAAGCAAAATAAATTCTAATTTCATTGCTTTTAATATTTATATGTACATATATATTTAAAAAATGATTTAACATCTGCGTTTTGCCTTTTGCTGTAAAAATAAACAAAAAAAAATTTATTTTCCCAATAAATTTTTAACACCCAAGCAAAATTATAATATATTTACATGTATATATGTACATATATGTATGTTCAATATATCATTGTAGATATGTGTACGTACATATATGAATCTAACATATATAATTATTAAGATAAATAATATTCATTACATAAATAATTTATATTTAAGTGAAAGTTATTAGCAAAACGAATAAATTATTCCGCGACATCCAAAGTGCAGTAAAAAAAATTTTTGCTACAATTTAACTGCAGTATTAATAGAACTTTAAAAACGACTGCACTGTAATCTATATTTTTTATATCTATATTATACGTTTGTTTTCTTATTGCATAGTTAAAACCCACTTTTAGCAACTTGAATCTTGCTACATTCTATTAATTTTTTGCTCAACAATATGGATCAGTTACAATGTAGTACTACATTAATACTTTATTTTGGATTTTAGGTATACATATATTGCGCTCATTTTCTTCTTTGAACCATTTTTTTCTGTATTTGGAAATTGAATAAGTCCGATATGATTCCTTTTTCATTGCATTATAGTTTCCATTATGCCATCCATATTTCTCTATTTAAGAACAAAAAAAATTTTAACGAACTAATTTAGTAATTCTAATTTAGTAATTAGTAAAATGTAAGTTGTATACTGATCTGTAATTTGAGAAATCAGTGAAATTGTGGTTTTCTACCACAAAAAATGCATTGTTCGAAGTTTGTCTACATTTTGGTATCCTATTTGTTATTTCATTTAAAAAAAAATTATTTGAAATTGAAAAAAATTACTTATTTTAATATTTGATGAAATATTTACCCACCTGATTTAAAGAGATGAAGGCGTTAAATTTTATAATTCAATTGGATTTAGGAATAAAATGAAATTATAGGCCACCTACTGCAATATTTTCTTTTTTATGATAAAGTTACACGAAATACTTATTTATTATTTAAAATAAATTTTCAATTTTTTAAATTCATACCTACAGCAAATCAATTTCAATTGGCCATAATTTATAAACTATTTTTATTTCTATTTAAATAAGATTTCATATTTATGTCTTTTATATTAAGTCATAATTAAAAAAAAAATATTAAAATTTGAATAGGATGTCAAATTTGCTAAATTTATTAACTTGTCAAAATCTGTTTAATATCAATCTTCGTTTATTACAATATGTGTGACAGATACGTCTTTATTAATTTGTTATATGTTTTTTAAAAAAAATTTGAATAGTATAAATATTATAAGTATCTATATAATTATGAAAAAAATAATGTAATATTTGTATATTATTTGAAACAAAAACAACAGGCGATTTTATAAGTCGTATGATGTAAATATTATTATTTTACACGATTTTACACGATAAGTACACGATTGCTTTGTCTGTACTAAGGTCTAATGCCCTTAGTATTAAACAACAATCCTTAATCAATTGGTTAAAAGTGAATTAGTAAAATTTATTAAAAAATAAAACCAAAATAAAACTGGGATTTTCAATTTCAAAGGCTCGTAGAACATAAACTATTTAAAAATGAAGCTTAATCACGTAATTCCGCAATATTTTCTTATCGCGGTTCTTTTCTTTACAATAACCTTATACAATCAATTTAGAAAAATTACGTATGTATGTATTTAATATTAAATAAAATACATACATATACGAAAAATCCGTATTACAAAAGTTGCAATTGCAAACTGAACAATCATTGCATAGTAATTGAAAAATCAATAATACTCGCACGTAAACATAACGTATCCAAACGTATGGATGTCAATTATTTAATTGATGACTTTACTTAGAACCAACTATCAGAACATACTGAATTATGTTTAGTAAAATAATTTAATTTAAAAAATTCAAATTTTTCTTTTATTTATTTTTACTAATTATTTTGTCAAAATTTTCTTTTTTTTTTTTTTGTATATATTTGTATATCTTGACATAACAAATTTCTGTCACCCGTAGGTATGCAAACACTATTCGAATGTCTTCATATCTCTTCACGTATGCATAAATATTAGTTAATTACAATTTTTGAAAAGAAAAAATGCATATAGCATTGAAATTTTAACAGAAATCATTTGCCTAAAAATTGCTTCCAATCAGTTGTTAAAAAATATCGAGAATTAATTTTTATTTTTTTGGCATTAAAATCGTATATGCAAAAAAAGAAAAATTATTAGAATGAAAGGAGGAGTGGTGAGTATAATTATCACGTAATTGAATTGATGAGGGAAAAATTTCAAAAAAATTTATAAATAAATTTTGAACGAGCAACTATTTTAATTAATTAATCTTTTACACATATTTATAATATTAGTATTAATGTACAAACATATAATGTACGTATATTTGCATATAAAATTTAAATATACTTGTATTAACAATATGTTCTTAAAAGTTAGTTATAAGAATTTTAATTTTGATTTTGAAATATAAATTATTTACAATAGTTTGAAATTGTTTTATGAAACAATTAAATAACTTTATTGTTTTCAAAATTTTTAAGGTGCATATCAGAATATGTGGCAACACTTCATTAATGTTGTGTTAACTTCTATTTAAAATGGAATTTTATGGTCTGCATTTTTGCGGGTTTCAGAATATACTTGATTGCTTCATTTATTAACCCATTGCTGTTGATAAAAATTTATTAATTTAAGATATGTAAGGAATACTTGTAGCAATCGAATAACATTTTTTTCCTATTGCGTAAAAAATAAGTAACTGAAGGCTAAAAGTCATTTAATATTGCTTTTATTATTGAGAACAGGTTTATTTTGATTACGATAATACAAATACTTTACAACACATTACGACAGATTTGTGTACTGTACAAAAACTTTAAAATTGATAATAATTTCTATTTTATAATATTACAAGAAAACATAAAATGAATAAAAATATAAAATTTCATAGAAATGAACAAAAATTTTTTCAATTATTCTTCATCTTATTTCAATTATTCTTGATCTTGCAAACTCATTATGCATAACATACGTTCCTTCAGTTAAATTTTGTACGTGACGTATGTGGACAAGGCATGCAATTTCATACAATTTTAATTTGTAAATTATGTATACATACTAGACATGCATAATGAATTTTATATGTACATATGTATGTATTTATATACATAGTGTTAATTAATGTAAAAGGAATTTTTATGTACTTTTATATTTTTAATAAATAGAAAGATGAAGAAAAAAAAAACCAAACAATTTATAAGAAAATTCAATTTTATTTTAAGGTCAGGGAATTTTAAAATTTGTACAATACGTTCCTAAATATATTACGAGTATAAGAGCAACGAAAAGTCATTGAACTACGAACATTTTCTATAAATAAATAAAAACATTTTCTAGTTTTTCTTTTTCATTTTTTTCTTTTAAGTTAATTTCTTATTTTAGGTACAATTTTAAATTGAAAATATTTATGTTTTGTTTTTGTAAAATTTTAATAATTTAAATAATAATTTAGGAAAATAATTTTTTAAAAAAAAATTTTAAATTGAGAATTTTTTATAATTTAAATTATTTTTTTCCGATAATAATATTATATTATGACCGTTATATACAGGAACCATTTTTTATTTTAAATACATACATACAAACATATTCTATTAAAAATTGAATTTATAAAATGGAAAAGAAATCCTTGGATTTTAGCCTTGGACTTATGCCATTTGAATTAATTATTTTTGGCTGATATTCAAAATTTTTAAATCATTTTTCTTTTTATATGAAATTTTTCATATTAATATGGAAAAGTTAGAATGCAAAATGAAAAAAAAGAAAACAAAAATTATTATGACGATCTCATCAATTAATTTTGGCTGAAAGAAAATAATTATTTTGAATTCTTACAAGAATATTTATTAAATAAACACAAACGAATCTATATATGGTATAAAAATTTTGTTTAAAATTTGTCTTTTTATATACATATATACATATATATATATACGTAAATATATTTTAAATAATGTTATGCATTTGTGTTTAATAATTGGCCGAATTGCTTTTCAAATTAAATGAGGTTAAATATATTAAAAACTTTTAATATATAATATGTATGTTTATATGTACGCGTAAACTAAATATTTTGCTATTTATAATTTAATTACCTATATCATAAAAAATAAAAGTGCAGAATAGATAGCAAAACACCAATTTGTTTTGTGGCCTCAAAAAAAAACGAACACTTTTGCTTATAGATGTCAAAAGAATTAAAAATTGGTAAATAAAATTTACCCAGTAAAATTTATTTTTTTGCAAATTATTTGGTAGAACAATTTTTAATTCATATTTTAAAAAATATTAATTGTTTATTATTTTTTTATTTCCAAAATAGCGCTTGCAGAATCTAAATTTAAATTTTCATTCTAGAAGAATAAAAACCCAGTTGAAGTTATTTTGCTACTATACTAAGAAAATTTAAAAAAAATCCTAGTCCATAATTTGTGATTTAAGGATTGCTTTTCGGCTCAAAGATTTTAAGTTTTAAATTGAATAAACCGATTAATTGGGATATCAGCTACAATTATTCTGTTTATATTTTTTTAAGAATTTTTTCAAACAATCTTTCAAATATTGAATTATATTATACGAGTAGCATTACTATTTTTAAGATAGATTTTGAATTTAATTTGATTTTTGAATTTAATTTGAAGCTTACTCTTAAATAATATAATTTATTATTTGCAAGTGCAGTTTTTGAATTATTTGCTAAAATAGGCCACATAAGAATTCCAAATATTTTGATTAATTTATATATAATATACATACAATAATATTCCTGTATTATTTAATTGATAAAATTTTATTAAATTGAACATATTAAAAAAAACATTTATTTTTTTTTTCGATTTTATTAATTCATTAATTCATTTTTTGTTTTTTTTTAGTTATCCGATATATTACAAACAAAATATGGTTTAACAAGCGAAATTGCAGATGAAACAACAACAAATTTTTTACAAGCATTTCGTAGTTGTCCAGATAATACACAAACAACATTAGATTCATGGCGTTCATATTTATGGACACAATCTTTACCACAAAATTTAAAATATTTAAATGAAACAATATATAAACAATGGTTACAATTACGTTATAAATATGTAACAATACCAACAGAATATGAGGTATTATTAAGAAATTTACGTAAACAATATCGTATAGGTTTAATAACAAATGGTCCATCAAATGCTCAATGGGAAAAAGTAAATAAATTAAATATAAGATCATTATTTGATTGTATATTAGTTAGCGGTGATTTACCATGGGAGAAACCAAATCCAAATATATTTTATATGGCATGTAATTTATTGAATGTCCATCCAAATGAATCAATAATGATTGGTGATAAAATGGAAACTGATATTCAGGTACGTTATAATTACCGATTATAAAGAAATTCACAAAATTTTTTTTTTTGTTAAATAATGCTATAATAGTAATAATTTCATAAATGAATCAGTTTTGAATCAATTTACAGATTTTATCCTTTTATAACATAGAAAATTTAAATATTAAAATATTGCTTGCTTATTATTGATAATAATTGAATATTCTTATATGTCGAATTTGATTTAATTTAATTTATTTAACAGTAAATTTCTTTCAAAATCAAGATAAAATATAAAATTTTTTAAAAATAATTTATAATTTAAATACAATTTCAATAAAAGTTTCAAATATAACAATATTCTGCTTGTGTTTTTAACTTAAATAAATGCTAATTTTATAATAATGTAATTCTTTTTATTTATAAATTAATTAATTTTACGTACAGAAAAGAGTTGAATTTTTCTTTTAATCATATATTTTAGTTGTACTTAATATTTTTAATCAAAATCTTTCGATAATTGTTGTTCGAATTAAAAAAGTAAAAACTATGTTATATCAGGTTTATCTGTAAATATTATATTTACTAAAGTAATTGTAAATATATGTTTTTGCTTGGTTCCCTATATTGTTTTGTTTTCGAAAATTAAAATGAAATAAAAAATAAATTTTATGATTAGCTTAAAAATGAATAATAATCATTGTGTTGTTATTTATAATTGCTAATAAATAAAAATTAATAAAAAAGAAAAATGAAAAAAAAATAAAAATAACAAGGAAATTAATGTAATACATTTTAATTTCTTTATAAATATTTATTTATTTTATTTTTTATTTTATAATATTTATTCTATTCTAACCAAACAAAAAAAAAACAAAAGAAATTATTGTAGAGCCAAAATAAAAAATGAATTTTTTTAATTGCCAGATAAAAAAGCAAAAATAAAATAAAAAACCAAAAATGTTTTACACCGCAATTACCAAAAAAAAAAATGTAATTAAAGTTACATAATTATGTAAAGCGGTTGGGTAAATTTTGTGTGAAGTTCTTTATTATGAGAGTAATAAAATTATATACTTATTTATTTTTTTATGTTTTTTGTTTTTAAATTTTTTTGTTTAATTTGATTTCTTTAACATTAACATACTCCTATTTTAAATCCCTTAATAAAAAGCATACAGTATTGAATTTACAATTTGTATAATGTCTACATGTACTTTAATTTATATTTTATATATGCATATTGATTTAAAATATTGTAAAATCATAATTTTTATAATATTACATAATGACAATTTAGATATCATTTCGTTTTCCTTAAAATGAATTCCTAAAATAATTGCAACTTTAATTTTTTTTAAATTTTTCAAAATCAATTATTATAAGCTTTTAAATTTGTTTTCATTTCAAAAAAAAAAATATGGTACATTTTAGAGTGTTTTATTTTAAATTATTAAGAGATTTAGCAAATACGTTGTAATATATTTTTAAAATGTAGAAATATTTGTTATTTCTATATACATATAAGATAATTAATGAAACGTTTTAGTTGCATATATGTTTGTTGCTTAAATTGCCTTACATAAAAATATGAATAAAATTGCAATATTATTTAAAGCTATTAAAGTTTTTTCTTTAATGAAATTTAATTTGGAATATAAAATAAAAATTTTATTATTCTATACTATTTATTAAATTATATTTATTTGCAGTCATTTATCACTTTTGATCTCAAAAGCATTTATTAACGTTCTCATATTCATTGTTTTAAACAGCGAATATTGAAAATTGAGTCAAAAATTTATTATTGATATAAGATTTAATTTTAAGTGTCGTATTCAATTATCGGATTTACTAGAATTTTTGTAGTCAATACTGTTGCTTAAAATATTCCCAATTTAAAATATTTATTTTTTTGACTTTAAATATTTAATAAAAATTCCTTTAAAGTTTCTGATATAATATTAAAACTAATCCTCAAATTCTTTAGAAAAATTAAAATTCTAAACAACTTGTTCATATCAGAAAAAAAAAAAATTAAATACATACATACATATATTCCAAATTTATTATGAAAAAATCTAATTTTCAAAACTCTTAACGTTTCCATTCCTCCCACTCCATATGAGTATTTAATTCTTCATTTTCTTACTGCTAAAAATTTTATGATCTTTAAAAATCCTCTTTTAATTATCCTTCCTTTAGTTTTAATGTAAACTTTTTAACATTTTTGATAAACTTTTTTTAAAAAAATTAATTATTTATTAAATTTAAAAAAATATTTCTTATTAAAAATACCAAAAAAAAAAAAAAAAATCAAAAACAGCTTTTAAAATTTCATATTTTTCTTTAAAAAAATTTTCAAATTTATTACGAATTTGGAAATATAAAAAAAAAATACAAAAATGAAATCCTGTTCAACAATTTACACCTTTCTTCTCCTATCCTTATTGAATATCCCGGAACAAAAATCTAAAATCCTTAATCCTTCCTCATATTCCTTACAACTTTTACAAATCACGTTTGGTACATTCGCTACATATATATTCTGGGTCAAAAAATAAAAAAAAATAAAATAAAAATCACAAAAAAAAAAAATTTGGTAATCTTAATTATAAAAGGGAGGAAAAGCAGCTAACTTTGCAGCTACAATTCACATATCTCATATGAGTTCAAAGCCAGATTATTTAATTGAGAAACTTGGACAACTTTTATATGTACCAAAACCATCCTCAATTGAAGAAATATCAAGTAACGATAAACGAAGGCATTCTTTGAGTTCTGGAATGAGCGGAAATGGTAATAGCTGTCTTTCAGGTTACAATAATAGTCAAAATAATGGTGGTCAACAGCATGCACAAAGACGAAATTTATATCATTCAAAATCACTTACATTTGACCAAAGGTTCAATAAAGCTAGGAAAGTGGGCGACATTAAAAGAGTGTCATCATTTCAAGACAGCGATTCAAATAGTGAGAATAGTTCTGATAGTATTTATAGCTGAATTTTTATTAAATTTACAAATTTCTCCAATAAAATTTAATTTTAATCTCGTTTTATTATAGTTTATCAAAGTTTTAATTATAATTTTTAATTTAAAATTTGAATCTGGATTCAAATATTAAGTAGAAAATGCTCATTGTATACAAATTTGTGTTTTATCTTTTTTTTTATGTATGTATGTTCTGTGTAGGGGTTTTTAGAAAATATTATTTTTTAGTTTTTTATTTTAGTTATATCTGAATATAAAATAAGATTTGGGTTTTCCTTTTACGTATATATTTTGTTTTCTCTTTATTATTATACATACATATGTAATATAAAATATTTGCTATGAAATTATTTACTAATTTATAAATTTAAAAAATTATTTACCATTGAAACCTAAAATTTGATTTTATAAAAATTATAAAAGAATTTCATTAAATTTAAAAAGCAATCTAAAATATTTTTGATTAAAAAATCAAATAGGTATTCTATTATATTTGTTTTACATTCGCATGTTTCAGTTAAATTAAGATTAACAATGAGTTCAGAACTAAAAAAAATCTATTTTAATGGAGAAATTCAAACTACTTTTTGATTTAATGTATAATTTGTACGACATGATATAAATGAAAGATTTTCACGTATCAGCTAATAAAAAAACATAAATTAACTTTTCTAATATAATAATGGCAAATTAAAAAATGAATTTTTAGTCAGAGGCTTTATGGACTACACCTAATAAAAAAAAAAAATTTTGTTTAAAATAAATTCATAATTGATGTTATTTTACCATCTCATAATTTATCTCTTATATTCAATTTTTTTTTTAATTTATAAAAATTGTAGTTTTAAGTTTTTGTTTAAAATTGGAGATTCATGAAATACATAACCTTATAGTATTATTATTGCACCAAAATTTAAATGATATTATTAGGAAATTTTAGCATATTTAGTAATAATAGATAGAGATTTAGTTTAGTTTAGAGTGGGGAGGTGGCAACCCTAACGCTGGCACCCAGCACTCGGCCAGCAGATGGCCCATCGACGCCTTTCCACAGCACATCCATCGCTTTAAATCCATTTAAGTCTCTTAAAAAAGCCCAGCAGATTACTAACAGACACCTCTGAGAGCTCCTTCGCATAGCACATGATGCACATCCTCCATCACCCCAACGTCTTGGCATCCCCGGGAAGTATCCGCTAAGGAAATGCCAACTTCGTTCTTGCACCTTCAATTTCGGCGATAGGGCCCTTATCGTTGCACAAGTCCGCCTGCTACACCAAAGCAAGTTTCCCCTTCTTCTAGTTTTGTCATCTTTAATGTTTTTAAACTCCCTTAAGGACGGAAGCACCGACCAGTCCGTTGCCGCAGTGTCGGCTGCCGCCCCGATCTGGCCAACTTGTTCTCTTCGACACCACCATGTCCCCGAAACCAGCACGAGATTACCCTACATAGCCCGTATGAGGCCCTCAATACCGCCCTGCACCGTCGCACCAGTCTGGATTTGAAGATGCAGGAACCAAGCGCCCCAAGAGGCGTCCTGCTATCCACGTAAACGGTAATCGCCCCAGCCGATACACCGTTCCCCACCGCCATCTTGGTGGACAGACAGCTCCAGCCCCATCTCCTCACAGAATACTCCCGTCCCACTGGATGTCCTATAACCATCGGCGCAGAAGGAGAAGCCCTCCGACCATCGGGGTCTTCCCCTCCAATTCTCCCTTTCTGGAATCACTATATCGTACCCCAGAGGAAAGTCGGTCGCCGGAACCGAATAATTAGTCCGCAGATCCTCGATGTCCTTACCGTGCTCCCCAAAATTCTACCATGAATGTAGCTTTAAAGCCCGCCCCATGAAGTCTCAAAGCACTTTTAGCGGGCACATTCTTCACCAATACACCGTATCTAAGTCAAGTAAGATCACCGAGCACCACACCGAGGCAGTGCGCTCCCAGCGAAGCGCAACCCAACCCCGTCCAAACGCGGCAACCGGTACTCCGGTAAATTCCTCCTCCTTGTGAAAAGAACCATCTCGATATGTTCTCCGATAGGCTGTAGTCTCCTGCCCATATTTTAGCGTATTGCAGTAACTAAATTCCATAAAAGTTAAAATAATTTCACATTATATATGTATATCATGAAATTTATATCATTTAAAAGAAAATTAAAATTTGTACTAGTTATGCCAAATAACTTTTTATAAAATTTTATTGTATGTACATATTGAACAAACCATTTTAATTTTTACATAACGTAATACTGAATATATTTAAGTTACTCTTAAAGTGAGTAAGCCAAACAATCATGGCCAATATTTAGAAATATAGCGTTTAGTAATTATTTTTGTGTATAAAATTCAATACTTTGATTTATTTAAAATGTAATGGAACAATTTATTTCCATATTTTTCCTATTATTTTTAATAATAATTATTTCTTTTCAATTTATTTTATTAATTATAATTATAATATAGTTACTGCTATAGTTTTAAAGTTTTAGATTAAATTAATATCAATTATTGCATCAACATTTTTTAAAAGCCTTTCTTCTAAAAAGCAACATAATATTTGAAATTTTGACTTATTTCCTAGCTAGTGTAATTTAATTGCTTTAATAATACTTTAAGGATATTAACACGAAAAAAAAAATAAAAAAAAAAAAAACTTTTCAACACATAACATTATAGAAATTTAAGAATGTAAAAATAGTGTAAAAATAAAAATTTCTTCCATCAGTTTCTAATAAAGAAATAAAAAAAAAAAATGTAAAACATGGTTGTAAAATTGTAAAGACTTGTAAAAAGCAAAAAAAAAATTATTATAAAAGTAATTTAATATTAATGAAAAGGAACTTTTGAATAATTTTATCAATATACTTATGCTTTAAAGCAAAGTACAAATTATGACTTAAATTATTTTGAAATAATTTTAAAAACATAAATTTTTTAAAATAATTAGAAACATAAATTTGTCATGTAAGAAAAAGTAATATAGAAAAACAAAAAATATATATATATTTTTTTAAAAATTTGTGACGAAAAGTGATAAAATTTTTAAAATAAATTAAAAATATGAATGTTACTTATGTGTAATGAATATGTTTTTGTAAAATTGTGTAAATGAAAAACTGTATTGGTAATTAAATATAGAAATGTAAATTGAGGAAATATAAAATATAGGGTATAAATTAGAAATTATAAATTAAATAAGATTCTTATATACATAAATATGAATAATTCTTTATAAATAACAATAATTTTCATTTCAATTTTGTTTCCTTTTGCTTTATTTTTTAAACAAAGGCGAAAGAAAAAAAAATATTTTAAAATTCATACAGTTTCTTGTTTTTTTTTTTTATATAAAAAACCTATTACTATCAGAACTTTTATTCTCTAAATGTAAAAAAGTTTACATTTTTTTTTTTTGAATTAACGATTTTACTTTATATTGCCATCCATATAAATATATATACTATATTTAAATATTATTTAATTTATTATATTTTATTGATCAATTTAATAATTGATTTTGTAAACATAAACAAAAAAAAAAATAAATTTAACTTGTAAAAGTACCTGTTATAAGAGTAAAATTGTGACCTGAAAATGAAATATATATTTTTCTTAAATAATTTTAATTATCAAATTTTCAGTTCATCATTGATTTTAACTTTTAGTTTATTGAAAATTTTATTTATGCCTAAGCAATTTTAAACCATTAAAGTTTTAGATTTAATATTTTTTTATTTTTCAAAAAAGTGCAAAATTTGAATCGTGAAAATTTGATTTTGAAATAAGTATGAAAAATAAAGGTTAAAAATTAGAAGAAATAAAAAAATGTTTTTAAATTTATTGTTAAGTTTGTTAGTTTCCATTTTTCCTTTTTTTTTTAAATTTTTCCATTATATAAATATACTATTTTATATAATGTATAAGTTTAATATATTTGATAATTAACTATCAATATATTATTTTCTTTAAAGTTGGTGTTAGCTAATTAAAGTCGTTAAATGTGATTATTATAGTAAATATTCATACATTTGATATATTTGAGTGGATTTTTGATTTACCTTGATTATTTTACTTTAATATGATGTTTTCCAAAACGGCTGTTTTTTGAAAATTTTGAAAATTTAAATTTGTCTTCAAAGTTGGACTTAAATTTTAACAAAAAATGGTATTTTGATGAAAATTATGTTATTTTTTATTAAAAAGAAAATCAATAAACTTTACAAAAAAACCTTATTTTAATAATTTAAATATTAATTTTATAACCCCAAGGATCTAATTTTTCATTCATAAGAGCCAAAGATGATTCTGCAACTTTAGCTAATAACTCTGCTAGTTTGTGTTTGGGATAAACTTTGTATAATTGACGGTGTTCTGATGCGATTTCATCTACTAATTTAACACAATCTGCATATTCCCCAGTTGAATGCAAAACTTTTATCAGTAATAATACAATTTCTGGTATACACAGTTTTCTAAGATTTTCTAACTGTACTTCTCGTAATTGCCATTCATCTAAAATTTCAGGTGGTAGTTTGTCTGAATCTGGATCAACTAACCAACCTTTATCAGGAAATAATAGCACATTGAACAACAAATCTCGTGTAACTGAAAAAATTGAGAGAAATTTTTATAAAATATGAAATATTTACTTAAATTTGCTAACCTCGAGATTGCTCTTGTAAATTTAGATTCCACCTTGCCATTTCTGCTCTAAAAGTTTGTTCTTTATGCTCCATAGCCATTTTTTCAGTAAAGGTAGCGTTTGATTTAATTGATTGTGGCTCTTTAGGACGATTATGATATAAATGCATCCAGTCGTTGAAACCATCAATTGCCGCCAAATATGTTTGATGACATAAGTATTCTTTTATACTACATTCTTCACGACGTAATAGACCTTCTTTTGTCCCACAATTGGAAACGGTTTGGTCTATAGAATCATTGGGTATCATTTTGATCGCTTTTCGGACACATTCTATTTTTCCTTCTGCCAAGAAATTTCTGATAACAGCATTTGCTTGATACAACAACTCTCCCCTTTGTTGTGGATAAAATGTAAGCCACTCTAATGCCGAAATTTTCACTTCGTCCACTTCAGAAATTTCTGTTTTTAATAAATCTGATGGAGGCTGCTCAATATTTCTAATTACGCGAACGGTATAAGTAGTAATGCTTTCAACATCTAGCCCCGCTGAAGATGCTTCCTCTAGAGCTTCAAACCTTTCTTGAGTTTCTTTTATACCCTCTAAGAATTTTGAATATAAAATAATTTGAAGGTTAACTGGTAAAGCAGCTACATAAAAAGCCACTAATTGCGGTTCTTTCATTAATATTAATGATTCAACATATTCTTTAATTACACAATCAGCTTCAGCTTCTCGACGAACTCTACCCATTTGTCTTAGAAATATAACAATGTGTGCGAAAAGACGAAGCATTTGAGGAGATATTTTCTCTTGTTCAACCCAAAAACGCATTTGCTCTAGTAATTCATCTATATTATCTAAAATTAAATGCTTTTGAATTATGTTTATTTTGCTTGCCGATTGTTGTCGAACAGCTGGATTTTTATGAACAGATAATTCTTGAAAAATTTGCTCTAATGTCATTTTACTGTTCCAATATTTTTCTGGCATTTCTACATAATTTTTAATGCAACAAGAACGAATTTCACTCTCCACTCTGATATCAATTTGAACCTTCATGTAAGCCCATAATAAATCTTCCCACGAATCTTGTAAAATATTTAATAATGATTCCAGATGTCCGCATAATGATCCATATATAGCACGGTTACAGCTATCATATTTAGTACTATCAGCCATACGAAAAGCAATACTTTTCCATAAATCTCGCCTTGGATTCCCCTCAATCGGAAGCAATTCAGTTTTGTTTCCTTGTTCGTAATTGGGATCTTCATATAAACGCCAACCTTCTAAGGTAGCAGCGCGCCATGGCTGTCCGCAATATACACATAAAGATTTTGCATCCTCAATTTTACCTTGACGTATTTTAGAAAATATTGCTCTTACAAGTCTAACATCATCCTCCATGTCAAGTGGATGCAATGGTTTTTTTTCGCGTGTTGAAACGTCTGGATCCATGTGTTTTACTATATCAACATGACTTGTGAAAGCAACTGATCCAGGATTTTTTAATTGATATAGAGTATTTTCCCAACCTACCTTCCGATCAGTAAAATGACCAATTTCTATTATATTTTTTTCCGCAGCACAAGCTTCTAACCAATCTACGACTAACTGATATTCCCTTAAATTTGCGTTAGCTAAAAAAGTAATGGCATATTTCAAGATTTTAGATTATAAGATCTACATTTATAAAACATACTCAAGTAAAGTTGTGATACAATAGCTTTTTCAGAGGTACCAAGAGGGATGAAATCTTCTTCAATTTCCGATTTTTGAACTATAATGCGATCATGATATAGAGCATGAAATAGCTTCCAAGTGTCACGTTCCTTTCTAAGCCATTCATATTCATTGAATGTATTTGATTCTGAAACAGTTTCGGGTTTGATTTCTTCAAAAATTGAAGATAAAGTCTGAGTCATTTCTTGAATCGTGTCAAAAGTTTCGGCTTCATTGCCGCGATTCTGTAAAAGATCCAAAAATTGTGCAAATAAGGAATTTGTTTTTTCTTTAACAGAAATGTTATCTATTTTAGAGTTGCCAAAATCTCGGAGGGATCCTGATAGAAAACTTATATTATCCAGAGTTTTATTTTTCGTCGTGTTTAAATCAAAATTGCCGCCAGTTTTGTTTAGAAACATTTTTTTAAGGTTATTTTTTTCACTGTTCAATATTTTATTGCTTTTTCTTTCCAAATTGCTTTATTCAAAATGAATTCTTAAGCCGAATCCAATAGCAGGTTACAGTTTGTTAGAGAATTTATTTTTTTTTTGCTCGGCAATTTTTACAAATTTTAAAATTTTTCTTTCCTAAATAAACAACAGAACTCAGAAGCGTCAAACTGACGTTATATCTTATGATTTTGATTTGTAAACAATTTCAATGTTGCCCAATCACTATTCATTTTGGTAATTCAACACATTGAAAACATAGTAGGTTTTCAACACATTGAACCGCTAATGGGCTGATCCATTTGGAAGAAACTGAAAAATTGTTACAAATTTGCGTAACTTTGCTCGTTATGCGATATTTAGTTTTAAAGAAACTTAATTAAAGCCTAAGTTGATCAACATGTTTCCAACGTGTTTCTAAGTTATATAATAGATGGCAGCATAGCACGTTTAACAATTCACAATATTATCCATAATTTATAATTTCATTACATAGATGGCTACTAACTTTCATTATGATAGCATTTGAAAAATTCAATTGATTCTAAACCCGAAATATCGAAACTAAAATGGAAACTTAGAAAAACGATTCGTGGCTAAAATAAAAAAATTATGAAAGTAAAATTAATTTTTTTTATACTTAAAAAAATTAGTCTCTAATATAAACAATCTTTTCTCTAGATTTCTACCATAAATATAAATGATTGCCAAAACAAAATTTACGGTCTTTTACAAATTTTTATTAAATTCATATTAAAATCCATTTACAAATGTCCTGGTTCAGCTTCATAAAAGTGACTTATGAAACGGTGATTTGAATCAGGATTCATTATCAATGTCAAAACACACTCATTCATTCGAAAATATGCAAATAATTAAATGCCTAAGCAGTGATTGATTGAAGTTTTTTTTATAATATACTTAAGCACTATGAGAATTAATGGTTTCCCAGCGTTCGTTTGAAAAATTCATTGATATTAACTGTTATAAAAATTAAAGGCGTCAATATATGTACATATATATACATATATATACATAACATTATATTGAAAATGTTTGCATTTAATGTTCAGAAAAAAAAAAGAAATTAAAAATAAAGCTTCCGCCAGATTGGGTAGTTTATGTTTTACAAAAATTTATATTACCTTGTGTGTATATGTATATTTTTGATTTAATATGTAAAGCAATATATATATTGTACGTATAAATTCTATTATAAATTATACGTACGTGTAGGTTGAAAACTTTAAAGGTACATATATATTTTAATTTATTAGAAAGGTTTTAAAATAGCTATTAACTTGCCTGCTTCTTAATCCGAACTATTGACAGAACATTATAGATACTATTATGTTGATATTGTACATAAAAAATTACATATACATAAATATAGGCGCATCTCTTAGCACCTATGCAATAAAGCCTAAATTCAAAACATATCCATAAAATAGCTATATATAAATAAATATGCATAAGTATTTGTACAAATGTTTTTGTAAGCTTTTAAGAACTAAAAAATAATTTCGAGTGCAGGAAGATAATACAATACAGTGGTTAGTTTTTGATAATACTATCCTCCATTCGTAATTTCATTTTTTTTTTCATCTATGTATTTTATCTTTGAATATTGTATTATGTGGTTAGCGTAGTTAAAGGATTGTTGAAAAAAAAATATAACAACAAAAAAACATTTTTATAATATTTTTCTTCTTTTAGGTTTTTAAGGATACTTATGGAATAAAACAAAAGAAAAAAAAAATTAAATACATACATATATAACTGTTTATGCTACATATATATATATATATATATATATAGCTGTAATGGCCACGTTATATTCATTATTTTTATTCTATTAAATTAAGGTTAATAGGTTGAGAAGAGAAAAAAAAAACCAAGTAAACAGAATGATTATTGTAACAAAATAGGGGTCAAAATTATAATTAGTAATTAAAAAGAGTTGATTATGATTCTTAAAGTTGGTTGCTGATTAAGGTGGTTTACTGAAATTAAATTCATCGTAGGTATACTATATATTATTATGAATGTAGATTATAGACAAAAAATAACAAAAAATAAAAAAAAAATTATTATTATATAGAATTTATAAATAAATAAGTTATGCAGAATCATGGGCTTCTTCTTCTGAATATTCATATTGTATACGTGTACATATATACAGTATATTTTACTATATAGATTATTTTCTTCAATTTTAAAATGAATTTTTCTTGCTTCCTTATTTAAGAATATAAAATCATGTTACTATGGGAATGAATAATATAGCTAGAATATACAGGAAATAAAATTGAATTAATTGTGGTACTTTATTATGTGATAGTTATTAAAATAGAATGCACTTTATATATAAATTATAAAAAAAAAATTATTTTATTAATTAAGCAGATTTATTTAAGAAAAAAAAATTTTAAATATTTTTAAAAAATTTTAATTTAGCTAAAATAATAAAATTTTACTAGTTGTAGAGATTTATAGCATATGGTAATATTATAGGTAATTTTGAATACAATCATACAAAATGTTCGATGTTGGAATGAAACGGAAGATTATAAAATAAATTGTTTAATGTTTGAATGAAAGGAAAAATTTTAAAAATACAATTAATTGTCTAATAAATTCGAATAATTAAATTTAATAATTTTTATTTTTCTTTCAGTTATTTTTCACACAATATTCATATTACATGTATACATATTATTCACCTCTCAATTCCTATATATGTATGTATATGTTATGAATTAGGGTTTTTGAAATTTTAAGTGAATTCTTGTGTATTTATGGGCATATAAAAATTGCATTTTCATTTGAAAATTTTAATAACATCTTGAGTAATTGAGCGTAAAGTATAAGAACTTAAGATGTGTATGTATATATATATATATATATATATATATATATATATAACAAATTCAAATAATGTGTATCAATACTTAAATAATATTATATAAATAAAAAACTATGCAAAATTTTTAAACTACTTTAATTAATATCGGCTTTAATATTCATGAAATAGCAAAGTAAAGTTACGTTAATATTTCTGTTACTTTGAAGGATGTTTCCATATAAAAAGTGCTAAATGAAATATAAATGAGTATTTTGCATTTTTATATAAATGAGTATTTTATTAACATTAAATTCTAACAAAATTAATTTGTCAAAAGTCAAAAGTGTAAACTGGGTTAAAATGAGAATGTTAACAAAATATATGAAATGTCAAGTTCCAATAAGAAAAATTCACTGCTTGTACGAAGTTCTTAATTTGAAAAAATATTATATTTAAAATTTAAAGAACAGGGTAAAAAAATTCAAATCTTCTCATTTTGAATTATAAAACCCAAGGAGACGATAATATTGATGATAAGAAGAGCGGGTTAATATGATGGACTTTGAATTAATTACAGAACATACAAAACAAAAAATTTATTAAATTTAAAATTTTATGGTCATCTTTACGATAGCTGTTGTAAAATTTTATGTAAAGTTCTTTAAGTTATGAATAAGTTGTTATAATCATTCTTATTTGGCCGTCATTATTATTTTGGGTCAAACATTGAACATTTTTAATTTACACGTATATGCTTCGGATTTGTTTCTACCCGGTTAACAAAGTTTTATGAATTCATTGAATAACGTGAAATGTTAAGAAAATTAATTCAATTATTGTCAAATTTTTTTAATTTTAACATATAGAGTTACCAAACGAGAATAATATACAAGTTTCCGCAACATAAAACCTTTATATAAAATTCATTAAAAATTTCTCCTTCATTTAATTTTCTCACAAATTTCTAAATTTTTTATAAATTGTTTGAAAGTTTAAAATATTAGAAATTTCTACAAATTTTTTAAACCATTATTAAATATTATTATTAAATTTCTTAAATATTCTATGTGGTAATGATATTTTAATTTATGCATAAATGTCATATTAAGCAACTGACATACTTACGCAATTACGTATTTTATATATTTTATAATGCGGCAATTATTTAAAGAAATTTGTTTCCTCTTTTTTGTTTTCTTGTTCCAGGATTAAAATAATATGTATGCGTGTGTGTCACACATTATACGATTTAAAAATTTAAGATTAATGTAAGCAAAACAAAACACAAAAAACATGGAAGCAAAAAAATTTAATCAAATCTTTTACAATATTTATTTTCTTAAAAAATTCCAAATTTAAATTATCAAAGGGATCTTAAAATTTTAAGGACGAAACAAAAAAAATAAAAAAAAATAAAATTTAAAATTATTTTATTTTATGTGAATATTTTAAATAATTCTTGAAGAAAAGTGTGTATTTTATAGCATCACACTTTTGGTTACAAATAATATTAAAAAAATTTATTTATTTTTTTTCATTTTCCATATATTGTAGAATTTGAAATGGAATATTCAAAAAACCCTCACATAAATTATATCTAATGTAATAAAAATTAATTTATTTGCCATTATTATTGTTTGTACTCAATGTCAGCGTGGCAAAAATTTTTGTATGATGAATTTTTTTCTTTTTTTTGTTTTTGTATATTTTTTAAATTTTGATTAGTACATTTGTAGCATTAAGTATAAAAAATCTTCTTAAAGATTAAATTGTGATTTCGTCATCATTCCCCGAATGGCTTAATAAAAAATAGATTTGAAAAAATAATATAAAAAAACGAAAAAACAAATTTGTTTTTGTTGCAAAAAAATCATTTTAAATTTTATGATAGTATTTTAATATTAAATATTAAATAAAAATCCTTATATACATAAACGTAATAAACATGATGCAATATACTTGTATACATGTGTGTATAAATAATTTCCTGAACACAATGTTTTACCCTCAAAATGAAGTGTGAATATAAAAAAAAAATTCTGTATTTTTGCATTTTTCCTTTTAAAAATTATAAACGATTAAATTCACAATAAGATTAAAAAATTGCAACAGTTATATTTCCCCTATGGATGTTAAACGGGAATTTTCGAATTTCCCCAAGAGTAAAGAAAAGGAAAATAAAAAGTATAATTTCGCATTTAATTTTACAAATATATGGGAAATTTGGAATTTTTGTTTTATTTTTTTTTATTGTTTTTTAGTTTCTTGTTTCTTTATCGAAATGGAGAAAAAGGATATTATGATATTAAAT